TATATATATATATATATATATATATATATATATATATATATATATATATATATATATATATATATATATATATATATATATATATATATATGTGTGTGTGTGTTTTTGGTTTTACCTGACCCCAAAAGAGGAAATCAGCATGGTTCATATTAAAAGAAAATGTACAGTCTCAAATTGGCCATTGTACAATTTCACATGAACATAAAAGTGTGTTATGGTATTTTACTTTTCTAGGAAATAGAAGCCATGTTGTTCCTGATGGGATCCATAGCAGAAAGCATTGATTTAGAGGAAAGTGTCTTCTTGCCAAACATGTTCAACATGTTGCCAAGACTGCCTTTTACCAACACAATACTCATCTCTACGACACTGTACACCATAGGTAGGTATAGGTGCCCTAACTTAATACAGTACTCATCTCTACTACACTGTACAACATAGGTAGGTATAGGAGTCGTTGGTTTACTGTAACTTGAATGATTAAGTATACAGAAACATCATTGCTATAAGTTTAGATAGAAAAAAGTAGTGAAAAATGAAATGCATGAAAAAAACTTGCCTTTTATTGAGATACAGTTATCTATCTCTGTTTTTTGTCCAATGTTTTTGACAGACAAAAGCATTGCATCTGGATATGAAAATATAGTACCAACTCTGAGTCACCTTTAATAATAACAATAATAATAATAATAATAATAATAATAATTCTTACTAGTAAAAATGATAGTAATTACAAGAAATAATGGTTTTAGTAATTATAACAATACCAGCAACAATAATCATGGTAATCAGTTCTGAAATTCTAAAGATAAGATTCCCCCCAATATTCCAGGTTACTATGCAGAGTGGATCAACTGCCACCCTGATGTTCTCCCCAGTATTATCCCCCTCATTCTAGAGGGCATGAAGAACCCAGAGGTGGCCCAGTCTGCCACCCTCGCCTTGAAAGATGTGGCCAGGGAGGGACAGGAACACCTGAAACCTTTTGTCCATGGAATATTGACTGCTAGTCAGGTGGTTTTAGAGAGTGGAATATTAAAGGTATTGAAATATTGAATAGAAGTCATTTCATTTAATGATTTACTTATTTTCATCGTGAAACTTTTTTAACATAGGCTGACTTATTATGTCATTAGTTTAAAATTTACCCATGTTCTCATAATTTCACTTATTTTTTAGATGTTGAATTATATTTTTAAAATGCAGCTCATATTTCTCACCCTTCATCTGATTACACATTTATACATTTCAGTCCAGAGACAGTATTAGGTTGATGAACTGTGTAGGCTATGTGGTCTCTGTATTACCTGTTGAAGAGATTATGCAGTACCTCAACATTCTGCTCACTCCTCACATGCAGAAACTAGACCAACTGGCTGATCAGGAGGTAATTTTTTTAACATAAAATTTGTTTACTTTGTTTGTTTGTGTTATCAATATATTATTTTGAATTTATTTTATTTTAACGGATTTACTTAAATAGTTGAAGTATAGATCTGTGGCTGATTTTATAAAAGCTTTACATTAACTTGATTGCAATATGATTACCAATTTACTATGATATTGTCACAGCAAACTGGAACCCTCCATTTGCATTAAACTAATTTAAAAAACTTATTAGTAATATAATTTACAGATTTGTATTGTTCAAATCCAAAATTTGTATAGATCAAATGATGCACTGTTCTGTAATCTTTCAGCCCACGGCAGCAGTAAAGGCAGGCATCTTGGAGAAGATCCAGATGCTGACATGGCTGTTTAATTCCTTAGATACCAGAGGTGAAGATGAAATCAGGAAAGAGGGTGGAGAGATGAAAGTGTCAGGAAAGAAACACAGTGAAGGTCCACAGCCAGTATGTACAGTTATTCTTATCATGTGTGAATTGTTTATTACCTTGATGTGTTTTATTCAGAGTGAACTTTATTCAGAGTGTTCTGTCCAGTTTTTCTTCAAATGGGGTTTATCCCTGCTTGAGGAAGATCATTTTATTATGGAAAGACATTCCAGTAAACGTGTAATATTGATAGCATTAAGATGTGCCTTTTCCCCTCCAGGTTTATTGTGTATTGCCCATATGTTTCAGGTGTTCTTAATCCTCAGACAAGTGTCTCCCATCATGCAGAAGGTGATTAACAAATGGATCAATGATGCAGGCATTATTGAGGTGTGTATATTCACTTCTATATACCCTTTGCTTAAAATATTCAATTCTTCCCTGCCTCCTCTAATTCCTTTCTCTGTCTCTGATACTCTTGTCCTCCTCAATGGCATATTACTTCTCCTTCACCTATCCCACACCTACAAACTCTCTCACACACCAATCCCTCTTGTATAACACCTTTCACCTGTCCCACTCATATATCCTCACATATCCCAGTTTGACCTCACAAGTAACACTCTCTTAACTTCTCTCTCACTTGTAACCACTCTCTCTCCTGTCCCTCACATATAACTTGTCTCTCACCTGTCCCACTCATATAGCATCTCCCTCACCTGTCCCTCTCAAATAACTTCTCCCTCACCTCTCCCTCTCATATAACATCTCCCTTACCTGTCCTCATATCACATCTCTCTCACCTGTCCCANAAATAGAATTTAGAAAATAGACATTGCATGTGAACGAAGCCTAAGATGTGCCTTTTTCCCCTCCAGGTTTATTGTGTATTGCCCATGTGTTTCAGGTGTTCTTAATCCTCAGACAAGTGTCTCCCATCATGCAGAAGGTGATTAACAAATGGATCAATGATGCAGGCATTATTGAGGTGTGTATATTCACTTCTATATACCCTTTGCTTAAAATATTCAATTCTTCCCTGCCTCCTCTAATTCCTTTCTCTATCTCTGATACTCTTGTCCTCCTCAATGGCATATTACTTCTCCTTCACCTATCCCACACCTACAAACTCACACACCAATCCCTCTTGTATAACTCCTTTCACCTGTCCCACTCATATATCCTCATATATCCCAGTTTGACCTCACAAGTAACACTCTCTTAACTTCTCTCTCACTTGTAACCACTCTCTCACCTGTCCCTCACATATAACTTGTCTCTCACCTGTCCCACTCATATAGCATCTCCCTCACCTGTCCCTCTCAAATAACTTCTCACTCACCTCTCCCTCTCATATAACATCTCCCTTACCTGTCCTCATATCACATCTCTCTCACCTGTCCCACTCATATAACATCTCCCTTACCTGTCCTTCTCATATAACATCTCTCTCACCTGTCCCACTCATATAACATCTCCCTCACCCGTCCCACTCATATAACATCTCCCTCACTTGTCCCCCTCTTATAACCTCTCTCCAGCTCATCCAGTGTCTCACATATGAACTTGCCCAGTCACTCTCTTGACTACATGTATGCTTTATTCAGTGCTGTTGTGTCTTTCAGTCCATCTGTGATCTCCTGAAGAAGTGCCTGAGGACGCTGATGGATGACTTTGACCCCCTGGTAGAGGAGGTCAGTGAGATGCTGGCCCAGATCTACTGTGCAGCCGCTCACACACCCATACTTGACTTGGCAAAGCAGGTAATGGGACAAGAGAAAATTCATGATTCTATCTACAGGTTTAAGTCATTCCTGTTTTACAGTTCTGTGTCAAAGTTATGACAAAAAGGTTTTCCGTGAGTTTTAGTTTAATACATTTTGCATTGTCCCTTATGTAGTGATAAGGTTGAAAATGTCATGTTTCTTAGGTAAAAACACCCTCTAGTCTGTATAGAAATGATATACCCTTTTTACTAAATTTAGTGTTTGTGAATTGTGTATTTGAGCATATTTTAGCTAGTTTCGGCTTCTGGTGCAAGTATCTTAATGTCACAGAGGTCTTCATTTGAAAACTGCTGTCTTAATGGTATTCTTGAGGCCCAGAGACAGGATGCAAATGTGGAAACTTGATGCTTAAGGGCACAATGTTTAACTAAAAGGAAACATCAATTACTGAGCAGCCGGAGAAGATATATAATATATAGTCATATATTAATTTTTACAAAGCTTTCTCTCCCAAAATTCCTGATAAATTTTCATAAAAAAGAAATTATGAAAATGTGAGCTTGTGTCATTTTGATTAAAAGTGACATTATTTGTTGCTTTACCTGATAGATTAGGAAAACCTGCTTAGTACAATCTTGGAGAACCATTCTTTGATCAGCTAAATTATATTCCACAGATTTATGATAAGAACTCTGAGCATGCTGAGCCTGCAAATAATATTTTAAAATCCATTCATGTAAATCAAATTGTGTGCATTTAAAGAATTGCATGATGTAATAGACTTCCTGTTGAAAAAATCCAGATTATATTCATTATCACTTTACATAATATAAATCTTGTAATTTGTTTTATGTCCAAAAATTGATTTCTGTGATTTCACTGCCCAACCTTTTCAGATTCTGCTGCTGTTTGCCTCAGACGACAAACACAAAATGACAGTCCAGTCATTATTTCTGGCTCTTTGTAATAAAACATTAACTGTTGCTGAAACAGGTTAGTTGATCAAAAAGATGGAATTCAGTGTGAATAATTGTGATAGTCTTTGCTTAATAGAGCAGTTGCATTTCCCCCATCATATAATCAAATGTGTGCATTTTCAGAGGAAGGGGACAATAAGATGACCATGAGTTGGGAACAAAAAGTTGGTCAGATTTTACTGGCTTATTTTAAAGTACAAGTAATCAGTGCTTCAAGATTCCACCAGGGCTTATTGATTGATAAATTAGATACAAATTGATAGAATAAACGTAAGAATATTACTTGTAATGCCAATCAACCCATTGTTGATCGACACATGGATTGATTTTGATAATATAAGATTTCCTTTTGATAGAAATCAACTATTATTTTATTTCTGTAAGGTGCAAGAGAGAATACGGATCTTGTGGAAGCATTTATGTTGCTGCTGGCTCAGGTAAATACCATGTCTCATTTTGCATATTGGTGGATGGCTGTGAATAGGTCTCATTTAAAAAATGTAAAAGTGAAAAAAAGTCTGATTCTTGTTTAACACACTCCACTGTGTCTCAGTGCAGTTTACAGTAGGTGACAATACAGAAATTTGCCTGAACATGTTTTTTTGAAGAAAAGTGTGTATAAAACTGAATATACACTACAAAACATTAAAGATCCAATGCTAAGATTTAAGTGAAACATGACAGTCAGTTTTTTATCTCTCAAGAAATGTTAATGCTAGTCCAAGCTTAAGTATGTTTTTAAATTTGTCTCATTATTTTATTTTCAGCTGATAAGGAAGTGCTCCACATGTATCAGTTTTTTCTTCAATGAACAGTGCAATATCCTTGGATTGTTTCAGTTAGGTGAGAAGAGTTTATCTCCTCCATCCCAAGTAATAAATATGCCATTCAAGAGACATATGTAAATTGCAGTATATGTATAGTTTGATTGATACTTGGCTTCTGAAGACCACTTTTGTTGATGTCAACTACAAGTTAAATTTTATTATTTTAATTTCACAACTATTAATTGATGNACCCTTTTTACTAAATTTAGTGTTTGTGAATTGTGTATTTGAGCATATTTTAGCTAGTTTCGGCTTCTGGTGCAAGTATCTTAATGTCACAGAGGTCTTCATTTGAAAACTGCTGTCTTAATGGTATTCTTGAGGCCCAGAGACAGGATGCAAATGTGGAAACTTGATGCTTAAGGGCACAATGTTTAACTAAAAGGAAACATCAATTACTGAGCAGCCGGAGAAGATATATAATATATAGTCATATATTAATTTTTACAAAGCTTTCTCTCCCAAAATTCCTGATAAATTTTCATAAAAAAGAAATTATGAAAATGTGAGCTTGTGTCATTTTGATTAAAAGTGACATTATTTGTTGCTTTACCTGATAGATTAGGAAAACCTGCTTAGTACAATCTTGGAGAACCATTCTTTGATCAGCTAAATTATATTCCACAGATTTATGATAAGAACTCTGAGCATGCTGAGCCTGCAAATAATATTTTAAAATCCATTCATGTAAATCAAATTGTGTGCATTTAAAGAATTGCATGATGTAATAGACTTCCTGTTGAAAAAATCCAGATTATATTCATTATCACTTTACATAATATAAATCTTGTAATTTGTTTTATGTCCAAAAATTGATTTCTGTGATTTCACTGCCCAACCTTTTCAGATTCTGCTGCTGTTTGCCTCAGACGACAAACACAAAATGACAGTCCAGTCATTATTTCTGGCTCTTTGTAATAAAACATTAACTGTTGCTGAAACAGGTTAGTTGATCAAAAAGATGGAATTCAGTGTGAATAATTGTGATAGTCTTTGCTTAATAGAGCAGTTGCATTTCCCCCATCATATAATCAAATGTGTGCATTTTCAGAGGAAGGGGACAATAAGATGACCATGAGTTGGGAACAAAAAGTTGGTCAGATTTTACTGGCTTATTTTAGAGTACAAGTAATCAGTGCTTCAAGATTCCACCAGGGCTTATTGATTGATAAATTAGATACAAATTGATAGAATAAACGTAAGAATATTACTTGTAATGCCAATCAACCCATTGTTGATCGACACATGGATTGATTTTGATAATACAAGATTTCCTTTTGATAGAAATCAACTATTATTTTATTTCTGTAAGGTGCAAGAGAGAATACGGATCTTGTGGAAGCATTTATGTTGCTGCTGGCTCAGGTAAATACCATGTCTCATTTTGCATATTGGTGGATGGCTGTGAATAGGTCTCATTTAAAAAATGTAAAAGTGAAAAAAAGTCTGATTCTTGTTTAACACACTCCACTGTGTCTCAGTGCAGTTTACAGTAGGTGACAATACAGAAATTTGCCTGAACATGTTTTTTTGAAGAAAAGTGTGTATAAAACTGAATATACACTACAAAACATTAAAGATCCAATGCTAAGATTTAAGTGAAACATGACAGTCAGTTTTGTATCTCTCAAGAAATGTTAATGCTAGTCCAAGCTTAAGTATGTTTTTAAATTTGTCTCATTATTTTATTTTCAGCTGATAAGGAAGTGCTCCACATGTATCAGTTTTTTCTTCAATGAACAGTGCAATATCCTTGGATTGTTTCAGTTAGGTGAGAAGAGTTTATCTCCTCCATCCCAAGTAATAAATATGCCATTCAAGAGACATATGTAAATTGCAGTATATGTATAGTTTGATTGATACTTGGCTTCTGAAGACCACTTTTGTTGATGTCAACTACAAGTTAAATTTTATTATTTTAATTTCACAACTATTAATTGATGAGGCAATCAAATGATAATTTTGGTGATTGATTGAAGCACTAAACTGTGCTATCAGAACCCATTTATTTTCAGTAGGAACCTTCTTATTTTCTTTTTCAGTTTCTAGATTTATCATAAATTTAATTAAAAACTGTGAGAGGAATAAAATATTAATAGATTTATAATTATTTTTTCTTTCCCTCAGGAGTTGTAGGCATCAGTTTACCAGAAAATGGCACAGTGAAAGCTTCTTGTAGTTTCTTGGTGAGTGTAATGTTTCCAGTTCTAGAACATTGATAATGGCATTTTCTCCTTTTACATAAACTAAATGTATGAAGCAGTTTATACAAGAAGTTTCAGTGTGCATTCTTTGATTCTCTATTGTTATTGGCTTAGAATTTGTGCTACCATTGAAAACACATTTAAATACATTATCTACAAAATATTATGCTTTACATATTGTATATTGTTAATTTACTTTTTGAGACAGTTTCAGGGGACAGAATGTTTTGTCCCTGAGAACCGTGGTCTTTTAAAGCATGCATGCAGATACTAGTCAAAGTCTCCTACTTCTTTTTACTGATTAAACAGAAGTTGAAACTTCTTTCAGAGTGAATTTATTACAAATTCCTGCAAACTTCCTTCTGTAAAAGAGATCATATTGAACCATGGTCACACATTGATTGAGAGGATATTGCGGGTAAGTAATATTGGCTAGATTTTATTTGATGCTATGGAAACAATGATAGAAGGGCAATTTATAAAGCTTGTTTACCATAGTTTCTCTTCTACAAGTTTTAGTTTTTAAATGTTTCAAACTGGTCAGGTGGGCTTTCATTGTGAAATAAAACAATTTAGCATTGAACTGAGTTGACTGAATTCAGTTAATGTGAGAGAAATATCAATCAGCAGATATCTGACTTTTTGGGAGGCAAAAATATCATTGGCCTAAGCAGCCCCCTGGACCCCAAACCATATTTTCTGACTTTTTCACTAAATGACAGTCCCTGATTAATACCTTTTTTATTTTTTATTAATTTGTTAATTTAGCTATGTATTTATTTTAGGCAATTGGAGGAGATTCCCCAAGAGGTGTAATTGACTCCATGGCAGATGTCATTCTTGCTCTAAACAGGAACCACTGTGAATACTTCAGGAAGTGTTTACAGGGCCTGCTGAGCCAGCCAGACTTCCCCAACAACAGGGTCACACAGCAGCAGAAGGAACAGTTTGTCAAAATGGTTATGAAGTAAGTTCATCTGCTGGTAATAATATAATACAATTTTTTTTACTTTCGGTGAGGTCAACTTGACAAATGAATTAACTTTAGCTGGGATAATTGACTGATGTCAATTAGTGAGCGTCAAAATTCTATGACTATGTAACAATAATTGTAATGATTTATTCTAATATTGCAGCCAGAAGGCTGAAGTTTTACATTTGTTATAAAATAAAATTTTGAAGGATATATGAAAATTAATTAAATTACTGTATATAAAAACCCATTCATAAAAGATAAGGTGTTAGTTTAGTATTCTTAAATGTTTAAAGATGGGTAATGATCACTGTTTACCTTTGAATGTTTAGTATATCTTATCAGACATCAAATACATTATGGAGCCATGTAAAATTTATTCTCCATGCTTGTTTCTATCATTGACCTATGCTTTAACATTTTTTAATAAATTAACAGTGTGTATGTTCATTGTATTTTGCAGGGAAAGAGTCCACAAGAGGAGGTTAAAAGAGACAGTGAAAGAATTCACCTTGATGTGCCGTGGTATGAATGGAACTGAGTATGCTGCTCAGTCTGTGGGTCTTATATAATACATGGATACAGTTTCTTCTTGAATTGAATCATTCTCTTTAGAGAGTTATGAATGCTTTAACCGTATGCTTTCTCTCATGCTGCTGGGGAGAGCTGCATCTTTATATTACTACACGGCATGTAGATTGTCCATTGACTTCAACCTACATTGATATTGAAGTGCAGGGTTTTAACAGGGCTGACAACTCTTTATGTTGATATTATAGAAACAAATGATACATTCGTCAGCTGTGTCGAACTCGTGTGTTTGTTTAAAAAAAAAAGAAAACCTCGGTCAAACCAACCTACTGAAGCACCGTACTGAATATTTCTTTTTTAAAACCACTTTTCCAAAGTTCATCTTAACCATATTGTAACCTTCAACCATATTTCTGAACCCAGGTTTTTAAGTTGGATTTTAATCAATTCCATCTATATCCAATGCTCAAACAAACTTGAAGTATAAAGATTCAGTATTTTTTGATACTGTGATTTTGTCTGATTATTAAAGCAACCAAAAGAATTGTTGGGAATGAAGAGAAAGTAATTCTGAAACTTTTTGGAATTCTTGTTATCTTTAATGGCTTTTGTGTAGAAAATGTGTCAATTTTTAATGGCAAGTTTATACATAGCTTATTATATCCTCAAAAGAATAAGACAGTGGTTTGAATGAGGTTGAATAACTATCATGATTCAATTTTGATTAATTTATAATTGATTGAAAGTGATGATTTGTGATACAATATAGCCAGGAGATTAGTTTAATTCCTATGTTGTTGTAAGGCAACATGCTACAAATGTTCAAATTTCAAAGACCTATCAAGTTAAAATTGTTGGTCATTTACAATTCTCAGATCATCTTTCCTTGTAAATAATTCTTGAAGCACAGCTAATTACCTGTACCAAAGAGACATTAATTGATATAGTTCTCCAAACAAAAAAATGTGAATTAGCTGAAATGCAAAAAATAATTCATATACAGTTTTAATTATTTATTTACAAGAAATTCATGTCATGGAGTAAAAAGTTGTTTTAAAATGATTTAGAATATGCACAATAATTTTGGTGCTACAGTTGATTTATAGATAAGTACAGCAACCTATACATGTTGTTGCAGAATTAATGAGAGCTAGTTTTCTTCAGTTCTTACTGCTTGGTGAACTTGGTGAACTATGTGACCAATTTTATTCGCTTGACAAAAACTTTAAGATAGTGATGTGTCGACGCTTAGAGGGCTGTCTATTTTTGATTGAAATAACCACTTAATTATTCATGGTATTTTATGCCAATAGTTTGCATCCTCGTTCTTTGATAATCTTTTATCACCAATCAAATATGATTCCATTATATAATGATAACGTGCTAATAAATTTTTATAGTAATGCATTTTAATAATTTTTAAAGTTGAATGATTTTAAAATCTCTATCCCCTCCAAACAGTTTTTTTTTTTTTTTTTTTTTTGAGATGTGTGTGTGTGGGCGCTTATATTGTCTTACCTTCAATTGTAAATCATTAGCTAATAAGTATACAGCCAGTTGCTTGCGGTGCTTATACTATGAAGTCTATTTCCACTGTAGACTACATGAATTTTTTACGCACTTTCTCGTAACATACCAAAACCAACTGAACATGTGACCATAAATCCTCTATATGGCCATGACGTCGATGACGGCAAAGCATCATGTTCACATGGTGGTACTAAACTATATGCATCAACATAACAAACAAACAAAACAATAACATTCCAATATTTATGCATCATAATATTCCAATACTACCTACGTATTGCAAACGGGTATCTGCGAATTTCCCATATATTTGTGAATATGAACTTGAAGAACACGGTAAAAATTCGCCAACATAAATACATGATCATACATGATGAGGTAATACTGTTTGAATTATACAAAATTATATTTAAACCAGCCTCAGGTTTTTTTCATTTTCTGCAATCCTTTAACGGTTTCACATACTTTCCTAAAATCACGGGAAGTACATATGCTGCATAAAGCAGTAAAATCTATTGCCACTGTATTTGATATTTTCTTAGCTTCGCTTTACCAAATGACATAGCAAAACACATTGAACTCAATGCATTCCTCTATGCGTTTATGACGTCGATGACGGCAAGGCGTCACGTTCCTATGCAGTANGAACAATCAAATGATAATTTTGGTGATTGATTGAAGCACTAAACTGTGCTATCAGAACCCATTTATTTTCAGTAGGAACCTTCTTATTTTCTTTTTCAGTTTCTAGATTTATCATAAATTTAATTAAAAACTGTGAGAGGAATAAAATATTAATAGATTTATAATTATTTTTTCTTTCCCTCAGGAGTTGTAGGCATCAGTTTACCAGAAAATGGCACAGTGAAAGCTTCTTGTAGTTTCTTGGTGAGTGTAATGTTTGTAGTTCTAGAACATTGATAATGGCATTTTCTCCTTTTACATAAACTAAATGTATGAAACAGTTTATACAAGAAGTTTCAGTGTGCATTCTTTGATTCTCTATTGTTATTGGCTTAGAATTTGTGCTACCATTCAAAACACATTTAAAAACATTATCTACAAAATATTATGCTTTACATATTGTATATTGTTAATTTACTGTTTGAGACAGTTTCAGGGGACAGAATGTTTTGTCCCTGAGAACCGTGGTCTTTAAAAGCATGCATGCAGATACTAGTCAAAGTCTCCTACTTCTTTTTACTGATTAAACAAAAGTTAAAACTTCTTTCAGAGTGAATTTATTACAAATTCCTGCAAACTTCCTTCTGTAAAAGAGATCATATTGAACCATGGTCACACATTGATTGAGAGGATATTGCGGGTAAGTAATATTGGCTAGATTTTATTTGATGCTATGGAAACAATGATAGAAGGGCAATTTATAAAGCTTGTTTACCATAGTTTCTCTTCTACAAGTTTTAGTTTTTAAATGTTTCAAACTGGTCAGGTGGGCTTTCATTGTGAAATAAAACAATTTAGCATTGAACTGAGTTGACTGAATTCAGTTAATGTGACAGAAATATCAATCGGCAGATATCTGACTTTTTGGGAGGCAAAAATATCATTGGCCTAAGCAGCCCCCTGGACCCCACACCATATTTTTTTCACTAAATGGCAGTCCTGATTAATACCTTTCTTATTTTTATTAATTTGTTAATTTATCTATGTATTTATTTTAGGCAATTGGAGGAGATTCCCCAAGAGGTGTAATTGACTCCATGGCAGATGTCATTCTTGCTCTAAACAGGAACCACTGTGAATACTTCAGGAAGTGTTTACAGGGCCTGCTGAGCCAGCCAGACTTCCCCAACAACAGGGTCACACAGCAGCAGAAGGAACACTTTGTCAAAATGGTTATGAAGTAAGTTCATCTGCTGATAATAGTATAATACAATTTTTTGACTTTCTGTGAGGTCAACTTGACAAATGAATTAACTGAAGCTGGGATAATTGACTGATGTCAATTAGTGAGCGTCAAAATTCTATGACCATGTAACAATAATTGTAATGATTTATTTTAATATTGCAGCCAGGAGGCTGAAGTTTTACATTTGTTATGAAATAGAATTTTGAAGGATATGTGGGAATTAATTAAATTACTGTATATAAAAATCCATTTATAAAAGATAAGGTGTTAGTGTGGTATTCTTAAATGTTTAAAGATGGGTAATGATCACTGTTTACCATTGAATGTTTAGTAAATCTTATCAGACATCAAATACATTATGGAGCCCTGTAGAATTTATTCACCATGCTTGTTTCTATCATTGACCTATGCTTTAACATTTTTTAATAAATTAACAGTGTGTATGTTCATTGTATTTTGCAGGGAAAGAGTCCACAAGAGGAGGTTAAAAGAGACAGTGAAAGAATTCACCTTGATGTGCCGTGGTATGATTGGAACCGAGTATGCTGCCCAGTCTGTGGGTCTTATATGATACATGGATACAGTTTCTTCTTGAATTGAATCATTCTCTTTAGAGAGTTATGAATGCTTTAACCGTATGCTTTCTCTCATGCTGCTGGGGAGAGCTGCATCTTGATATTACTACATGGCATGTAGATTGTCCATTGACTTCAGCCTACATTCATATTGAAGTGCAGGGTTTTAACAGGGCTGACAACTCTTTATGTTGATATTATAGAAACAAATGATACATTCGAACTTGTGTGTTTGTTTAAAAAAAAAAAGAAAACCTCAGTCAAACCAACCTTCTGAAGCACCGTACTGAATATTTCTTTTTTAAAACCACTTTTCCAAAGTTCATCTTAACCATATTGTAACCTTCAACCATATTTCTGAACCCAGGTTTTTAAGTTGGATTTTAATCAATTCCATCTATATCCAATGCTCAAACAAACTTGAAGTATAAAGATTCAGTATTTTTTGATACTGTGATTTTGTCTGATTATTAAAGCAACCAAAAGAATTGTTGGGAATGAAGAGAAAGTAATTCTGAAACTTTTTGGAATTCTTGTTATCTTTAATGGCTTTTGTGTAGAAAATGTGTCAATTTTTAATGGCAAGTTCATACATAGCTTATTATATCCTCAAAAGAATAAGACAGTGGTTTGAATGAGGTTGAATAACTATCATGATTCAATTTTGATTAATTTATAATTGATTGAAAGTGATGATTTGTGATACAATATAGCCAGGAGATTAGTTTAATTCCTATGTTGTTGTAAGGCAACATGCTACAAATGTTCAAATTTCAAAGACCTATCAAGTTAAAATTGTTGGTCATTTACAATTCTCAGATCATCTTTCCTTGTAAATAATTCTTGAAGCACAGCTAATTACCTGTACCAAAGAGACATTAATTGATATAGTTCTCCAAACAAAAAAAATGTGAATTAGCTGAAATGCAAAAAATAATTCATATACAGTTTTAATTATTTATTTACAAGAAATTCATGTCATGGAGTAAAAAGTTGTTTTAGAATGATTTAGAATATGCACAATAATTTTGGTGCTACAGTTGATTTATAGATAAGTACAGCAACCTATACATGTTGTTGCAGAATTAATGAGAGCTAGTTTTCTTCAGTTCTTACTGCTTGGTGAACTTGGTGAACTATGTGACCAATTTTATTCGCTTGACAAAAACTTTAAGATAGTGATGTGTCGACGCTTAGAGGGCTGTCTATTTTTGATTGAAATAACCATTTAATTATTCATGGTATTTTATGCCAATAGTTTGCATCCTCGTTCTTTGATAATCTTTTATCACCAATCAAATATGATTCCATTATATAATGATAACGTGCTAATAAATTTTTATAGTAATGCATTTTAATAATTTTTAAAGTTGAATGATTTTAAAATCTCTATCCCCTCCAAACAATTTTTTTTTTTTTTGAGATGTGTGTGTGTGCGCGCTTATATTGTCTTACCTTCAATTTTAAATCATTAGCTAATAAGTATACAGCCAGTTGCTTGCGGTGCTTATACTATGAAGTCTATTTCCACTGTAGACTACATGAATTTTTTACTTTCTCGTAACATACCAAAACCAACTGAACATGTGACCATAAATATTCTATATGGCCATGACATCGATGACGGCAAAGCATCATGTTCACATGGTGGTACTAAACTATATGCATCAACATAACAAACAAACAAAATAATAACATTCCAATATTTATGCATCATAATATTCCAATACTACCTACGTATTGCAAACGGGTATCTGCGAATTTCCCATATATTTGTGAATATGAACTTGAAGAACACGGTAAAAATTCGCCAACATAAATACATGATCATACATGATGAGGTAATACTGTTTGAATTATACAAAATTATATTTAAACCAGCTTCAGGTTTTTTTCATTTTCTGCAATCCTTTAACGGTTTCACATACTTTCCTAAAATCACGGGAAGTACATATGCTGCATAAACCAGTAAAATCTATTGCCACTGTATTTGATATTTTCTTAGCTTCGCTTTACCAAATGACATAGCAAAACACATTGAACTCAATGCATTCCTCTATGCGTTTATGACGTCGATGACGGCAAGGCGTCACGTTCCTATGGTGGTATAAACTCCATGAATCAACTAAACATACAAAAAAGCAACCGAATCATTATATTTAATAACACCTACATTCGCGTATTGCAAACTAATAATCGATTGTATTTATTTTCTCTTTTTTGTAAATATGAACCTGAAGAACACGGCTGAACTTCTCCTAACTGACTATAAACCTTCACTGCTTGGATTCAATAAAATTAGAATATTGTAGAATGTATTTCTAAGTTTCGTCATTTTAACGCGATTGAACGAGTTATTACACTCGCTAATTGAAAACTGTGTTTTAGTGCAATCATCAACGTATTATCATTATTTAAATGTCACAATGAAAATCGCGCAAACTCGCTCTTGCACAAGCCAAAAAAATTGATAGGCTTATTTGAATTATACAAAATTGATTTATCCAGTACTTTTTTTTGTCTGACACGATTAAACGATCTCTCTTACCTTTACTAAAATGGCGATTGTCAATAGCAGCACTTGTGCTGTAAAATATATTTTCACTGTATCTGAAATTCTCTGAGATTCACTCTTCCTCGTAACATAGCAAAACAAACACGTAACAGACGTCGACGACGGCAAAACGTCATGTTCCTATGGTGGCACAAAACTACATGCATCAACAAAACACATCCGCAACATGGAGTCTAATATTCAAATGCACTGATTCAAATGTTACCTATATTCACGTATCGCAAACTAATACTTTATGAATTTTCTTCCTTCTATTTGTAAATATAAACAAAGAACATGACTAAATTTCCCCCCCAGAAAACACACTACGCGGAAATACTGATTGTTTTATACATAATTTAATTTAACCAGCACTACACCTTTTTGAGGTCATGTCGATACTCCCCCGCACCGTTACTCCCCGCACCGATACTCCCCCTTAGTAATTTTTTGTATTATGCGCATCGATACGACCCCACACCGATAGATCCCCGCACCGGTACATCCCCGCACCGATACTCCCCCTCAGTATATCTGTAATGTGGGGAGTATCGGTGCGGGGACGTATCGACATGTAACCATTTTTTTCACATTTAGGCCTACGTAACAATTTAACGATTGTTCTCACCTTTCCAAAAACCCTGATAAATATAGTCAATTGATCGCAGCGCTTATCCAGTAAAATCTATTTCCTCTGTATTTTATGTTCTCTAAGATTCACTTTTCCTCGTAAGAAAGAAAATTACAACCTTTAATCCTCTGGTGGCAACGTTTCTCGGATCAATGATCATAACAATGGCAGTGTAGAACGTAACTATAACTTTCTTAACGTTTTCTGATAGACTGATAGTCTAACCAATGCATAACGGCTCTGTCACACCTAGCATTAAAAGGTTCGTACTGTATGTCTGAGTATCGTGTGTGTCATCGATGACAACTTGGAGCGTACGCGAAGGCATCACCACTGAATTTATTGAACCTTCGTTTCAGTAACAACCTCTCACCTAAAATGAGGCCTGCCTGTTGTAATTTGCATAACAATAAGCTGCTCATGCTTCCCGAATGCGTACTTCGCAGTTCGACACGGTCGGGTGTAGACCTAGCACTATGTGTGGTGCAGTCATGAGGTCGAGCTTTTAGAAGGCTTAGAAGCAAATGCATCCTTGTGAGTATCAGTATTTCTTCTATAACCACCGACATTTTTAAATACTAAAGGCGCAGACAAACGAAAGAATATTTATGACATGAGTCCTTGTACTACTATTTACTTAATTAAAACAAATTACATGTGTTCAACATATTTTCTATAATCTTCCATGAAAATTTGTAAATGATCTCTTGTGCGCTTCTCTGAAATGCGTCAATATGCACTGTAGTAGGTGTTATAATCTTTAATATCAAGTGGAATATATTAATGGTCGTAGTCAAAATCTTCCCTCAAATGAAACGGGTTGTGTTATCAGTTTTTATTATTATTATTATTATTATAGCAAGAGGTAGTTATATCATTATAAACTAATTTCAGACAATAAATTTAGACGTTAAACAACATTTTTTTCTGCCTGGATGAGCCTGAACATCAGACAAGTCACTAAACACGCACGCCATTTCAATTTTAAGTGCCCCCTCTGTAAAATTTAATGCATTATTCGTAGGTTAAAAGCCTGTCCGTCTAGTCTAAAGTAGTAAACGTTTCTATTTTCAGAAGCTCAATGAAATTCTGCACAACATGCTCCTGCAAGCAGCCTACGGAACCTAGCCTTTGTTTCACACACAGGACTGCTCGTTCGTGCATAATATGAAAACTGAATAAATATTAAATAAATAATTCAGCGTTTTATTCGTTGTGCTATGAAATTTTGACGAAAAAATAGTAATCGTGATAAGCAGAAACGAGTAATATTATTTCATGTTTCAAGACTTCCAAAGTCAATCGTCTTATTCTGATCTGTGAATAATGTCTTCTTTCTGTGGTACCTAAAATGAAATAGTTGTAAAATACCCAGTATTTATAAACCGACAGCCCTCATTTTTAAATTTTCAAATTAAAATTTTGTTCTAAAGCAAAATGGAAATAATTCGTTTGTCCTCCTGGATATAAGTCCCCAATATTTCCTTATATAGCAAAGGGTCCTTTTTTGACGGGTTCTGTTTTTTTTTCCTACCGTGAATTGATTTATATTAGTTAGCCTATTCTTCGTATGAATAGTTCAATTTGACACTTGAGCAGAAAAATTAAAAAGGGGAATAATTCTTATTTGGACTTGTTTTTAATGGCAACGATTAAAATTTGCCTAAATTTATATTTTGAATGTAAACAAAGGTGCGTTTTTCAGTTTTTGTTCTCTGAAACAAATTGTGAGCATTTGAAATGATATATGGAATATATTCTTGATTCCTTCATGTATTTTTGTGAACAATTTCGAATTTCACAAATAATGTTTGTTTTAATAGTTTAATTTGACATTCTTTCAAATAGAATTGACTCGCCCCACCACACAGCCCCTGTGATGGAATGGACTTGCCCCACCTAATACCCCTCCATTTGAATAGACTCGCCCCACCAGACACCCCTCCGATGAAATGGACTCGCCCCACCAAGCACCCCCCCCCCACCGATAGAATGGACTCGTCCCACCTGTCATCCCTCTGATGGAATGGACTCACCCCACCTGACATCCCTCCAATGGAATGGACCAGCCCCACCTGTCACCCCTCAGATAAAATGGACTAGCCCCACCTCACACCCCTCCAATGTAATGGACTCACCCCACCTTGGCTATTTGCTTGGCTATTTGGTCATTTATACTATCCTCCATTTGTACAGGATCTTAATTACTTAATAAATGGTTAGGATCAGTTGACGATGATGTTCTTTTCATTGTAACTCGCCTCACTCAAGTCATTCCACTGCTTAAGTTTTTATCTCCTGTGTAAATTGACCTTGTGTATTTGCACGCAGTGATTGGAGCTTGTCATTTGTCGGTGAAAAGTGACTAGTATATATAAAGCGTGTCAGTATACAGGCAGATGCAATCGAGAGGCAGGGGTAAGTAGAAAGTATACCGAACAGTTGTCACTGTAAAGAATATATGCAGTGTAGTTATTCAACGCAAGTAGCAAAAAAGTAAGTGGAATGTACCTTAAAGTTAACTGTATGTAGCTGTTCATAGTGTTTTTCTAAAATTAAAGCAGTTTTTTTATTTAGAGTACATTTATGTCAATTTATTTATTTATTTTCTAGATTTGTACGTGATTACTCATTTGACTTTTAGAAGGTCGACGCACCAACTCTAAGGATTTGAGCAAGTCACAAATTTGTGTTATCTACAGCACTGATTTTAATAAAGGACAACCTCTTATTTATGAATTACAGACTATGTTGTCTACACCTTGTGAGCAATGAATGTATTTCTTAAAATGAAGTTAAAACAATCCACTAGTTCTCCATAAGCACCAAGCAATTATCAAGATTACCCGAAAACACCTTTTACTCATTTTGTTATGATATTGATGTCCAAGTAGTCCTTCCCGGAAGAAATGAACACTGGATCATGGTGGTTTATTTTCATCACATGTCGGTAATTTCAGGTACGTACCGACAATTCGAAGGTTTATAACATACAAATATTAACCTATTGATTCAGAGACATTTATTTCCTCCTTGTAGCAAATATGAACATTGATCACTCGACAAAATTGCTCGAAAATATTTCATAAACTGAAATATTATTTCCATTCTACAAATCAAATTAATCTATAATTACAAGTTAACAAGCTTTGTTGCCATTTTTATTCAACAATTTTTCACCTTTTTCTAAAATCACGATAAGTATACAGCCAGTTGCATGTTGCGCTCTCTTCTTTCACTGTTTGATATTTTCTGAAATTCACTTTTCCTAGTAACCAACACATGATCTCAAATACTTTATGCGGTCATGACGTCGCTGACGACAAAGCGTCACGTTTCTAAACGTATAATTAATTAAATTGTTACAAGTTTTGTCTTTTTGTGCAAACATTTGGCGATCTTCCTCACCTTTCCTAAAATTATGATTAGTATAGGGCATAGTATTTACAGCCATTGTCTAGTAAATTCTAGTGTCAATTTAGGCCTATTTGGAATTGTTTTAATACACTTTCCATGTTACATAGCAAAACGAACATATGACCACAAATCCTCTATGCGGTCATGACGTCGATGACCGCACAGCGTCACGTTCCTATGGTGGCACAAAACAACGGTGCATCAACAAAACATTTCATCAAGCAACCGCATCAAAACATTCCAATGTTTCGTACACTCGCCCATTGCAAACTGATAATCTGCGAAATTTTCCTTTTATATATATATATAGATATGAACAGGCACAACGCTGCTAAACCTCTTCAGAGCAGACAATACATGGAAATCCCGTTTTAATGGTTCAAAATTAAATTCAGAATAGAATTATAGATGTACAAGTTTTGTTTTGTTATGCTTCAATTCGGCGTCATTTCTCATCTTTCCTAAAAATTATGATAAGTTTATAGCATATTGCTTGCATCGCTTATCCTAGTGTCACTGTAGGCGTATTTGGATTTTCTATACATTTTTCCCGTAAAATTCAGTATCAAATCCAACATACATGTATGACGACAAATCCTCTATACCGTCATGACGTCGATGACGACAAAACGTCATGTTCTTATGGAGGCACAAAACTACATGCATCAACAAAACATACAAACAGGCAACCGCATCATAATATTCAAATATTACCTACATTTGCGTTTTGCAATTTAACTCCCTTTTGTAAATATAATAAAAAAAGAACACGGTTTAATTTCTCCATAACAGAAGATGGATGGCTATACAATTTAAGTTATACAAAATTTAATTTAGCTTATAATTACAGATTTTCAAATTTTGTTTTTTTTTGTCCAAAAATTGAACGATCTTCCTCACCATTCCAAAGACAATGATAATTATGGAGTAGATAACTGCAGTGACTATCCTGCAAAATTTATTTCCATTGTATATGAAATTTTCTAAGATTCACTTTTCCTCGTATCATTGCAAAACACATACATGATTGTAGGCCCTAAATGTGGAAATGACGTTATATCTTTAAAACCTGCTATTTTCCCTCCTTTCTGTAAATATGAACATGAAGAACATGATCTCAAATCCTCTATGCGGTCATGACGTCGATGACGCCATTTGAAGCGTTATATTCTTATGGCGACCCAAAACTACATGCATCAACAAAACAAACGAGCAAGCAACATAACCTACATATTCTTTTTCTCTTTTTTTTAAATTTTAACCTTAGGAACACGTCTGAATTTCTCCAGAGCAGACTACATGTGCCTTCACGGAAATACTGTTAGGATTAAACAAAATTAGATTATTCTAGAATGTAATAGAAATAATTAACTCTTTCAATGACAAAGTTTATTATTTCTATTACATTCTAGAATAATCTAATTTTGTTTAATCCTAACAGTATTCCGCCAGCGAAATAAAGGCATCTAAATGTTGCTTTTAGATATTACCACTCGTTTCTTGTTGTAACTTATCATTACTGTTGTAACTCCTTGTCATTACTATCATTGTGTTAATGTAGTAATGAAAATTGCGCTCATTTTCTCATACACAAATAAAAAATTCATACGCCTATTTGAATTGTACAAAACTGATTTTTAGAACCATACGTTTACACCTTTTCCCCTTTTTTGCAACACAACTTAATGAGTTTTCTTACCTTAAGTAAAATGATGATAAGTAAAGCGCTGGTCACTAGCAGCACTTGTGCTGTAAAATATACTTCCCTTGTATTTGAAATTCTCCGAGATTCACTCTCCATCGTAACATAGCAAAACAAATGTATGAGCTCAAATCCTCTATGCGGTCATGACGTCGCTGACGGCAAAGCGTCACGTTCCTATGCTTAAACAAAACTGAAACGTACAGCAAATGGATGATTCACTCGGCGTAACAATTGTAGAGTGAGGGGAAACCGGTGTAACAGGAATGGAAGTCCGAGGAATGGAGGTTTGGGCTCCCATATAATTAGTACAGGTTAGGGTTAGTTGGAGTATTGGGGTTAGTATATAGGACGAATATCACTTGTACAAAGTAATGGGTGGCGGACTACAGTTCCTAGCGGACTACCATTTCTGTTACACCTGGGCTAGTTGGTCCAGTTAGACACTTTTGGCCTTGGTCCGAATATGATAGCCGAAATCGCCAGCGAAATAAAGGCATCTAAATGTTGCTTTTAGATATTATAAAAAAACTAGTCTTATTGAGTATGTGCATATCAGTAAAAGTGGAGCTATCAGAATAGGTTTTTTTCCTGCAAAATGCACTAATATTCCTCTTAAAAACTGGAAACCATTCTCGATGGCTTAAATAATTCAAATTAATTTTAAATTTACTAAATTAAATTTTTATTTTTTAAACAAAACAAAACAAACATGCAATTGTTGAATTGGTGCATAAAAATGATTATCTTTTGTGTAATTTTATACTCAAACATTAAGGAGAGGCAATTTCTATTATTTCCCTTCTAGGAAAGTACTTCCTACTTTTCATTAAGTTGAATAGCTCACTTCCTCAAAATAAAAATAAATAAATAAAATTTATAAAATTAAAATACACATTTCTACTAAAATCTACTGACCATTTTGTATCAAAAATAATCAGGAGACTGCATTTAACACATACATTTATATGAACAATGGTCAAACCACCAGTCTTGTTCGTGTATCACAGTTTAAAATTTGCTTTCACTGTTTCATTTCTATCAGATTTAATACTTTATGGCACACCTAAACAGCTTCAGTCAACAGTTTTTGTAAGTTAAATCAGAAATAACAGCCCTTTCCACCAGTTCCATATTACAATAGCATCTTAGAAGAATTTTATGTCCACTCTTGCCAAAGCAGCTCTGTTATGTGACACTTGTATTGAAAAAAAGGTGGACATAGCATGCAGTATATTTATCTTTATATATATATATAGTAAACCCCAGTATATTCTAAGTCTTCATTTTATTGCATGATGAGAACAGACTGATACAATGCTGTGAGCTTGGGACAGTCTTTTCAAAATTCCCTATGCTGGTTCATATCCTCTTTCTCCAAGAATCTTCCCATTATCTATACAGTCACTAACCCAATCTTGTGTAACAATATGGAATTTCTGCCATCTGGAGCGATTAAGACTCCTGAATTTGTCAATCCTTCCCAGGTCTCTGTCACATAAAACTACGTGGGTGACATCCTCGTTCAACATTTCACACAGAGTAGCTCCATACATCCTCAGTTCTAAGCTGGTCAGCTCCAAGCTACAGTCCTTTATGTGGGTGCTTTTGTCACCAATCACTGTGTTGTCATCTAGGTACACCCTGGAAAAAGTTATGGTATTCTTAATTGAAATGCTTATTTTCAGTAAAGACAAACAGAGAGGAGAATTTAGTCTACTGGAGTAATATTTCACTAAGTGAATAAGGTTTCATTCACATGCAATGTCTATTTTCTAAATTCTATTTTCTATTCGCGGTATGTCTTATGATCACGGTCTGTGCCCTGAATGTCCCGCGACGTAATTACTGGCAGTGCGAGCCAGTTACTATAAGTTACTATAAGTAACTGGCTCGCGCTGCCAGTAATTACGCCGCGGGATATTCAGGGCACAGACAGTGATAATAAGATACCGCGAATAGAAAATAGACTTTCCATGTAAACGAAGCCTAAGTGGGGCAACCTGTCATTTGGTCATATATATCCAACAGTTCTGGAAGACAACTTTCATAATATTCATATAACCTCCATCTCAGTGATGACTAAAAGTGTGACAACTTACATGTTAGTATAAGAAACCATAAACAGTGTATGGGAGATTGCAACTCAGCCTAGCAACAGTCAGCCTTTATCTTTCTATATGTACTGCACTGTAATCTTTGAAACACAGTCTGTACTATACCTAAAACTACTGAAACATTTACACTTGGCCAGAGCTTTAAAATTTTTTATATGGTAATACAATAAATATATCATATACTACAACATGTATAATACTACACAAAACGTTTCTACACTTCATTGTCTTATCTTATCTAGAGAAAATGAAGATTTTTTTTTCATAAGACACACACAGTTGAACTATTGGTGGAACAGAAATAAGTACCTGCATAGCCTGAACAGACCATATGTAGAACCTTCCACAAAATATTTATTTTCTATCTCAGCTATAAAATCTGTGCTCACTGGTTTCAATTTACCCTATAAAATGAAAACAAAAAATAAAATTTATTCATATGTGACTACAAAATGATGGTTCATATTTGAGCATTTAAATTAAAGACAACAGAGTCAAATTATTCAATATTCATTGAAAAGGATGTCGACTGCATGTACAAAGATTTTTTTCCTCAAGGAACAATGTCAACTTCATATTATTCATCTATTAAAAACTTCTTCCAGACCTTCTTTTGAATTCTTTTAAACAGACTAGCATTTCTTAGCTTGCCTCCATGCAAAATTTTAATTTCTGTATGTTTTCATTAATCATCTATTAATATTATTATTGGGTTTTTATGTTTTCAATATGGTGCACTCAAATCATTAAAATGATTATCAATCACAAAACCAATTTAAAAAAATGATACTCCATATGGCAAATAATTTAAAAGATAACAATGGAGAATGATGTAAAAAGCAGCTTCTGGAGTTTAAATCATAGGCATATTTGAGCCAAAGTAATATTCTACATACTATAATACTTTGTCAGTAATATGCACATGGAAAACATTTAACAGACAAATTAGCAATATCATGCAGTGCTCTACCAGTACCTCTTCTTGCACTTTCTTGAAAACAACCATGAGCTGGTCTATGGTGGTATCTTCTGTGTAACTGTCTCCATAATCATCATAATTCTGTTTAAACAAGGCTTCTGTTTCTGGTCTGGCATGCAGCATATCAGATGGAACCCTAGGGATAAGAAATACAATGCTTGAAGAAATTAAGAATACCTGTAGCTATAGTAACTACCAATAAAATTTAACTGCATGCATGAATAAACATTCATTGCAAGTAGTACATCAGCATGGACTTGTGAAAACACAGCTCAGCATGTAAAAACTCAATAAGATTACATTTAGCTACATGAAAAAATACAATAACATTGCATTACACAGCTATTTTGCAAATAGTTTCCCTTTCCCTATAGCAGATTGGATACAACACAGTTTAGTTAATCCAAAACTTCTTTTTATCAAAAGATACATGAAGAAATGTGGCCATCACAATGGCTATATCTATATGCTAGAGAATATTATCTCTCCTACTCTCTTGAAAATATTTCATACATGTAACAAGTAAAATGGGATTTCATGCTCTCAGTCAGTACATGTACTGTAGTTGTAATTTCCAGATTGATTGAATACAGCCAGCAAATTTATTTTCCTCTTACCAAGGCAGAAGTCTCCTAGCCTCTGTGCATCTCACCAACCAGTCCAACTTCACTACGTCATGTTTGTTGGTGCTGATGATATTTTTCACTTTCATTTGCACTTTGTCACATAGCACACAAAACGTCTCTGGACCTGAATGAAAGTGTAGCATAAATCAGTGTTATGGATCCAGTTGATTATCTGTGCATCATTCAACATCTATGGTAAAAAGAGGCTGAATGTCAAAATATTCCAGCAATAATTTCCATTGGAGTAATACAACCTTGAACTTTAACATAACCTTGACATATCTGCAAACTTGACTGACCTGGATGTTGAACCGCAGTTCCCCCATACTCAACAATCTTCTTCTCGAGGCTGGCTTTGGAATGTTTACTTGACCCATTGACCACACAGAATTCTTTATCTTCAAAAAGTTCAGATACCTGAAATGTGTTATAATTTATCATGCATTTCTATTGAATTTTTTGTGCTTCAATAAATAAATATATTATTTGAAATTAAAAATAATACATGTAACTCATGTCAAATCACCAAAATATGTAATAATGAATGGGTAGTAACACTCATATGACTCATATGTACATATCTTACTTACCTTTTTAACCTGTGAAGTATCAGTCGCTCTAAACTGTGGAGCAACTAAAGGTTTCTCCTGTCTTACAACAACTTTCTTCTTTTTCTTTATCGGTTCATCTTCATGGTCCTCATCTGCATGGCGACCTGCTAGCTTACCAGCAAATTGCTGAAAAAAAAAACAATAAACAAAAAAAAAAGGTCCATCTTATATATATTATGAATAAATTTCCAGTATCATTACAGTGCTTTTATAACCAAATTATTTTTTTAGAAATTTCTTACATTTATCTTTAATCAAATCATATTAGTTTGGTTAAATTATTAAGGTGTCTGAGTTATCATTTTACTTCAATCTTTGTTACAAAATTGTACATGTATGACCTTGATTTTGTAATTACTGTAACCAATCAATTATCAGCCAGTAGTGCATGAAGTGCAATGTATATCTATGTTACAAACAAACAAAACAAACAAACAAACAAATCAACATACGAAAGGAAAATAAATCTAACCTCCTGTAGCTCCTTCAATTCTGTAAATGTCAAGCATTCATGCCATGGCTTGTCAGAGCGTATTTTTTCTACACGTGGAAATCTCAAGGTACACCCAGTGCCAAACTTGTCACTGTCTGAGGTGATCTCAGAGGCTTTGATCTGTTGATATAATAAAAAGACATGAAGGGTTTATAATATTGTACATGTTGTTCACCATAAAACTCATAAAGACACTAAACACACCAATCTTGCATTTGCAATGTTAACTGTTACAAAAGAAACACTACTCTGTTGTCCCCTGGCAAGTGTGAACTTGTTAATATATGATATGATATGATATGATATGATATGATATGATAAGATATGTTATGATATGATATGATATGACATGACATGACATGACATGACATGATATGATTGGATAGAGATATTCCTAAACCAATAATATATGCAATTAAATATGAATAAGAACCATTTCATCATTTCTTTTAGCCAAATTTGTTTTCTCAGTCAACAAAAATAGGTGTGCAAGCTTGTAACTAGATCCTTACTTGCAGTATAGTGGAATCTGAGGGTTCTACCAAGAGACTGGGCTTTTCCCTGCCCAATATTAGCCAACTGGGGGGCCCTTTCCTGTCTGAATATGGAATCCATTTATCTTGCATACGCCTGTTGAATTCAAACAGCTCTTTCCTGCTATATCCGGATCCCACCTATAGTATTTATAAACTAACTGTGTAGGTACATTGTCTACCTTTATTGCAAAGGATTACTTGTGCTTTAAAAAAAAGAAACAATTCCAATGCTGAATTATCATTTATGTGCATAAGTCATGTTTACAATTATGTTTCTCTCAAATTAGGACCAAACGTACATCATATCTTCAACAAACCTAAGAAATAAGAAAAGCAACAAATTAACAAACTCACTGAAACTGAGAATGTTCTGAAACAGCTTGTACACATATATACAGAACATTCAATGTAAATTACCACAAGTGAAAGAAAACTTGCATTTGGAGATCCCAAACTTACCCGACAAAATGACCTGAATTTGGAGGGCTTCTCTCCAGGCTCAAAGGGCTCAGCCACAGCACACAGGAAGTGTGACACCAGTCCCCCTCTGGCCCCCACACCAAAGTACCCTCCCACCACCAGGACATCTAGGTCATCTCCCAAACCCCTCATGTACTCAGGCTTGATCTTGTACCAGCCACCTTTGCGCACACTGGGTTTGTACACAGAGTCTGGGTTCTTCACCATGATCCCCTCTTCTCTCTTGTCAATGGCATCATTCAATGCTTGAAGACACTCCTTGCTTTAATGCATGGTTCAATTGTCAATAATACAAATCAGTATACTTCTACTGGAAATTTGTTCATGATTATATCACACAGAAGTAGTGCAAAAGTACTTTTAGAAAATTACACATGCTGTAGTAAATATTTTCTCCTCGGCATTCTCTCAAATGACATACTAAGTACTGAACCTTTAGAGCTACATGTAACTCCATCTAGTCTAATGTAAATCACCTGTACATGTAATATTTATGCAAAAGTAAATAACAAAGCCATAACTACTCATACAATGCACACGCTATATATACAGCACCTTGTGGTTGCCTCTTTGCTTTCAGCAATAAACATTCTGCATTCAACTGGATTAAAGACATCCTTCAGTATTTCCTTCCTTTCTCTGAGTGGAAGGTTGGACAGAACTCTATCATTCAGCAACAGGATATCAAACACACAAAGACAAGGCTGGTAACCATCTAGGTTAGTGTCAGATTTTATGTCAAAATTTTCTCCTTTGGTTCCTGTTGAAAGACAAAGTGTATATTATGAGAGAATATGTACTGTACTGGTAAGCCTACTGGAATTGTCGTCAAAGCATGGGCAATTGTTTCTAACATATGATTGTTTAATATGTGAGAAAAGTTGATACAGATAAAATTTTGTAAAGGGATAACAATTTTATTTCCTGAAGTCAGAGAAAACAGAGAAAACAATTATTACTTTTAATAATCAAATAAAGAAAAATAATTTTTGAATACACAGCGGGCATTTAAATACAGACAGTATGTGCTCTGGTATTTTGTCTATATACAACACTTGTAGAATTCATTTGAAAACTAAACTACTAGTGTCACCGTTTCTCTGTGACAATCGTCAAGGAATATCCACCATGGTCCAGTCTCATATCCAGTGTAGTTGGCTGTAGATGGATATAGACCAAAAGTCAGAGCTCATACCATTGGTATTTAAGTGTCCAGTATATGATCCAGTTTTCATTCTTAATTTGACCAAGGACGTTTATTGATATAAGTCCTTGATTTGACTGAATAAATTGAAATATCCATATATGATATATTTTATTCCATGTAAATTATTTCATAAGAAAAACCAAAATTATACTAATATGGACACACATGATGAGACAATCACTTTAAGCACAAAAGAAAAATCTATCAACTTACTAATTATTTTTGTTTCTGGGTGTATTCCTACCATTTCTCCATCAAGAATGCAATTTTTCACTCCTGGCTTGAAGCAGTTAGCAATATATGGGGTTAAATTTCCATCATAAGGATTTTCACCAAAGGTTCTGGAGTAATTGTGACCACTGAAAAAAAGCAAATTGAATTTTATCCACATCAAAAAGGCAGAAACTATCAAATAACACATTTTAACTCATAAAGTATGCCATGTTCCTCAATATACGACAATGTAAAAATGTAAACTGAACTTACTTTCTTGAGAAATACATATATTCATCCTCTTTCTTGTGTAGCTGCATACGCTCTCCATCAAACTTGATTTCTATGTAGAACATCTTTCCTTCCATAATTTTATCAAGCTAAATATAAAAAGGAGTTTTTCTTATCTCTCAAACATAAATATACCTGATCTTACAAGATTATATTATTGGCTGTTTTAATTGCTACATGAAATTAGCACGTTCATAGAGAAATTAAAAAAATCATACATATTTGGAAGTTTTTCTCTTCTTTTTTTACAAACAAAACTGACCTGTTTGGGCACTGCTAGCTCTCCCAACATTGGATGGAAGGGGGCACCCACTGATATCTCTATCTCATGCATACGAGTGCTAGGATCTTTAAGATTTGCACACACCTGAATTAATAAAATTACTTTAAATAAAATTTCCCACTTAAATTGAATGAAAAGTTTTATGAGTTAAAGAAAAAACTTAAAATTTACACACACATACAAACACACACACACAGACATGCACAAAATGAAATGAAATAAATCTAACAATACATGGATCAACATAATGAAAAAAGAAAGTAACAGCTTTCTCAATTTACCTTTTCTAAACTTGTGGTCACATTGAAATATTCATTGGCATCAGGGTGAAAGACATTTAAAATGGCCTGTTGACTTAAACCACACTTCAACTCCTTCATGATCATCCTGCAGAGATACAATTAAAGCTAAAATTAATAAATTAAGTCGCTCTTAACTGATAACATTACACTCATTTATTAACTAGTAAGAAGCATTGATTGATTAGAGAATATTACTTGGTCTGTATGAAGTTGTTTTAAAGTCAAGTTTAAAGACAATTTTTTCCTTTTTGATTAGAAATGGATTAGTATTCATCATACATCCTGTTCAATTAGTTATCCACACCTCTCACTTTCTTATCTTGTCAAAGAAAAACAAAGATTGGCCACTAATAACTTTTAGATTGAAAGTTACATCTTTAGCATCAATACAATACAATACAATACAATACAATACCTTATCAACCATTTCTGCTCAAGAGCTGACAGGTTCCTCAACAGATGCAGAATATTTTTTCTCACTAAATCTTTCTTTCCTGTGGTCTGATTTGTGGCAATACCATCTAGGCACTGGTTCACTTCCTCGATGGTCAAACTTCCCTTCTCTGGGCAGCGGGGCTTCAGCACAAAGTAGGCCACAGTTGCAAAATCACCAGCATCCTAAAATATTAAGAATATATGCATGGGGCTAAAGTCAGTAACTGGCCCTTAATTATGAATATGACGTTCAAAGGTTTTTACTGTACCCATTAACTAGTTAGGATCAAAACTGGTGAAAACAGCTTCTCTCATTCTTTTTGTTTTCATTTTATCCTTTTTCTTTAAATGATTTTAGTGATTTTAATTAAATCAAATGTAAATAAAGATCAACAGGATTTTTTCATTCTCTCTAGTCTTTTTATATCATATTTAGCATTCTACAAAAGAAATATATGCTAGTGTAAGTTTAGACTATCAAAATATCTAAGATAAAGCTATATCAACAATGTATTTCTACATACTGCAACTGATAATACTGTCAACTGATATGCAGAAGAAAAACTTAAAATTTTTACAAAGCAAGTGATGATCTTCACAAAACAATAATCTCACTCTGAAAAAACCCTATATACCCCTTTAGCATTCTTGGGAGCTCTGTATTTAATCAACTTGTCTGCAGCAGGGCTGTCCTTTCCCAGGCACAGCACTTCTATATACAGCTTGGCAAGTGTGTTCTAAAATGTTAAGAAGAAAAATAACAACCAGGTTCAAATGAGAAAATCAAAATTTGACAAACAATGGCACTTTTGTGCTTTCCAGAAATGTACAGTCAAAAATATCTTGTTGCAAAATTTTAATCAATTTAAATTCTCAATAAAATGTAATTCTTAATAATCGATAAAATGTATTAATTACCTCCTTAATGCCATATGCAGCTCTTTCTCGCTCCAAATGGGGTAGCAGAAGTCTTAATGCTGAATAGAAACTGTCTGTCTGTAAGAATAAGATAAAATAAATTGCAATCAGTTATCAATCTCCATCGATGTCAAAACGATAAATTGATGGAACTGTTTAAGTTGACATGAATTATGAAACTAGAAAAACCGGTAATTTATCAGGCTTTTCTGCTCCGCCCCACCCCCTATTCCTCTTCAGCACCCTATGATTATCATTGTATTGATTTAAATAAATTTAATTATCGAATGGGAATGCAACTCTTTTTCATTTTCATGTGTGTAAAGAGGAAATTTTAAGGAGAAAGAAAAACTTCAAAGATGAATTACGTCGACTCTCGTCGACTTCCTACCGTATTAGCATCGTCTGCATGCAACTTTCCATGGAAATCACGCCAGCGGTTAATGAATTCTTGCAGCAGAAGTTTTTTGTCCGCTCCTTGCTTTTTGCTTATTTTCTCGAGTAGTCCTGCAAGTTCGGAAAATGGAACTTTGGAAGCAACCGTAGTCATTGTTGTACAAGCCGCATGTATCACTGTGAATGTAAACACACCAGTCTCTGCGTGCAGGGAAGCATATCAATTTGTGTTGAAAACCCAGTAAAACATTCCTCCATAAATCAGTAAAATAATAATTTAGACATATATATTTTAAATTAAACATTGTAAAAGGTTGTTAAGTATTTATTATAAGTAACAGTAGATTATTATTTAGATAATTTATGTACCAACACATAGTTTATTTTTCTGTTTTGGGGTCTTCAATTTATGGAACCAGCTAAGAATCATCACATCTATTACCAAGAAGCAGGTGGTAAGTCTATCGGAACAAAAACAGATTAAAAACAATAAATAGTTATGTTAATTTAAATTTCAGATAACTATTATTTTGAAAATATAACTGATTCTTTGTTTAAGAATGAATTAAAAAGTATGTTTGAGATAAGATCATTGATTTCCATCTAGCATTAAAGCTCAATTTTCTATGTTTGTATGTCGCATAGGACAAGGTGCGCATGCGTTAATAAATTTTAACGGACTCAAATAATCGGCGAATTTTCAGACAAATTATAACTAGTTTTGTAGCTGGAGTAAACTTATGATACCATTCTCATGCCAGAAATGGAGATAGGCAAGCTCAAAGTTGGCGTCAACGTTGACATTCAACGGACAGACGGTGAGATTTCATTTATTGCTTTTGGTCCGATGACAAATGCACACCCTTGTTTCAACAGACAACTCTGTCCAACATGCTCCGCTAGCCAAATAAAAGAGTTTAAGTCACAATTCACTAATCACTCGTTCTCGAGTGTGAGGGGAACTTGAACTTTTTATGAGTAGTGAAACTAAAAGCGGTGCAATATTCCCAATCCTTATCAGATCAAGTTAATGATGGCTGCAGTGTGCAGAGACCCAAGGCTAAATCCAGCTGCATCCAGTGCAGTAAGATTCAAGTTGAAGTCGTTAATTGGTGACCTAGCATCAAAATCAGTGGGTTTTTAACAGCCAGGAAGCACACTTTGTCATTATACAAAGTATGGTTGGGGTGTTGTATCTGTCAGTTTAGCCCTTGCCATGTAACTGGCATAAGCATTGCCATGACAAGTGCAGGGTTGTGTGTACAATGGAATTACAATGTATATTTCCATTCAGCATATTATTTTTTGTCTATATGCAAGATATGCATTCACATTACTTTTTTGTCATTGAATGTTTGGAAGGCAGATTTGCCACTATTGTTGGGAGTTGTAATGAATGGAAAATTTATTCACAAAGCAACGAGGCCAGAAGGTAGCTTTTTTTTTTATTATTCACACACTCAGAATTTTTCTATGGTGCTACCAAGTAGAATTTTCCCTGAAAAGAATAAAGCAGTTTTAACCTACTCTCAAACCATTGCTTGACCCTTCTCTGCCCTGGGATACATTTTTTCCTATTTTCTTATAAAATAATTACATAGTTTTAAATGACTGGTCTGTCNTAGTCATTGTTGTACAAGCCGCATGTATCACTGTGAATGTAAACACACCAGTCTCTGCGTGCAGGGAAGCATATCAATTTGTGTTGAAAACCCAGTAAAACATTCCTCCATAAATCAGTAAAATAATAATTTAGACATACATATTTTAAATTAAACATTGTAAAAGGTTGTTAAGTATTTATTATAAGTAACAGTAGATTATTATTTAGATAATTTATGTACCAACACATAGTTTATTTTTCTGTTTTGGGGTCTTCAATTTATGGAACCAGCTAAGAATCATCACATCTATTACCAAGAAGCAGGTGGTAAGTCTATCGGAACAAAAACAGATTAAAAACAATAAATAGTTATGTTAATTTAAATTTCAGATAACTATTATTTTGAAAATATAACTGATTCTTTGTTTAAGAATGAATTAAAAAGTATGTTTGAGATAAGATCATTGATTTCCATCTAGCATTAAAGCTCAATTTTCTATGTTTGTATGTCGCATAGGACAAGGTGCGCATGCGTTAATAAATTTTAACGGACTCAAATAATCGGCGAATTTTCAGACAAATTATAACTAGTTTTGTAGCTGGAGTAAACTTATGATACCATTCTCATGCCAGAAATGGAGATAGGCAAGCTCAAAGTTGGCGTCAACGTTGACATTCAACGGACAGACGGTGAGATTTCATTTATTGCTTTTGGTCCGATGACAAATGCACACCCTTGTTTCAACAGACAACTCTGTCCAACATGCTCCGCTAGCCAAATAAAAGAGTTTAAGTCACAATTCACTAATCACTCGTTCTCGAGTGTGAGGGGAACTTGAACTTTTTATGAGTAGTGAAACTAAAAGCGGTGCAATATTCCCAATCCTTATCAGATCAAGTTAATGATGGCTGCAGTGTGCAGAGACCCAAGGCTAAATCCAGCTGCATCCAGTGCAGTAAGATTCAAGTTGAAGTCGTTAATTGGTGACCTAGCATCAAAATCAGTGGGTTTTTAACAGCCAGGAAGCACACTTTGTCATTATACAAAGTATGGTTGGGGTGTTGTATCTGTCAGTTTAGCCCTTGCCATGTAACTGGCATAAGCATTGCCATGACAAGTGCAGGGTTGTGTGTACAATGGAATTACAATGTATATTTCCATTCAGCATATTATTTTTTGTCTATATGCAAGCCTTGAAGATATGCATTCACATTACTTTTTTGTCATTGAATGTTTGGAAGGCAGATTTGCCACTATTGTTGGGAGTTGTAATGAATGGAAAATTTATTCACAAAGCAACGAGGCCAGAAGGTAGCTTTTTTTTTTATTATTCACACACTCAGAATTTTTCTATGGTGCTACCAAGTAGAATTTTCCCTGAAAAGAATAAAGCAGTTTTAACCTACTCTCAAACCATTGCTTGACCCTTCTCTGCCCTGGGATACATTTTTTCCTATTTTCTTATAAAATAATTACATAGTTTTAAATGACTGGTCTGTCTCTTACTATTAGAGTACCATATCTTTCTATACATTTCAAAAGAAAATATCTCCTTTTTGTGTGGGATGGGTGGGGGATATGTATATCAATTTACGACCAGAAATATGAAGAAGCTATACTTTTAAAGCTTTATTATGGCTGAACAAGTGATTAATTGTGTTTTAGTTAATGCTTTTATATGTCACTGTCAAGTTTATTTTGATCTTATAAGAAACTAGTAGAAGGGGAATCTATGCTCCTATAATATGTAACTCTAAACAGAAGGCATGCTAGGTATATCTTCTATTTATAAGCTGATAAAAGCAAATTTCTAATGTCACAAAGTCCTACCTTTGGATTGCTATATAATTAAATGTTATTATTTTGTTTAGGCCGCATCCACTCTGCAGTAGTTAGTGGGGTCAGTGTGGAAACGCAGAGTGTCACTGTAGAGTGGTATGAAAAAGGAGAAACTAAAGGAAAAGAGGTTTGTGGACATTTCTTTAATCATAAAAAAAAAGATGTATTTTTTTTTCTGCTGTACAGTCATTTTTGCCAGACATTATAGAAGCCTTTTTTTTAACAAATGTTTTTGTGTTTTTTTAGTGGTCTTGTCTAAGTTTCTACCCAACTTTTGAGATCTTTTGAGCCCAACTTTCGAGTTCTTCATTTTCTTTTATTTACTTATTTGTAGAAAATGAAAAGTCTTTATTTTCATAATAATGAGAAATACATGATAGAAATGGGACAAGTAGACTAATGGGTTATGATCTACGTCGAGTCCCAGAGATTCAGCAAAACTGCAGTGCTTCATAATAGATATATTTTGTCATCATCAATATTGTATTTGCTAATTTTAGAGAGTGTGTCCTATTGCAATTACTTTAAGTTGTCATGACAACCAGTAAACATTTTGCTAGTATTGATGCTAAAGGACCTGTGCACTTTCAGATTGAGTTGGAAGCTGTATGGGCCTTGAATCCAGAGCTACAAGAGGAAGATGAGGAGGTCCAAGCTCCTCCAGTTCGAGAGGTCAGGTCAGCTAGGGTAGGTACCTCATGTGGATATATTTGTGGGAGGCTTAGCAAAAGGGAAATGATATCTCTGTCCAGTTACACCTTAACAATTGCATTTTAAAAGTACACAGTAACCAGGCAGTTTACTTTGGTGTTGGTGACTATTTTGAACAACATAGGCAGCAGTATGATGCATTTTGTAATAGGATCTGATTTTTTCAATTTTCATAATTTTGGGTCAAATACTGACATGGTGACCTGAATGTCAGATTCTCTTCTTATTATGACACCTTAAAGTAAGAAGCCATTGGTATCTTAAGTGGGATGAGGAGGCTTGTGGTTCATGAATGTTTTATGCACAAGCCATAGTACATTGCAGGTAGTTTATAGTTAAATGTTTTCATTAAGTTACTCCATCTTTTTGCTGGTCACATAACATGGTTAGTCTCTTACAGTAATTATGTGGTAAAATGAGCAAGGAGATTGCTCAGTTTGTATCAGTCACAAAATCATTGATTCTTGGCATTTCTTACTTTTACCCTCTGTGTAATGAATTCTGTGTTTGTCTCTGTAAATCTGAGAGCACACTGTAAAATATTCAGCAATGATTGTGTCTGTCATTGTTATGGCATTGCAGGGGGAGTTATAGATTTGTGTATTAGGTAAATGATTCATAAATTGCCTCCCTTCAGATATATGTAGGTCTGCCAAGAGATTTTTTTGGTAATTATTAATGGTGTGCGTCAGGTTATTACCCAATAAGGTAGCAACCTGGGAATCGAGGCTTGTGAGATGAATATAAAAGCAGTAGTTAGCAGACATGGAAGGAAGGCTGGACCAGCTATATTGAACTGTTACATTGTTTACATTTTCTTAAGTGCTTGTGCCCAAGGGGCCTTGCTGTTTAAGCAGTGTTATAATATGTGGGTTTTTTTTTTCTTCAGCCATCATTAAGTTCCACTCTATTGTTATGCCCATGAGGCAGTTGTTAAGTCAAAGACATTTGTCAGTAAAAAAAAAAAAAAAGAAATGGCCTAAAGATGCAATATGATTATGCTCATCATGTAGTTCCCAGTGATAATTGTTGACCGTAATAACAAAAAGGGTATGTTTAACTGTAGAAATTTGGCAGTGGCTGGTATTTAGTCGGGTGTTTTGGTCATGCACTACAATGGGAAACTGCTTAGGAAAAGGAAGACGGACAGAACGCCCAGAACCAGTTGTAGTTTCAGTATCAGACACTGGGGTGGACTTGGTAACAGTGAGTGGAAAAAAATCTTTGGTTGCCTTTGTGATTTTCATATACTTAGCCTGAGTAGCAGACCCAATGAGGGCCACCTTTGTGATCTCTTTTTCTATGTGCATTGGCTATTCACCTTGCTCGTGTGGGAGCATGTGAGAATTATGAAACTGGCACACATTTAAAATGTAGCCCAAGTTGTAGGGCACTCTTTTTGGGTAGGGAATTTAATGATAATATAAAACATCTGACTGTGAATGGACACTCAGCCTGTTTAACACATTAGATTGTATTTAATGATAAAGAAATGGATATGGCTCTGTCACACCAGCATATTGAACCATTAAGTTGTTGTAGATTAAGTATCCTGATGATCTCATATCCTAGCATGAGTCATACAGGACAGTTGTTGAGGTCTAATAGACATCTGTGCAATAAATCCAATACTATTTAAACTGCTTTCACAGCAAATGCCAGGGAACACCTGGAAAAACCTTTGGAAAAAAAGTTTCAAAACAACCAAATGTGTTTTGGGTTTTGATGGGTGGGGGGGAACTTGAAGATGAGATACAGACATGTTTGATGTTGTTTGAATTGTGACACAGTCAGATTCATTTAATTATTGACCAAAATCTCATATCAGCTGCCCTTGGGATTTTTTTCCCCACAAAATGTGCTGTTGCTCAACTAACACATTTATTGAGTTGTTTAGCAGTTAAGCTCTTTGATAGATTAACCACAATATCTTGTTTGTGCTCGATAAGGCTTTAGTCTTTGTGTAATGTGTTTTTATTTAACATCATATTATGCTAACCAAGGAAAATGATGAAGAGTCAAATGAGGGCATCACTGGGGAGGATCAGGACGAGGCAGAGGACAATGATGAGGGTGAGGTGCAAAACAAGGAAGAGGAGGAGGACGAAGAAGAGGAAGAAGAAGAAGAGAGTGAGGGTCTAATTGACTTTGAGAATTTAGACAGTGATGATGTAATCAATGTGAAAGATGCAGAAAATGAGGAGTTTGGTTCTGAGAGCCAGTTTGAGTTAGATTTAGATATCAGTGAGGACTTGGACAACATTGAGAGTGGAAGTGACAGCTTCACTCAGTACAGTGAAGAGCAGCCAGTGGGACCACCGCTGCCTAAGCAGAAGCAGCGACCAGCCAAGATTGACACTAAAAGGCCAGTGGTCAGTAGACCAGCCAGAGTTGGTGCCAGACAGGTCAGAAAGGTAGTTGGAATCCAGTCAATGTAGTAGTAGCTTTTTCAGAGATTTTAGATGAAACATTTTTATATTTTGCATAAGAATGTTAGATATAATGTGCTACTGTGAGTTGCCCTCTTTGGTTTTGTATTATAGATATGGATTTTATTTGCAGACATGTAATACATTTAGCATGTATGTGTATTGCATCATGTTCAATGATTTTGAAATGGAACTCAATAGTTAGCTTTTGTCAAAGCATGACCATATGTCCCATTATGTCATTGTGTCTTTAGAATTTTTGAAATCTTCTTTCTTGATTTGAGCTTAGGTCAAAAAATGTATGCTGTGTAACTTGGTGGTTTTTGATATTGCATTCAGCAGTGTTGTGTCACTCGAGTTCATCTTTGCATACATCATGGTGATCACTGCAACTTGCTTTCTGTCTACACTGCAGAAAGGTTTAATATGGGGGAAAATCACAAAAATGGTTTTCAGTATTATTGGTGACAAAGCAAATCAAAACAAACATTTTATAGTTGTTTCTTTAATGGATTTGTTTCATATAATATGTTTGGTTCATTGCTATAGCATGGACACCTGCTTACTATTATTTGCTTATAAGTGGAAGTTCACTATTCAGAATTATAAATATTGTGATTTTACATGTAGTGATTTTCAAGTGTTTGGTATTGTTCAGGTGCACAGAAAATTGCATGAACCGTGCATTGGTATCACACTTGTCAAATTTCATTTTTAGTAATGTTAATATTTTGTTGCTTTAATCTGGTATAAGCAGGACATTTTATTGATTTTGTATGATTTTGTGGGATTGGGTTACTCTCATAATACAATGCAGACCAATATTTTTAGTGTCATTATTGGGGCTAGCCATTTTTTCCCTGAGCAGATTTTTAGTAAGGAAGGTTTATCAGTGAACATTTAGTTTTCACAGTTTTTGTGCCAAACAAGGTTCATTTTGTTGGGATGCTATACTTTACTTGGAATATCACCATTTACCATATAGTTGTATGCATATGTTGCTTCTTTTTTTTAAATTTTTTTTCACTTTTGACAAATTTTACTGTAAGGTTCTCAGTAAGATGGGGAAAGCAATCTCTGAACTACCTTCTTGTTGTGCTTCATCAGAAGTAAATGATCATCTGCACAGCTCTCATTAATTTATTAATTACTAGTAATTTTTGTAGCAATAAATCTTTCACAAGAAGTTTTCTTGTAATCTTCAAATTGGGTAGCATGCATGACAATGATGTATTGGCAACAATTTTAATATTATTATTATTATTATTATTATTATTATTATTATTATTATTATTATTATTATTATTATTTTCAGAGTAACAGGGTAGCCTCAGAATCAGTACCAAAAGAGACCCCTAGGAACAACAGTAGTAGACGTAAGAACAAGAAGGGTGGGAGATTTAATATGACCCACCAAATTAAAATATTGGACTTTTCACTTCTATCTAGGGACTTGTGTAAATAAAAGCCAAAAGAACAAGTTCAAGAGTGAATGAATGCTTTTATAAGTGATATTATTTTCCTGAAAAATAATTTTAAATTTTGAAATGGGATCGCAGATTGGATTATAGCATGGTGAAGATACAGGCTATGACTTTGCAGTCATGTAGACAACTTATGTGTTGATCAAAAAACCTGCTTCCACATCTTTCTTTTTGTTTCATAATTTAAACTCATTTTAAATTACTTAATTTTTTTTTTTTTTTTTTTCAATTTCAGTTCCCTCGTCCAAGATGTCACGTCCCAGTTATGCACGCGCACCTTCCCAGAATTCTCAGAACAGTCAGATGAACAAAGTGGCCCCTCCTCCCCCTGCAGAACAGCCTCCTGCCAAGAAGCAGCCCACTGCTCAGCAGACTGCCGCCGCTGCAGCAGGTAATGAGATTAATAGCTGCTTTTTGGGAATGTGCACTTTGTTTTACAAAAATTGTCAAATTGATTGTGATCCTTGCCTGTATAGTGCTTGTATGTGTTCTTTTTCCATGTGGCAAAGTGTATTAAAACAAAAGTCATGGAATGTTCTACAGAGAAATTCACAATAGAGTACTAGGGTGGTAGAATATTTAAAAAGCTTGATTAATAATTTTTTCTCTTTTGTTAAGCGTCCCGTAGAAAATCCAATTGTGTCAAAGAAGTTGAGAAGATCGAGGAGAGAAGGAAGGCACGCAGGGCTCAAGCCGTAGCAATTAAAGAACAAATAGAACAGGACATTGATACGTCACATCCAAATTGGGAGTTCCTTATGATGATAAGGTGTGTAGTTACAACCTGGAAGTAAAATAAATGTACAAAAGCAATTTATTATTTTCAGATTTTATTTTTATTATGTACAGACACAGATGTGTCTGTACATATTGCCATCACCTGCGTCTGTCGTCGCCGTCGCCGATCATGTCGCCGTCGCCGTGCACTTTCAGCGTTAACACCATAAGTGGAAGACAGTTTTACTTTTTGGCTTAATATTTACAGAGCTGACTAATATTCATAAAACGCAGGTCAAGTTCTAAAATCAGCATGATCGGGCCATTATTGTAGAATTTATGCTGTTTTTTCACTTTTTAGCATATATACAACACTGTTAACACATTTCAAGGAAAACCGATAGCCCTGTTGTCATGAAACTCACAGGACTAATCAATCTTACTAAAACGCAGATCAAGTTTGAAAATCAGCATGATCGGGCCACTATTTTAGTAGTTATGCTGTTTTTTTCACTTTTCAGCATATGTGCCACACTGTTAACACATTTCAAGGAAAACCGATAGACCTGTTGTCATGAAACTCACAGGAGTAATCAATCTTACTAAAACGCAGATCAAGTTCGAAAATCAGCATGATCGGGCCACTATTTTAGTAGTTATGCTGTTTTTTCACATTTCCTCAGATTCAATTCTTAGGCATGTTAACAGTCTCATTATTTAACTAATAAGATTCGTAAAAGTGTTTGTTTGACATTTTCTGCATCTTTACAACNTGCAACACTGTTAACACATTTCAAGGAAAACCGATAGACCTGTTGTCATGAAACTCACAGGAGTAATTAATCTTACTAAAACGCAGGTCAAGTTCGAAAATCAGCATAATCAGGCCATTATTTTATAAGTTATGCTGTTTTTCCACATTTCCTCAGATTCAATTCTTAGGCATGTTAACAGTCATTATTTAACTAATAAGATTCATAAAAGTGTTTGTTTGACATTTCCTGCATCTTTACAACATTATTAGTTGATTATGTAAAAATGATGGTAAACTTGTTATCATGTATTGTATAATAGAGTTTCAAAAATGGAAATAAACTCATATCATAGCAGTTTGTCAGATTCATTCATTCACTATGTTCAGAATCTCAGAATGGAGGAAATTGGACATTTAACACTGTTCTATTGATATTTTTCCTATCTCATCAATTTTCTTAGTTGATCATATAAAAATGGCAGTAAATTGTTAATTTTGTTATATGTTAAAAAATTGTTAAAAATGGAAAAAAACACATTTCAGGACAGTGCTGTCTTGTTGTGAAAATTAAATTTGTTACATATTGGCATTTTCAAGGTGTGACTTAGAACCTCCACAGGCTTGAAGACCCATGCTAGTCACATTTTCTGAAAATCCATGATAAGTTTATTTTATTATTTAAATTGATGGTCATTATGCTGTTAAGCATTATGTAATGTTGCATCAAAATAGAAGAAAACACAATTTTTGGTGCTGCTGCCATGATGACCATTATGGGAAAACCGTGTTACTTATGACTGTCAAACTTTCAAAAAAGAAACACAAGACTAAAATTCAGCCTGAGTTGGAAAAGCAGTCTAATTGGCTTCTTTTTCTGGAAGTTATACATTTTAGTGAAATATTCATTATTATCGTTTTGGCATATTCATTGTGGGACTCAGAGCTCCCATGGACATGAAGCTGAATGGTAATCAAGTTTTCTACACGTCCATGCTATTTATAGTCAATTATCAAAAATTGGTGATAATTATTCTGTTTTTTATTATGTAATGTTACATCAAAATTGACAAAAACCTTTTTGAACTGCTACTACAAACATTATGAAAAGAAAACTGTTTTACTTATAATTATTTTTAACTTTCAAGTATGATTTTTAGGATTGGCATGCAGTTCAAATTAGAAAGAAAATTCAAATTAGAAATTAAGAAATTGGGTTATCATTTATCATTGAATTTATGCAATTTTGTGTGAAATTTTCATTTTTCTCATTCTGGCATTTTCAAAGTGTGAACTTGAACTCCCATCGGCCTGAAGGCTTATGCTTGTTACACATTTTACTTACATCGGTATTACCTGTTGAGCATAATTAAAATTTGATGTTGAATTTACAGTTAAGCATAATGTACTTTTGCATCAGAATTGTCAGTAGCCTATTTTGTGCATTGTTATTTTCTGCTTTTTGTCTGTACATTTGACAGCTTTGCTGCCTTGTTTTTTTTAGGAAAGGAGATTACAATCGATATCTTGCTGAGTTTGCAACTGATGAAGAAAGGAAGAACGCTGCAGAAGCTAGTTTAAAGGCCTATAAAGAGGCAAGTGATCTCGCTGAAACTGACTTGAAGCCTACGCATCCAATTCGCCTTGGCCTTGCTCTTAACTTCTCGGTGTTCTACTATGAGATCCTTAATTCACCAGATAGAGCATGCCGTCTAGCCAAACAGGCTTTTGATGATGCCATAGCAGAGCTAGACACATTGAACGAGGACAGCTATAAGGATTCCACCCTGATCATGCAGTTGTTGAGGGATAATTTGACGCTGTGGACATCAGACATGCATGGAGAACCAGGTAAGATATAACAAATATGATTGGCCGTTGTTACAAGTGGAGCACATATTTTATAGCTTTCAGTTTTTTCTCTGCAGTAATTTATCATTGACGAGCACATCTGAAGTTCTGAAACATATCTTTTCTATCTTAATTTTCTGATGTCCTTAAGTAATCCAAACTTCTATTAGTGTTGGGCCGTAAATCTGTTCATATGTAAAGCATTCAAGGCAACTCAACACAATATCAACTCTTTTTCATTATTTTGCTTTGTGTTATTCCAGGTGATCAAGGACAGGAGCAAGTTGAAGATTTGGAAACAGAGCAGTCTTAATTCACCATAAAGAGTGACTTCATAATCATCCATTGTAAGAAAAACTCATCTCATCATGATGTGCTATAATGACAAAAATTGATTTGGAGCAGCTTTTAACAGTGAATGTGTAAGCAGCACAAATATTGCAGGAAAAGATCATGCATTTCTGAATGTGTATCTGCTTTTGGGTTATTAATGTACAAAAAAATGATGTACAGGATGAGTGCCACACAATTAGATACAAATAACTTCTCTTTTTTCAAGTTTGTCTGTCTACTAGATTAAATTTGTTGTGTAGAGCTCAGAGATAATTTGTTTCCACCCTGTGGTCAAACAAACTAGTAAGGTGTCTGGAATAACCAAGCTGTCAAGTATTTTAAAGAATCCGTTGCTCTACAATTACAATGCCTAGATGGTGTGACCTGATATTGTTGATCATTTTTTGAAGACCCATTATAGTTGTTTGTGGTTTTGGACTGTCCTTCTACTTGGTCATTTTGCGTACATGAAGCCCACATTCAAAATGCCACATCCATTTATTATCAAATTTCCATAATTTATTACATGTATAGACCTTGTGTTTGACATATAGTCCATTCTGTGCTGTTAGTGATGCCATGGACTATTTTCACAGAGGAACTTGAAATCAGCATTTTGCCTCAAGCATATCAAATTAATCTGTTAATTGCAAATGAAGTTCAATATTGGGCCTAGTTGTTGCTCTAGGGTATTTTGAAAAATGGGGAATTTTTGTTTCACAAGTAGTTGTGGTGTAGGTACAAGTCTGTACATTGATGTCCAATTTTTCATTTGCCTTTGTTGTATTATGCTGATTTTCATTCAATACCAAGATTAAATGTATTCAATTTTTAGAGGCTTTTGCATTTGTTAGGTAGTGTACACTGCAGCATCCCAAGTCATTATTTAGCATCAGAAATTTGTTGCAATTATATACTCAAGTTGTAAACTTATGATTTGTGTTGCTGTTTTTGTTTATACACTTGATATCTCATTTCAGTTTCAGACTAAGTGTATAGCTTTTAACCCCAATTTTGGAATACTTAACTGGAAATTTGTTTTAAAGGTCATTACTGATTTCTAGTTGTCACATGAAACCAAGTTTGGCGATTGAAACTTGCAGAAAGGATCAGAACTGTGGTTCAGCTTAATTTGATTGCATTCACAAGCTGTAAAAATGACGTATTTGATCTGGCTTACCTGTCACTTATGCCCATGCAGATGGGTGCACAACATGTTATCTAAGATATTAACTTCATACAGTATAATCTCATTGATATGCTTAACCCTGCTGGTGGTACATACACAGGTGACAACACTTTTATGATCCTGTATAATCCCTGTAGTCCTTGATGTATAAAATTAGTTGATTTTTCTACAGATGATAGTAAGCTATTGTATTCTTTATGTTTAATGGATTATAACTATTTTAATGTCTCAATTGAGCCCCCTGCCCTCACCCCACCCCTGCCTTCAAGTACTGCTGGTTGTTCTGTTCTTGATAACATTGTTTTAGTATGCTGCTATGCTAAGCTGTTGTGTAACAACTGAACTACCAAGGACCAATCATTTTTGTTAAATGTATTTTCGCCAAGAAGTCATCTGATTTATGTACATTTCCTGTAAATGGTGTAACATAGGTGCCATGCAACATTAAGTTATTCACTAGTATTGCACTGTGAAGGGTTAAGATATTACTTAGATGCTTAAGGTTTTCTTATTGTGTTAATGTTTTTCTCTCATTAAGAGCGATGTTGGGGGCTACTGTTACAGGTCTACTTCTCTACAGGTTATCCCACCATGCCAAAGATGTATGCTGTCACAATTTAACATCCAGTACTTGGTGGACACCTATGGAAATACCATATATCAGCAATAGATAACTTTGTAATGCTTACCAGCTTTGTCATTTAACCTTAACTGAAAACAAACTGAATGCGTATATAGGAACATCATTAATGGAATGGAATTATTTATATTACACTTGATGTTTTTCTATGTGTGATACTAAAACCAACTATTACTCTCATGTAGTGTAAGTTTTGTTGAACTGCATGTTGTCAAGATGCTTCATTTTCTGTTGTATTCTACATTAGTGTTATTGTAGTACTGATCAGACAGTTTCTCTGTAACTGTGTTTAAAGATGTCTTGCTTTTATTATAAATCAATCTGAGAAATGGAATGAGTGTTGTTTATATCTGTATGTTTACCTCCAAATTTCAGATTGAAATCCCAAGTCACTGACAAGATTAAAGGGATAATAACTGTTCGTTTTGGCCAAAAAATGAATTTTCCTGGAGTAGACAACAATTTTCCCATACTTAGCAATGTACATTCAAAGTTAGTTTTTTTTTCTAAAAAGCTTTTGTTTTATATATATATACATATATACATACATACACATACGTACATATATATACACATACTTACATATATATACACATACATAATCTCTTAAGAGATTATTACAGAGCATAGCCATCTATAGAGGTCATGTGGGCCAATGACAAGCTCAGATATCAGAATAATAGCTATAACTGCGGTTTTTGTGGCAAAACATATTTCTATGAGTTGTTTACAATGTTTTTATTGTGAAATGTGGATCTCATGCAAAGAGTTATTATCCCTTTAATCACATCTCTAATAAAGCCATTTTAGTTACACAATCCACGAATAAGAACCTCTTTATTAACAACCTTGCATATGAGGATTAGAAAACTATTTTTTGCCTCGCGTAGGGATTCTTCTGACTGCATGACATTCAAGTTGGCAACCCTTAAATGACGTGTAATGATATCGCTGTTCGGGCAGTATAGAAATCCAGACATCTGGGTGTAGTGCAGATGGCTTTTTTGTGGGGAGTCCAAATGAAGTGTGTTATGATTTATCAACACTTATTGAATGTACTGAAATTCCTAAAAACCGTGACAAGATTCCAGTGCCAGGAACAGCAGCCAACTATTCTCACCTCCAACCTATTATGCAGCACATACCTAGAGTAGACAAAAGTGCTCCCATTTATTTATTTATTTATTAGTTAATAGAGACCCCCCAGAAGCAAACAAGATAACAGAGCAGCTCACTGGGCCATGAGGTAGTCCCTTTGCACCAAGACTGGCCTAGGTGTGTAAGAATGGGACAGACCTGTCTGGACAAGTTGCATAAACCTGACAAGGTTTTTGTTCATAAGATGCATATCCTGAGGTCGGAAGAGGAACTATACTTCAAACTCTGAAGGAATTTGCAGTCCAAGAAGACTACATATTTACCTTAAAGAAATAAAAAAACAATATTTGAAACCGGGTGAAAGCTCATGGTCCTTACTGTTGTTTGGAGTGTATAATCCTAAGAAACCAGATAAAATTAGAGGAATGTTTGACTCATCTTTACAGCATGAAAGCCTTCTACTCAACAACGTGATCCTTAAAGGTCCAGATATGACCAACAATCTCCTGAGTATTTGTGATATCTCAGAACCCAATGTTATGAGTCAGATATGTCATTTCCAGTGGTAGATAGAAACCTTGTGGTAGAGTGGAATTAAAGTTGGCAAAACAAAAGCATGTTGTCTGCTGTCTCTGTATATGAAACATACCCAACAGCATTTAAGTGAATTAAACACCCTACAGCAAAAAATAACTGGTCAATTCAGAACAACTTTAAGACCCAAACTTGAGGCGGAGATAAATTATTAGATGACATTATTGAAAAAGTAGACCAGACAGCAAAGCTTGCAAATATACAGACACCAAAAAGGAACATCAACAAAATACACGCAAAAATTAATTATTACAGTATAAGTAATTCAATCATGCCGTTTCCAAAAGAAAGCTGTCTCTTTATCAAACAAAACCACTCAGTAAAATTGTAGTTAAACAAAAATATAGTTTGGTAGTTACATGTCAAGCTGAATGTTGCCAAATTGTGCAAAAAAAATAAATAAATAAATAAATAAATAAAATAAAATAAAATAAATACACTTGTACGACCTTGACATACTGTAGTTCTTAAAGTCATTCCCATGCAAATTAGTATAAAATGAAGCACTAAATTATGTTAATCATTTCATATCAACATATGGTATGACACTCATGCAGAAGATTGCAGGAATTATAACATAACTGCTTTTACAGGGCAAAAGATTCCCAATATTATATATTTTCAGTGAAACCAGCTTCAAAACTGGCTGTAAATTGTACAGACTAGATACTATTAAAGCCAATTTTAACCCCAAAATCACTATTATGACACGTGTAAATGATAAATGTATGTAAGGCAGTACATAAGGAGTTTTTGGCAAAGGCTAACAATAACCTTAAGAGAGCAGGATGGTCAAACAGTAGCACAATCACCAAGTTTAATAAAAGAAGCATAGATGACCCTTGTGACTTTGCTTCTTCTATTCTACATGACATTCCATGAAATTATTCCCCTAACAATAAAATTATTTCAAAATGGTTAAATCTGCAATCATGACCTTCTGTATTTTCCACTTTCTCCAGGAAAAAAAAAAAACAGCTGTAATCTATTTTCCTCTGCGTCTCTTTTTATTTTTTCCTTTCTTATCCGTTTTCATTTTCTTCATATCTTTTTTCATTCTTGGGTCCACAACTTTAAAACGCCCTTTGACACCTGCAGGTCTACCAACCCGCTTTCCAGCCCCTTTTTTAGCCACAACATATGCCACTTCTGGCTTCTTCTTTCCCAAGATACCCGCCTTCTTGTAAATTCTGAAATGTGACAGACACATTTTGAAATCAGAAAAGAATAAAAAAAGAAAGAGAAATGTCTGCTGTCCTTGTTAGTAAGCACAGTCACATCCAATATTAATATCCTTAACTTAAAAAAAGTACATTAAAACAAAATAACTTCTCTTACATATTTTTGATTTACCATTTATTTTACAGGGGTTTCAAACATATTATGCAACTTACTGTTTTATTTGTTGCCACTTCTCTCTATCAGTGACATCAACTGCCTCAGAAATGACATCTGCTTTCTTTCTAGCATTTTCCAATTTTTTCATAGCCTAAGAAAATTTAAAAATAAATATGTGTATGCATATAAACTAGATAGTGTATCATTTATAATAACATTGTGACTTTTAATTCCAGCATATGGCACTTTTAGCACACCTATAACTTAGAATAACACGTTTCAAAGCATTAAAATAAATACACATCAATTTTTACAAATCAATTCTAATTATTTCTAAATGCGTTTATCAATATAGCAGGGCAATGAAAGATTGTGATATTGATACAATACCTTTTTCTTTTTCCTAGCCTTAGCTTCTGCCAATTTCTTAATTGGTCTCACATTAATGGCTTTAAGTCTCTCCCTGTATTCCTGGACATCTTGCTGTTTGAAATAATACACTTTCAATGTTAATTAAAACTATAAGAAAACATAGTAAAAATCATTTTATTTATTAGTTTTAATATTTACATGTCAATTATGATATTAAGAGTCAGACCAGTTTTCATTTTTTTACTCACACTGATCAGCACTTCAAGAATCAAGCTTTTTCTTAAAAAAGAAACTTTTTGTCATTTAGAAATATACCTTTGTCACTGGTAGTTGTTTTCTAATGTGCTTGGCTTCATCCTTTACAAACCAATCTGGCAGGTTTTCATCATTAAATGTGTACCTGAAAACAATTTCAATATTTCAATAACAATTCTAAAGTATATAAAATGGGCCAGTGTCCTATGAATGCTCTTTGTGGGTGTGTGTGAAGGTTATTCATAACAAGCATAATTATCCAACATATTAAGGAGGGAGGCAAAGGAATTCGAATCACCACTGTCAGCACTTAATGTCTGTCACTTTGGAGAGTAAACTCAGATCAGAGAAGCGATAACACCGCTGGGTATTGTACCACCAACTGAAATAAGCCCATTCGCATGGAAAACAAAAACAAAAAAAAGGGGGGGAGGGCACCACCTCCCGCGTTGTGCTTGACAAGCTCTATAAAATGCAGTTAACAAGAGTTCTCTTTTTTTTTTTGTAGAAAATTACAATTTATAACAAAAGGGTGCATTGCAATGAGTGCCACACCCAGACCAATGCACCAACAAAGCCCAAAACTTACATGGATCAAGTTGCGATTATATGTGACCTACACCCAAGAGATGGGTATACAGTCTTATGGTCTAAGAGGTGACGCTGTAATCGTGACGATGCGACTGAGCCAGCATAGCCAGTGGACAAGACAGGTTAGGACTAAAATGGTGGTGGTAAATTATGGTACATGTATTACCATGCAATGTGTAAATTGCACTTAACTGATTTTGTGCATGTTGAAAATCATAAGGAAATATTTAGGTGGGCAAATCATCTCATAATTTAAATGGCTCAAACAACTTTATTCTTTAAATGGCAGTGTTATTGTTTGCTTATAGAGATGCAACTGTTTTTGGATTAGCTATGAAGGAGGAATTTGCATTACACATCTCACAATCACCTGATTGTAGAGGATCTTTTAAGACACATCTGAAGATCATGACAGTCTTCTGGATTACTTTGGGCAACTGGGCCTACTGCATTTTATGACATTTTGTAAAACTTTGCAGCTTCTAAATATACCTGTTATAAGCTTGGTTTATGATTTCTCTTCTCTTCTTCCCTGATTGTATCATTTTGGCACCAATAGCCAATCCTGCAGGATCTAGTCTTGGAATTTTATGTGCTGAAAACATTTAAACAGAGAACACTTAAGACATTATGGCTATGACATTATAATGTTATCCCTAATATGTCACACTTTCATGTTAAGTTACAAGCACAAACTAGAAACAAAAATCAACTGTACCCACCATATAACAAGGGGGGAAAAAGACAAAAAAAATAAGTATTAAAATGAAAGTTTGTTCTTCAACGACGTATTAAATAGAAGTTCATACTTCGATCAACATTAATAAGAAATAGCTTTTTATTCTTCATAGTGTGAACTATACAATTTAAAATGTAAACCACAAATAACTAACCAGGTTCTACAACTGGAACGACTTCAAAGTCATCTTGTCCATGAGAAGCCTTTCCAATCATCTTTTCTCCTGATTTTTTGTTTACCAGAACGGATTTATTTACATCATAATCACTTGCATCAGAATCTGAATCAGAATCTGAACTTGCATCAGTTTCTTCATCTCCACTCCTGTTTTCTCTTACTGCATTATCAGAGTCACTGTCATGGCCAGAATATGAATCCTGTTGTTTGGTTTCAAACTCCATATCACTGTCTTCTAAATCCTCATGTGATTTTTCCTTTAGTTTTCTTTTTTGTTTTCCCCTTCCTACAATATTCAAAGCAAACCATTAAGAATGTATACCTGGTATATATATAGGCAACTCAAATGACACACATACTGTCATTTTTCATAACTGATCAAATATTTCTGATTCACAATAGTATCTAAGACAGTGAGGATCAAAAAGTGTTTTATTATACAAGTAATGTATCCAGAAAAAAGATAGGAGAACCTGGAATTTCCAAAAAAAAAAAAAAAAATTCTGCCCCCTCAGACATGGGGAAACTGCCTGGCCTTGAAATTCTAGAGGAGCTGCAAGATTCATGTGAAAATGCAATACATGATAATAAATTTCTGATATCAGGGGCCCCTAAAATAGTATACCAAATTCAAGTGTAGGTCCCTGTGGGAACACACCAAATCAGCATGTCTGCATTTTTATAAATCCCCCGGCCCTACCGGCCCCTTAAATGGTGGCAGAAGAGGATAATTGTGGTGATGGGTGTAATCTGTAAGTCGCATGGGCATCTGGAGTAATTGTTAAGCCATGCATTATGTAACACAGACAGAAACTCAACAACTGAATGTGAAATCCCCCCTAATGACAAATACAAAGGTTATGTCTGGCGAGGAAAGCATTTCTGTTGACCATTTTAGTTCCCTCGGGGTCCAGTACAATAATTTTGTTCCAGACTAATTAATCACATGTAAACATAGTCTAGCGAAAATAAAATACTTAGTTTGGACCAGCACAGAATTTGGAGGACAAACAGATTTCTTTCATTACAAGTCCACCGGTATCTCCAAAGATTTTCCCAAAAAACTAAAGAGCAAGTGTTTCTCACAATTACAACTGTAAAATACCCAAAACTACAAAATGTACATGTTCTTCAATAGCTGGGGAAGCAAGGCATTTAAATAATGGGCATCATCCCCTCCCTGTATTCTTAAAATCTTGGGGAGGCCAGTTTCACTTGACTTTGTATTCCTAAAGTTTACCTAAAATGACTCCTCCTTTTTTAGTATACTCTTCAGTCATTCTTGCTATTTCTAAATCTTCATCTTGGTTGTCATCAATGCCACTGAAAATGGCCTATGAAAAAGGTTGTAGTATCAACTTAAATGTCATTTAAAATAGAAGTGCAGTCTATCACTCATTCCAAGTAAAAAAATGCTGTAGAAATTGCACTTAAAAAATGGAACATAACTGCTACAAACCAAACAAACTAGTGGATTTTCAAACAAAAACTTGAATTTGTATCTTGAAAACAATCAACAATTTAATGCATGTTATTTTCTTTAAAAATGCAGATTCCACACATTCTATTTACCTTTTTAAACCAATTATCTGTTCTCCTGTTTGTTTTACCATCTTTGTCTTCAAGGTCCACCACCAAAGGGTTTTGACTTTTCTCATCTAATGCACTGAGAACATAAATAAAGGCAACAAAATGTATCAAAAAGTATTTTCACACAAAAAACACACAAATTTTTACTTCCCCTTTGACATGCACTTTTCATAATTTGTTTTACTTGTGTTCAAAATGCATTCATCTTTCACACAGGTGCAATCCAAACTTGTTTAGAATCACACAGGGATCAATTGGGTATAAGACCTTACCTATTTGGTTCATCACCATCTTCATCACTATCAGATTCTTCTTCTTGTTCATCCTGTCCATCTTCAGCTTTACCTTCTGTGTCTTCATAATAATCATCTGAATCATCACGGTCATATGATACAGTCGGTCGATAATTCTTAGGTAATACAATATCAGAGCCATCATAAGAATCTTCTTCTTCAACAATGTCCCCTTTCTCCAGCTCTGATAATTGCTGCAAATAAATAGTGATACTTTAAGTAAGTCATCAATAGAGATAATCTTGTATAATTTCCAATAAAATTCACTCTTGACGTGATCACCCATTTAGGTTGTTTAAAAAGAATGTTTACATTGTTTATTGTTGTTGTTAAATTCCTTGGAGATGGAACAACAGCAGAGGAATTTAATACAAAAATCAAATATAGATTTACATTTAATTATTCTTGACAGTTGTGATGTACTAAAATTGTCAAAACTTAACTAACAATACTATTGTTACCTTATGACTATTTTACTAATTCATCAACCAATCAAAAAACCATGATATCCTTAATTTCACTATCTGATGAAGATTTTGAAACAATTAAAATGTGTTTTAACCCTCACTGCTATGGATTTTCAATTTAAAAAAAATGACAAAAAATTTTTAAAAAGTCTATTCAACAGGAAAGTCAGGGTGCCCACCTCCTTTGATTTTATCTTGTTTAATTTAAAAAGCTCCAAATCATCTGACATATCTATTTTGTCACCAGGGATGATCATTTTAAGATCCATCTTGTGTCTCAGTTTGGATTTTTCTTTTCGGACTTTCTTCTCTTTCCTAAAATAAACATGAACATGTCTTGAGTCTAAAAACCCTCTAGCCATCCATCAATTCTTCAAACCTGTGATAAACACAAAGAAAATATTTAAGGAACATCCACTTAGGGACTAAGGCAAGCTTAAAATGATTATCTTCTCACAGCCATCACTGAAAACAACAGGAGGCTCAAATGATTTGTTTTTCTTTGAAAAAAATGTGTCACAGTTTGTTTTTATAGGTTAAAAAAACAAACTACTGTGTATTAGATTTAATTTATTTCACCTGTAGAATAGAGAATGAAGTATATGTACGACCGCTCTGGTGAGGTACAAAAGAGAGAGTGAAAAAGGGCGCAGCAAACGACTAGGATCACGTGAAGACAATTCTCATCACGTGGAAGAACCAACCAATCAACGCCCACCAAAGACGAAGAAAGAATAAGACAACTCTTTGTTACCTTACCTTTTGGGGATATAAGAGAGCATGTGTTCCATAGACTCATCCATTTTTCCAATAAAATTCAAAAAATTTTCAATATTTTCAAATCCTATTTTACTCCACTTATTAAAAGCCAATTGCCATTCTTTTTTACATCCATATTTGATTACTTGATAATTTTTTTTTATATACGAAGCTTTTATCTTTATGGAGATGGTAAAAATACAAATCATACATCTTTTTTCTTGGCAGTCAGGAAAAAAATATAGGTTAAAGCAGTAATTCACCAGAATCTTGAAATGAACATTGAACTATCTGAATCCATAGTCTACAAGGCTCTAATACCACAAAAACTAGGTTCAGATACAGACCATGTGGACAAAGACACAAGAATGTGACTATATTAGCTGGTGGTACTAATTAATACTTAAAATTTTGTTTATTCTAGGGTCTAATTCATTTATTTTCTTTGTAATGCATGCTATTTTTGGGAACTATGGTACAGATTAGAGCACACACACCTCAATCAAGGAGCAAATCAAATTTGAGGATGATGAAATCAAAAGGTGGCACATGGTGAGGCATTGGTAACCAAAACTTACTTATAGCCTTATTAATTTACTAAAATAAACCAAACAATTGTGATGGGGTTTGAGGTCTGATCTCATTTATTTTTTGTTACCATATCCACTTTTCATATTGCACCAATATTCCTATCTCTTTCTTTCTTTCACGTGACTTTATCTTTGGCAGGCACTTATCATCTCCTCTGATTCGTTATTACTGTTACATGGTCAGACTGTTTTCTTTCACCTGATCAGAGCTGTTTGCCGCACCCTTTGCTCATTCAGTAATTGGTGACTGACCAAAATGGTCATGCAGATCTCTTCATTTTTATTTCCTTTCTACAGGTGAGCTATTTATTCAAGTACAATTGCCTTGATACATTGTTATTTATTTAGGTTTATTAAACGGTGTATTTATTTTATAAGTTATCTTATTAATATTAAGTGCTTTATTCGCTGTAACATAGACTCATTCTGTAATTGGTGACTGACCAAAATGGTTGTGCAAATCTCTTCATTTTTATATCTTTTCTACAGGTGAAATAAAATACATCTATTACACAGTTTCACATTGAGTGTTTTTATCAATAGAAGCAATCTGTGACACAAATACTGAGTGAAATTACATGTTACCTTTTCTGTTCCTTTTTCTGCTCATCTTGGAGTTCAGAGAGCTGTTGCTCTACTTTAACATCATCATCATCATCATCTTCATCTTCCTCAATTGTTTCCACAGCACTGAAAGAGGTATTTTAATCCACTTAATTAAAAAAGATCTAAATACACATTAAACATACCATAAGGAATACTTGGCATAATAAAGACATGAACCTGATTATTTTCAAAAACATCTTTTGGTTTTATCAATGTTAAAAAAAATTATCAAAACTAATAAAAAAGGATGACAAATTGAATGTGTTCTTTCAAAACTTACCCAGTTACTTTATTTTCTTCTGGATGAAATTCTTTTCTTAATTTGTTTCTCCAAGTGATTAAAGATCTGATATTAAAATGGGAAAAAATGCATTTTCACATTACAGAATCACATATATATATATATATATATATATATATATATCAGGCAAGACTGAAATCCAAGCAGATTTTAAACCGCCTAGGCAAATGTTGAAATTGAAATCTTACCCAGGTCTACCAAAAAAAAAAAAAAAAAGCTTGGCATCTACCAGCTTGAAATGTTGGGTTTTCCACCTAGTTTTCTTCAATTCACAATGTCAATACAAATTTTCATTCCACACTCTTGTTTTATGAAGAGGGAACCTGCCATGGGTTGTGGCATAGGCAACAGGACAATGATCAACCAGAAAATCCCCACCCTCATCTCACATTCATATAAGAAATTTTAATTAGGCTCTGGATCTCATACAAATAATGAACACCTACAATCTTGCATAAAGTCACAAACCTGATCTCCTTTTTCCCTAAAACCTTAATATCCTGGCAGCATTCCTTGATTTCAGTGGTGGTTAAAGGATGAGAAGCAATTTTCCTATCATCTAATTGTATCTAGAAGAATAATTTGTGCATCATTCATATCATATCTAGAGACCAAAAGATAAAAGTAAAACAAGTCTTTTAAAGTACAAATTGAAACCTACATTTATTTATAATAAAAGTATATTATTGTTTGATGTTAATATCAAAAACCTAATATCTGTTTTAGAAAGAAAACCATATGAATACTTACCTTATTACATTCTGCTAGTAACTGCAAGTGGTTTTCACTGTTTATGTATTCAGAAGCATTAAGAACATGGTATAGTGTGTAGTCTCCATCTGCATAACCCTCCCTTTGTCTGAAACATCAAATAATTAATGACCTTACTATGTGGACACAGTAGATAATTTAACAATTATACATTTTAAAATTAATATGTGAACATGATAAAAGACAATCCTTAATCTTACCTTCTGTGCTTCTCTGGGTGCAGTAAATCCAATGCTAATTTCTTGGTTACGTCCACATCTTTGAAAATATGCTTTGGATCCAGAAATTTAGGATCCATTTTGTCTGGAGAAATAAAGCCTTGACAGACCACAAAGATCTCAGCAGATTCATTTCTGGATGCTTGAGGCTTCGTGGCATGAACTTTCTTGAACAACTGCTGAAGCACCCACATAAGTGGCTGATAGTCCTTGGAGCGAAAAACTTTGGTTACAAACCATCCTCCCTTCTTCAGCATTTCTGTGGCCAACTTGAGTGCATGTAGGGTGAGCTCAGCTGGTAGGAAAAATAAGGTTCAAACTTCCCTTAACTGCTTGGTGTATGTAGCAAAATGTTATGCAAAATATCTGAAATTATTCTTTATTAATTCAAAGAAAAATATTTTCCAATTTATGAAAAAAAGTTTCACAAAACCATGACACGCCAAATGTTGAGTACTAATAATAATTCTCAACTTTAAAAAATAGTTAATAAAAGAAAGCAATTTTGACAAATATAAAATATACATTTGAAAAAACTTGGCATCAATCTTAACTACACATACTGATCCTACCTTGTGTGTAAGCATCATGAATCCAATTCTTGCCAACATTAGGCGCGCCATCATTCAGCACACAGTCAGCTTTCCAAGTCTTCAACTCTTGTCTTAATGCCTACAAAATACAAAAAATTGGACATTTTGATCGAAATAACAACCCCACACAAAAGGCACTAGCTGGCACTTAAATTTATATTTGCACTGACTTTGACTTGTACAGGCAAAGATAACCAGCAAATTTATTTTTAAAATTTTCACCAATAACATACCTGTCTACATTTCTCTGTGGTGATATCCTCAGTGAGAGTAGTGACATTGTGAATTGGTTTGATTGGGACCAAATCCACACCTGCAGTGTGAAAAATAAATAAAACTTTGCAAACAGAAAATACACACAAATAAAATTAAAGTGAAATACATATGATAAATTTAAATATTTCATGTAACATCCATGGTGTCAAATGTGTATTGTAACAAGTTACCTAAAAGGAATATTTGATCTACCATATCATACACAGCTGTCACCTTGATCAGCTGATAAATCAAACTAGACAGCAAAGCTCACAAATATACAGACACCAAGCAGGGAAAAAACACTGCAAAAATATTCACAAAAGGACGAACCCCACCCCACCCCCCAAAACCCCTGGCTACAATCCTGCGAGTCCACATCTTTGCAGTAGCTATAGGTCCTTCTATTTAACTAGCCAGTCATTAAAACTGAAGTTTTAAATTAAAAATGGAATAAAACATCAGTGAAGGGATGGTTCAAGCAATAATTCTTGAGTAAGAAAACATCGCTCTTTATCCCAGGAAAATTCATTTTGGCAGGGAAATCCCATGAGTGGGCCTTGAAGCTATTGATATTTTGCCATAATGAACTGGCATACAAATACATAATGTTGTTGAATCAATTCTTTAAGACATGATAGTAGTTACTGAATTAAAACTAGATAGGCCTTACCAACAATTACACTAGACACAGGCATATGCTGTGCTGCAACTTGTAGCCATCCTCCAGGAGCTGCACAGAGATCTATAAGAACTCTAGAATTCTGCAAAAACTCAAACTTGCGATTCAGCTGAAGCAACTTAAAAGATGCCCTGGATCTGTAGCCTGAATGGTAAAACAATATATTGATTAAACTAGGTTTCACTCAAAAAGTGAGTAAAATCATTAAAACCAAGTGATCATTTGAGAGTCTGACAGGAAACAATTATCCTGATTTATATTTTGTGCGTTCAGGGTATAATAAAGACACCTATGATATTACAGGATACATATGAGGCAAGGTTACTTTATTGCTGCTGTGTAATAAGAGCACTGTGAGCCAGTACACAAATTAATTTGTTTCAGCTAGGTATGTAGATTAAAATTCCAAACCCCTTCAATATTCCCATTTCAGTGATTGCGAAAGAGATTGAAAACTTACCAGACATGTGGGCTGGAGCAAGTTAAAATTTTGTCAGCCCACACCTTTTTTTACCGGCCCACAATAAAATAATCAGGCTGTATATTTTCACATCATTTTTGATTAATATTATTGTTTGGCATTTTAAATTGCTGCTTTTTAATTTTTAGGCCAGATGTAATAGGATATTTAAAGGTTTAAGTTTAAACGTCTTTCATTTTGGTTGCTTTCTGGCATTTAAGTTTTATCCTTTTTACATCTGGGTTGCTTATCTTAATTTTTAATCTTTTAACACAAGATCATGTATCCTTTGGGAATTTTATTCCAATTTTTGACTAAAATTAAAATATAAGTCATAGTGAAGTGGAGCTTCCAACTTTTCTAACTTTTTTTAGATTTCAACTCTCGGAAAAAATGCTTGTCTGTTAGGGATTATCCTGGGTCAAAATCTGGTTGGGCCATTTTGGCCCGCTTGGTCAAAAAAGTGGGCCATTTTTTAAAAATGTATGCCGTGAATTATTTAAAGAAAATTCATTATATTTCAATATTTTTTATATTATTAAAAAAACAATGAAAAAGGCTTGATGCTACTACTCTGAAGTTGTAGTGTGTGGAAAAATCTTCCAAAATAAATATACTGTCCCAAAAATTGTACTTAATGGAAAAATCTTCAGAATTAATAATTGCACTATACCAAATAATTGCACTACATAGAAAAGGTAGACAATTCCCATTTTTATTGTAAAATAAAGCCATTGCTCTCATAGCAGGCCCGTAGCCAGCCATTTTAAAAGGGGGGGGGGGGATCTTTTTCCATAAAAACGTCATGTACCTAGATCAAATTTTATCAAGAGTGGACCTTTTTGTCAGCATTAGAGGCGGTTCTTTCGAACCCCCCGAACCATCCCTGGCTACGGCCCAGAGTCTGAAAAGAATTTTTATTAAATATCTAAGTTAGTTCGTTTAAATGAATATAATGGACAGTTTTGCATCCTGACTGTGCCATTGCGGATTTTCCACATTGAAAATGATGATGTCCCTCATTTTAGCGCCGCTAAAGATGCAATATTACTTAAAATATCCGTTAAAATTAGTTAATAGCACCCATCTAAAAAGCAAATGAATATTTCCCCTTTTCACTTATCGATTATTCAACATGCGGTCCGACGGAAGCCATACTTGTTTACCCAGCACGTGTAGTTAGGTGTTCTCAGAGGTCCGCGCGGGTAGTTTGAGGGGCCTGATAACTGAGTCTTGAGCAGTACGTTTTTCATTGACATGTAGTTGTTTCAGTTTCGATACATTTTTTGTGATACGGGTCACATGTGTCAGCCCTCACACCATCGCTATGCGCACTTCGAGTGACATCATAATGTACGTAGACCTTTATTACAAAAAAATAGTGTTTGCTATTTGAACGCGGCAGTATGGCGTATAAGTTTTACTTGCGCCAAGTGCGTACTTGGAGCTTTACGATAAATTCAAATATGAGGCGAGGTGTCTGTTAAAGAAACCGACTTTAGTACGTCGGACATGTGGGCCGATGAGACTGAAGGGTTTTCCAGCCCACAGAATTTTTGCCGGCATATGGCCGTGGTCCGACGGCTTTCGCAATCACTGCCATTTCGAGTCAGATCTTGATGAAACTTATTAAGTATGTTGTTAGAAGTCATGACCCATTATCAGTTTCTCAGGCACTTTGGCATGATTACATCAAATGTTTTAAAAAATCTTTTTTTTAATAATTGCCGATGATACAGACATAAAAATATGTTCCTTCGGATGAAATTTGGTAAGTAGGAAGAAGCACACAATTTGATGTGATTACCCAAAAAATGCAGATTTTTTAAAATACTGTCAATAGGATTTCCCATTGTAAATTTTAAAACTTTGAATTTTTTTTAAATATAAAATGATGAAACTGTTAAAGGATTGTTCTAAATAATTAAAAGAAAAAAAGCATATTTTGACGAAATTAAGATCTTGTTCAAGATCTTGCTATTATAACAAATGCAATAAGGGAAAATGTCTAGTCTTATTGAAATTTTAATTCAGACCTGCCTTGTCAGATTCAGACAACAGAGGGGCCTTTTGGCCTAATTCTCGGAATAACATGTACAGCAGATTTACAAACAAACAAAGGGAAGATGTAGCCAAGGAAATTAAATGTAGGTTTGAGTGTGATCTGATTTCTGCTTCTATTTTATTTGGATTTCTATTTAATTGGGTTAATTTAATGAAATTCGCAAAAAGTAGTTTTCGGACTTTGATCGGGTATTTAGCGCTATGGTAGATTGGTTTGGTATTCTGAAGTAATTTTCTTTGGTTTTTAGGTTTATTCAGCAGGTTCTTTAACCAAATGACAGTCGAGCGTGATTATTCTAAAGTTTAAGGATGGTAACTTAAGTTTAGGTAACGAGATGTTTTGTTTACAAAAGTCGACTATGATCTATTACCTGTTTCTTTGGCGAGCTGATAAAACTTGTCCTTCCTAGCCTTTCCAACCTTCGTCTTTTTGCCCATTATATTTTTTCAGTAATATAATATCACCTGAACACGGAGACCTACTTATACCTGTAAACCCATGATACACATGAACATGTGGTGGTCTTAAAGTTGTTAATTACGTCATCAAATCATGTATAGAGGTGTCGCTTTACAAGATAAGCCCGAAATATTTGTTTAGTAGAGGAAGGAGTTAACGTTATTGAGTTTTATTATGGAAGTATTTGGACTTCATAAGGACAGCCAACGTATCTACTATTCCCTTGTCACGAATTCGGCATTTTTTATCTCTGCATTGAGAATGTGCAAATGGATTGCCTCAAAATGTGTGACGTTCTACACATCCACATGTGCCCGCCATGTTGCCGGTGGCTTAGTGGAAATTGAGAAAAGAAGTCTTATTTATACCAGCTAGAAAAATTGGTAAGACCACTAATACTTCGTATATTTAAAATTCAACTTTATTGTTTTTTTGGCAGTCAACTTAATGTCAGCTCCCTTTGCAAAAGTTAGTAATGTTTTGGGCAGTTTCAGCCAACGACAAATTCAGCATATGGATCCACATGTGACATGGCGTGGTTCGCTTGCTAACGTTGAAACTATTTTGATGGCGACTCTGTTATTGAAATAAGTCAGTTGAGATATTTTTGGTGCTCTTGTACCACGCTCATTGTCCATTGGTGTGTCTCATAAATCACTGCGGTCAAGGTTTTTCCCAGGATTGGGGTACAGGCTGTCCAAAATTGCGGGTGTGACTGAAATGCGCAACACAGCGCAATACACTTGATAACACAAGTCCAGTTGCAAGTAAACACAGGAAAGGGTAATCTCAAATAAAATAGGGTGATATAAAAGCAAAGTATAGTACATAGTAATTATATTGCTGATACAACTTGACAATTTTTTCATTGTTTGGGCAGCCGCCATGTTGGCGAGTAGCTCTTCTTGGCCAGTAATATACCCAAGAAGAGCCACTCGCCAACATGGCTGCCAACCGAACAATATAAAAGTCTTGTTGATTTGTTAAGTTATATCAACGATATATCACCCTACTTTGCTGGGAATGGTCATTTCTTTTGTGTAATTGCAACTGGATTTGATTTTTGAAGTGTATTGCACTGTGTTGTGGTGTATTGTGCAATTCAGTCACACTGCAAAATTGCCATCTGTGATTTCCTTCAAAATTTCGACTCTTCCAAGTGCCGTGAGCGAGGAGTTGGGCATGGAGGGGAGGGGGGGGAGGTAAAAAACGAAAAAATATTTCAAACAATCTCCTTTGAATGAATGTGAAAATTGCCTTCACGTCTCACTTGGATCGCGAACGATCTCTGTCTGATGATCTTCTACAAATAAGGTCCCTTGAACTAATATGAAAAGTGCTTTCTCGTTACGCTTGGACAATTGACAGGTTATTTATCCCCAGATGGACTGGTTCTGCTACCACTGAACCAGAAGTCATTTTGAGGAGGGCAAATAGATTTTGTGAAATGGAAAATAGATTATATCACCATTTCTGATCTTCATAGTAATGGTTGAAGAATCTACACTGATATTTATACAGAATATTAAGATTTCATTGTAGAGAAAAAGAATGTGATTATTCTTTATTTTTTACAGGACATAATTCTGCAAAATGTCACGTTTTTTTGCTGCCTCAGAATCGGAGTCTGAGAGTGAATCCAGTGAAGGAGAAGATATCCCAGTTGTAAAGCCAGTAGCAGGGAAAGTTGCTCAGTAAGTCGAACTAATCACATTTTAATATGAGCAGCAGTATTTGAATTCACAACTAAATGGACATTTCGAAATATTTCCTAGGAAACTAATCAATGGTAATGATATATTAAAGAATATACATTTGTTTTTCAGAGCTTTTACCTTTAGTGATGATGAAGAAGATACCAAAAGAGTGGTGCGAAGTGCAAAAGATAAAAGGTACTCTCAAATGATTTGCAAATGATATTTTAATTTTTGTTAGTTATACTTCCAAGTATTTTTTCAAAAGTTTTGAAGAATATGTTGGCTTGGTGCCATGAAGTACATTTTGTGAGTAACTAAAAAAAGTACAATTAAAAAAAACTAACAATTATTAAGCCTAAGGTGAACATTTTCACTGTAATAAAAACAACAAAACCAATATTTTGATGAAGAAAAAAGTTACAGTAATAGGAGCAAAACTTGATATGAATTATCCTTGTTTTTTATCATTTTAGATATGAAGAAATCAGAAATATAATAAAGCAGTTAAAAAACCACAAAAAGATAAAGGACATGTCAAATGTTCTCTCAGGTAGGCTTTTATGAAAAACTGGTGCATTAAGAAGTTACAATAATTATCATTAGGTTCAAGTCTGCTTGTAGAAGCATATTTACTTTGAAGCGTAATGTTTGTAGATATAATAAACACTTTTATTTATGAATCAGATTTCAGTTGTTGTGTAACAAGGATAAAAGTGATTTAACATAGTTTTTTAAAGAGAACCCATATTTTCACATTTATTTTGTTAATCCAGACTTTGAAGACCTGGGACGAGCATATGATAAAGCCAAGAAAGTTGTTGAAAAGGAAGGGATCCCAAGGTTTTACTTGAGGGCTTTGGTGGAACTTGAAGATTTTGTCTCTGAGGTAACAGTACAATTTGGTTGACAGTTTGGTGGAAGTTCAATATTGACTAACATTCTTGAAATGCTGCAATTAGATAATTGATAGTTCTGGCATTGAAAGCAATTTTCAGTTACAGTGATTTTGTGGTTTTGTTATTACAGTGAAAAGACGATGGAATACTATAGTATTCTCTTATAGGAAGAGTAATAATTATTCAAAGAAGTGTATCAGGACACAGGCCATTACATTTATTTTGTGAAGATAGTACTTTCATTTGAACTGCTCAACAGGGTTGAGAAGGTCTGGGTCCAGTTTTATAAAGGACGTTTAGCACTAACCAGTGTTTAACTCTAACCACTGGATAAATTCTCCTAAACCCCGTTAACTAAATGACGGATAAAATTGTGTTTCATAAACAGTGTTTAAACAGTACATTGGTTAACTTACCTTTAAATAATTATTTTATCCAGTTAAACACTGGCCTGTTAACTAATTGGCTGTTTGAACACTGTATATGAAACACAATTTAACCATCTATTAGTTAATGGGTGTTAGGAGAATTTATCTACTGGTTAGTGCTAAACGTCCTTTATAAAACTGGGCCCTGGTCTTTTCACTTATCACTAAAGTGCCTGAATATATACCTTTTATATTAAGGACATTCAAAAATCACACTTTACTCATTTTCCATTACATCTTTATATATCTGCAGTATTCATGTTCATGCTCTTGTCTGTATTGTGATGCCTTACAATTTAATGTGTGGCTAGGTCTGTGGAATCTAGCTTATGTCATATAGGTCATTAATTTCATGGCAGAATAAGGTTTCTTGGAGAGTAGGAGTACATGAAAAAGACTTAACTTTGTTCCAGTGCTGGGAAGACAGAGAGGCTAGAAAACAGCTGAGCAAAAACAATGCAAAATCTCTGACCACTTTGAGACAGAAACTAAAAAAATATAACAGGGACTTTGAGCAAGGCATTTCAGATTATAGGGAGGTAGGTGCATTCATGATGTAAAACTTATGAAGCTGTTTTGTCTGACCATAATGTGTGGTTCATTCAGCTTTTAAGAACAACAGAAAGTGCAAAATTGAAGTTTTGAATTCATAGGTTCAATATGTAGTTACTTTTTGGTTAAGGATTATTTTGAATCAGTTTTAAGATAAGTTACAGGATCAGAAGTTATGACTTTGACACAATTTATATCTACATTAAGAACCCAGACCAAGATGAAGAGGAAGAAGGCTCAGATGATGAAGAAAGAGACTCTGATGAAGAGGAGGAGGATGATGATGATGACAAGGATGAGAATGACACCCAAATGATAGCAGATTTTATAAAGAAGCCACCTCCCTCTAAGCCAAATGTATCTAAATTCTTAAAGGATGGAGATGAGGTAATTCTGATAGTTGATTTATTTTCTGTTTTGTTAAGTCAGTTTTTGTCAGGTTTTGATATAATATGGTAAGCATCAATTAGGAACAGTCAAAGCATTCAAATAAGAACAATAGCCTGAATTTTCACATTTAAGTATATCCATATTTCTCTTTTCCAGGACTCTGGTGATGAGAGTGACTGGGGTGACGAAAGTGATGAGTCATCTGAGCTCAGCTCTGACGATGAAAAATATGGTGGAAACTTGGCCTTGAAGTTTTTAAAAAAGTATGCTAATTTTGATAGAGAGGATGGATGTATTTTTAATAAAATTCTTCTTGTGTTTTCAATTTTACCTAATATCCATCAGTAGTATCATGAACAAAAAGCATCTTTTATTTTTTTGCCAATCTTTAAACTTCAATCTGCTGCAAAGATTTCATTCTGGTAAATTAAGCACAATATCATGAATAGGTTATTATAAGATCATTCATTTTTAGTAACAGTTTAGGTTTAAAGTGCTGTAATCATGACATTTGGCATGGATTTCAGGACTACAGAACAGGAAAAGGCGAAAAAGGATGCCAAAAAGAAAGAAGTGAAGGAGCGTAAACAGACAAAGAAAGTAGACAAGGCCCAAGATGAAGATGAAGGAGAGTGGGAGCAGGTGAAAGGAGGGGCACCCATGATAGCTGTAGGTGTTTTGGTGTTTGATGTTTTACTTAATTCATTATAACATAGATTTTCACAGTAAGCATTTCTTGAAAATCTTTGGTAAACCATTTCAATGTATGAATTTTTCAGTCATCTTTTTGATTATAATATTTTGTTTTGCAGGAGAAACCCAAAATGTTTGGGAAGGATGTAGAAATCAACCATAAGGTTGTATGTATGAAGTTGATTGAGATTGTAGCAGCTCGTGGCAAGAAGGGCACAGACAGGAATGAGCAAATCAATATGCTAATTGAACTGAACTCTATTGCCTCTGAAAACAACCTTGGTCCTGCTATGGAAGCAAAAATTATGTTTAACATTGCTGCAGCCCTGTTTGATTATAACCCAAACATAGCTACCTGCATGAGAGCTGAGATGTGGGAAAGGTAAAGATGTTATCTGAGAGCAATAAAGACATTTTCAATTTATTGGAATTAAGAGAATAGGCTCTCTTTTTAAGTTGAATACATATGCATATATACATCTAAACATGTTATTTCGAATTTAATGGTGGATTTTCTTTTCAAATTATCTGATAGTGTAACATAAATCTGTTTCAGGTGTATAGAGTTTGTACTAGAACTGTTGAATTTATTGATTACCAATAAAGAAATATCTGTAGGAGAAGATATTACAGAAGAGTCTGAACAGTTAGAGGTGAGTTTTATAGTTTTATATTTGAAGATCGGTTCCAATTTAATGAAATATGTATTGCAATATAGTAAAATTTGTTGGTGCAGCAGCTGTATGTAGATGTTAATTAATCATTGATAATTCATGATAATTGGCAGAAAAATTTTGTCAAAAGCTATGACTAACTTACAAACTTACAGCTGCTGAAAAATACAAAAACATTCTGGTTATTGCTGAGATGTATCGAAATTTCATAAGTCACAAGTCGTGCTATCAAGAAAAGGTTTGTAGGATGGTTGATGTGGGGGTATGATCAGATGTTTTTATCTAAGTAACAAGTCCCTGTTGATTGACAATTTCATATTGTTACCCTTGAACCATCTTTTGGGGCCATTTATTGCATTTTTCATGTCATCTTGGAGGTAAAGTAGCTATTGCTTTGTCTTCCTTATAGCTGTTTTGAAATTGTGTGCGTCTGCACTCATTTCAAGGGTTTATCTGTCTGGAACCACATACTTGAGAAGCTTCGAAATCTCTGAACTGTTTCTTTCCCATTCTAGGTAGCCCCTTATTTGGTGCGTGGGTGTATCCTGACTGTTGTGGAGAGAATGGATGAAGAGTTCACCAAGATGCTGCAGGGCTGTGATGCTCATAGTACAGAATATGTGGAGAGGTAGATATTACCCTTGTTTGCCAACTGCCATATTGCACGCTTGTGGCACATTTACAAATGTCTGCTACCATGCTGATACTGAATGTTGTGTGTTCCATTATGTACTAGAACACTGGTTCCTGATTCACAAAACATTAGTTTTTGGGTTCAAATTTAAAAATTTAAGATTTAATCATTTAATTTGTATTCTACAAAAGTAAAATCTAATTGACCATGCATGGTCAAGACCCATTCATCAAATGTGGCCTAACTATACTTTACCTGCCCATACCCAAATATGAGTTTGTAAAAATAAGATTTGCATCCAGTGTAGAACTTTCATGCTTGTACTTGATTCATGCTGTTCTTTCATGAACATTAGTAGTATGTATTAAATTATGTCAATTTTTATCAATTTTACAGGTTAAGAGATGAGAAAAAAGTGTGTGACATTATCGACCGCCTTGTAGTGTATCTAGAAGGGAGGTCTAGTAATGAGGAATTGTGCAGAGCATATCTTAAGAAGATTCAGCACCTGTATTACAAGGTATGAACATTTTGTAACACTAAACTTGATGCTTCTGTTTAGCTAGAATAATTTTCAAAATTTTTGGTAATTTACTGTGTATGTTTGCTTTTTATGATTTGCTATAATAAAGTGTTTTTGCTCTCTCTTGATGCTGGTTCTATAAGATATTGACTTACTAATTTTTTTTTATGCTGAAGCAGAACATCTGCTATAATTGCTCAAATACATTTCTACTATAGAAATTATATCTGTTTATTGCAGTACGAGCCAGTTTCACCTGAGGGACAGAAGAATAGTGAGGAGGTCATGGAGACACTGTGCAGGTTTATCCACACCAAGGACCAGACAGACCGTATACGCACCAACGCCATCTTGTGTCAGATCTACCACCACGCTATACATGATCGATGGTATCAGGCCCGTGATCTCATGATGATGTCACATCTTCAAGACACAATTCATCACTCTGATGTACCACTACAGGTATGAATCATATATTTATGAACATCTGCATCTGTAACAAAGACCAAGTGCAAAGGTTTCTTCAATAAAAACATCAGGAAGTGGTTCAGTAGAAAATTTAAAATGGCATCCAAATTTGACAAATTTTAGTAACAAAAATTTAAAAAATGTAGAAAGGGATTTTTAAACAAAATTGTTTCAGTTGAATTGAGAGACTGCAAGATACTTGAGGTGACATTGCAAGGTTAAATGTGCATATTATTATTTAGAAAAACATTGAATACATTATTTGTACAAATTCTAATTTTTTTGGACAGATTCTCTATAACCGTGCCATGGTTCAGCTGGGTCTGTGTGCTTTCCGCCAGGGAATGATTAAGGATGCTCATCATTGTTTGGTAGATATTCAAAGTGGAGGAAGGGCCAAGGAACTCCTAGCTCAGGTAGCAATTATTTTAGTTTTATATGAAATATTAACTGATTATTAACTGCTATAGTTATATTAAAATTTGATTCTATCATATTACTAAATTTTTATAAGCAAAATGTCATGAAGGACATTTGTCATCTTTTTAGGGTTTGCTGTTGCAAAGACAACATGAGCGCACACCAGAGCAAGAAAAGATAGAGAAGCGCAGGCAGATGCCTTATCATATGCACATAAACTTGGAGCTGCTGGAGTGTGTCTACTTGGTATCTGCCATGTTGATGGAGATACCGTACATGGCAGGTAAATGTGGTCTTTTTTTTTTGTAAGTTTTCTAACATTAAACCCTTCAAACAAGTTCTATTAACTTCATATCTGTTATTATTACATCCTGAAATTAGTGTCTGTCACTTTTACCCATTCCAAGTGTAATTAAGTAAAAACAAGCAGTCCCGATATTGAAGATGTTCACTCTTTCTGCATTAATGTTTAAAATATTTATCTGACACTATGATATTTGTAGCACATGAATTTGATGCCAGGAGGCGCATGATTAGTAAGAACTTTCACCATGTCATGAGAGTAAGTGAGCGCAATCCCTTGGTTGGGCCACCGGAGAGTATGCGTGAGCACATTGTAGCAGCATCAAAAGCCATGAAAGTTGGGGACTGGAAAGCATGCAGAGACTATGCCATCAATGAGAAAATGAATAAGAAGGTGCAAGGGTTTATGTACCTTATTTCAATGCCTTTTTTTCTTTTGTTTTTATTTTTTTATTTCAATAATTTTATTAAGTGTCAGTTTGTTGCTAAACTTTGCAGGTAACGTGAAAATAAATGCAAAATAAAACAACTCAAACATACCTTAAGGGTTGAAATCACATTGTTTTGGAAGGCAAAAAATATTTAAACAAGACAAATTATCTTTCAGACCTGATTGAAACCTAACTTGTTGATGTTTATTTCTTTGGCTTAGGTTTGGGACTTGTTCCAAAACACTGCAGAGACCTGTGAGATGATTGTCTCCAAGATCCAGGAGGAAAGTCTAAGGACATATTTATTCACATACAGCAGTGTGTATGATTCACTCAGCATGGACAACATGGCAGAGATGTTTGAGCTGCCTAAGGCCACTGTACACTCCATTATCAGTAAAATGATCATCAATGAAGAGCTCATGGTATGCTTTGTGATACAAACATACTTCTTAAGTTTGGAAAGATCTTGTAATTTGCTACTGATTGAACACCACATAAACATTTCAAAAGACATGGAAAGTATTATTCAGATCACAGTAACTGTTTTGGAATATAAATATTTTTTAAATGATTATTTAAAAACACATTTCCCTAATACACTGTACTAACACAAATGGCTTTCTTAAGGCATCCCTGGATGAGCCCACCCAGACAGTAGTAATGCACCGCACAGAGCCCACACGTCTCCAATCCCTTGCCCTGCAGTTAGCAGAGAAGGTTGCCACCTTAGTTGAGAACAATGAACGCATCATGGAGCAGAAGATGGGAAGCTTCTTCACATACCAGAAACAAGGTTAGCATATATCTTGGTTAGTGACAAGGGCAGCTAGCCTGAACATTATTGATTGGCTGGTTGGGGCGGTATGAAGAAAGAAAGGTGGTCTATTTTGGTCACAGTTCCAGTTTCACAATGTTAATTTGATTCACATTAGACATTTTAAATTTCCTCTTTAGCCTTAAACATAAAAGACATTTCCTTCTAATATTGGGGAGAGTAATAGTTGTAGAGAATAGTTCAGCAGTTAGTCCAAGCAGCCAACTGATATGTTCACCTAATATGAGAAAGTGATTACCTTCAGGTGGCTATCAGAGACAGGGAGATGACAGGTGTCAGAATTGGGGTAGGGAGTTTCTACGGCACTTCCTGTTTCGTTTTTGTTGAGCAAAAAATTCTCCATGAAGTTGAACTAAACAATTGGATTTCAGTGTTGTTATCTATTTCACTATCTTGGCGAAATATCAAACGGGCTATTCTTTCTACAAAGGGTATGCCAAATTACAATGTCATTGTTCGATGAATTGTGATAAAAAGAATATTTTTTAGAATGAAGTTGATACCATTGTTCAAAAAATGTCTTTCAAAATGAAGAAGTAGATGTGTAGGTCTTTTACCAAGTTGGTATGTCTGAAGTTCTATATGTAAGCTTAACTTGCTATTGTACTTGTTGGTATAAGTGTTTTGCAAACCCATTAAAGCTATTCAAGAAAAGTTCTCCTGTAAGTATTTAATGAGATTGATGAGATTAATGAGATTGAGATTGCTGAAATGTATTTTTCGATGTTGTAATCCCTTTTCTGGATGCCTCTATTCATGCTTGTAGAATATATATACTGTAATGTTTCAGCTTTGTTTCCCCAGCTCACCTATTTCTGTTCTTCACTGTAACCATAGTTCTTTGAAACATTGGTGGAAGCTGTATCAGTGTGAAACCAGCTTTTGCTTTCTACTCAGTTAATGCTTTATTTTAATTCTCTTTTTTCTTCTTAGTTGCATCTCTTTGCTGTTATTATTATTATTATTATTTTATCCCACTTGAATACTGTATGTTATTTATATACCTTATGTGTTTATTCCTCCTTATTTATTGTGTTGTCTTTACTAACATGCATGTGGTATTTATTATTTCATAAAATGCTGTTATTTACAGTTTGTATACATGTTTAGACCATTGCAACAGAGAGCAAAAGATCACTTGACTGATGGCACCCCGCATGAACTAAATGTGAGCGAAAAAACAAAAGGACAAAAGAAAGAAACAAATTGCACAAATTGGTCTATACACTCACATCACTGGTTTTGTTAACAAAATGAGATAGAAAACTGCTTTTGAGTGTCATGTATTTTGTTTTATTTTCTCAGGCCAGCAGGGTGGATTCCAGGGACGTGGTGATCGACAGAACAGAGGTAGAGTATGGATTGAAGGGACCCATTTAGGTTCTTCAAAATGAGTGGTCCCTTAGTTTTTGTATTCATACTGGGTTTTTCTCTCCTGTATCAGAACAGGCTTGGAAAAGTTTGCTTACAGGTTATTATAAAAAAAGGTGGAAACAGTACACCAGATGTGCAGAGATGCTTTTGCCATCATTTTTCAAAACAATGTGCATTGTATTTAATATTGGAATATCTGATTTACATTTAAGCATGTGTAGACATAGTTCATATCATTGAAGAATGATGTATCAAAATGATACCCAATGTGGTAGAAGTTAAGAACAGTATGTTGATCTATGTTGAAGGTGAACACAATAGCATAGCCAATTGTCCATTTTCCAGATGCAGAAGGATTTTTTAAAGAAACTTTATAGGAAACTTTCAACCTTTAGGACCAGTTAACTAGGTGCTACTGACTTAATAATTGTTTCCAGCTTGATGTTTTTCCTACAGCAATCTAGTACTGCAATTTGTAGCTGCTTGTAGAAGACTTGGAATTCACTTTCATTGAGAACAATATGTAGGTGCATCTGCAAATACTTGCATTGACATTTAATTATTTTTTGTATTATGTCATTTCATAAGGTGGAGCGGGGGGATACCAGCAGTATGGCCGAGGAGATAGAAACCAAAACAGAGGTATGATATAAGATGGTGCATTTGTTGTGTGGTAGGATGAATGTGTCACATGTACTGGAGCCGAAATTATGCCAGGTGTTCTGTGGTATAAATGAAAGCACAGAACTAACCCATTGGGGGTTCACCCAGACATGTAATGATATAAGTTTATTTTCAGAAGAATAGGTTTCACAAATATTTGTCTGATGTAATTTTTTTTTTTTTCATAGAGGGAGGTAGGCAAGGTTACCAAGGCAACCGTGGAGGACAAGGTGGTTACCAAGGAAACAGGGATAGGCAACAAAATAGAGGTATCTACGTTACATTTTCTTCACATTTGTATATTACATCCATTTGTATGCAGCCACCTCACATTGGGATTTCTTTACTTGAAGCAAGGGTAGTGGCACATCAGAATTTGAGTTAAAAACAAAGATGTGCCATGTGTTGCAAAGATTTGTAACAAGTAAAAATTAATATTGTATTGATCCCTTTTGCAGGTCAGCGGAGAGACCAGAGGCAGTACTAAGCAAAAAATTAGAGCAAACCATCATGTTAAATTAATATGGCATTGTACACACAAGCCTCATTTTGGAGTTCAGTAGTGAATGCATGATGTGACTGAAAGAAGGAATAAACCCTTGTTGAGAAGATTCATCTGAAGCAAGATACTGAGGAACATGAATCTTTTTACAATTGGGTATTTTTATAGATTTGATGCAAAGAGCATGATCAGGACTGTGTAAAGGGATAACATTTTCAGGAATATAATATTTCCCTGCGCTTATTTAAAACTCCATTGCTGGAATCCTAGGTATCAATTGTTAATCTCCAAATAAAATGCAGATATGCTGGAACTGTCTTATTTTGTCTTTGTAGAAAAAATGTTGTGTCACATAGTTACTTTCATCAAGGTTATTAATATGGTGGGGTAAATCTCAATTTTTTCCATAACGGGTGTTTTCTGAGGCGAAATTTGATGCAGAAGACAAATATGAGCGCATTCTCAACGAATTAAGCCAGGCTTTACAAAGCCGGTGACCTAAAAATGGCGGACGTACATGAAAGAAAAACCACCTAATCTTTTAATAGTCTCTCCGCCTCCCCACACGTCGTCCCTGCGGGGTACAGTAATTAAATCGCATCTCCGTTCGCCATGCGGAAGCTACCTGAGAAATATTAAGTGCGCATGCTCATCAGTTAAACTCGTGGTGAAGAAAGCATGGCAGCTGAAGGCGATCAAAGGAAAAAAGCTCTTCTGTTCTATTATCTTTGAAAACAGAGACGAAAAAGGAATAATTTGGCCCGTAGAGCAGCAATGAATCGACTATCTACGGAGATAATATCACCAGAGATATTCACGGAAATATTAATGTTCGGAGCCGAGATTTAATTACTGTACCCCGCAGGGACGACGTGTGGGGAGGCATGTGAGAGGCGGAGAGACTATTAAAAGATTAGGTGGTTTTTCTTTCATGTACGTCCGCCATTTTTAGGTCACCGGCTTTGTAAAGCCTGGCTTAATTCGTTGAGAATGCGCTCATGTGACAATCATTCTTTTATACAGCAATTGGTTAGGTTGCTAAAATGTCAGTTTTCAAAATGGCAGCCAAAATGACCTACCTAGAGTTTCATCATCAACAACAACTAAAGGTACTATAGTGTGTGATGTGTATTTTCTTGTGTTTTAGGGCTTGAAGGATCAATTTCTGATGTTAAAACTGAGATTGGTACATTTTACAGCAAATTCAGTTACCATGTGAGCTTACAGTTAACTCATATTTTACAACTAAAAACACAAGAAAAGACATATTACAAACAAAGGATCCTTTAATTGTCGATCATGATGAAACTCTTGTTAGGGCGATTTGTCGGCCATTTGAAAAATTGTCATTTTACCAATATAGATGGCTGTTGTGAGATGTCACGTGTTTAACGTCATTTCCTTCATAGAAAATACTTTTTAAAATTTTGTGCTTCACCCAGCTGTATTCAATACAGGTATATACATGCACATAGTTGCTGTATGTAGTATACAAGCGTTGTATGCAATTCCAAAAATATTGAAATTACTGACCTAAAGAATGCTCGGAGCTCAAATTTCTCAGCAGAAATTAACTTTTTTGCCCATTTCACCTAAAATTACCTGTTCCTTAAGAGACTTCCAAAAAAAAAGTAATTATTTATCCTACCCCATTAATAAATAAGGACACCCTTTTGCTTCATGTTAACAATACTCAGACCATTTTGCTTCGGGTAACCCAAAATCTGGCTAAAAATTGAAGGTAAAGTGTATCTATTCTGGTTGATATTTACTGCATTTTTTTTTTTTTTTTTTTGTGTGTGCGATGCAGTACAAGTATTTTAAAATGAAAATAATGCAATCTTAACTGCTAGGATGTAATTGAGTGTCCCAGAAAACGAGTGGGGTGACATCAAACTTGTACTACTTTATCCAAAAGCCATGTATTGTAGAAATAGCTTGGATTTGTAATCTTTTTATGGCTGCCATGGACCATTTTACACACAATGGTAGAATCTAACCAAATGTCAGTGAAAAACTAGTGTACGGCAGAAAGGGTGAAAGATATTTTAGAAATGAATACAAAGACTACCGAGCATTTCATTTTATCCAAGGCCAGGACTATTAAATGCTATCTGAATGCAGTGGAGTTCTGTTATCCCAGTATGCTGTTCACACTACATAGGCCTACAAGGTGAACTGGTTCTAGTTAATGGCCTATTTCTAGTGGATCTAAACATTGGTTAATTTGGCCCATTGCTCCCGCATTTTTAATTTGAACAGGTTAAATATGTATACAAAAAAACAAGCCTTTTCAATAACAGTGGGATAGCAGCAAAAACAGTGAAAAAAATACTTTTTTATCTTTTCTTTATATTTCTTTAATGTCTTTCTTTTTTTAATTTACAAATATTTAGACTTTTTCAGTCCCTTAGAATTGCATTTCATGTGGGTACTGCCTGTTTTTCAAGGAGAACATGGCTCCCAAGTACCCAAAGAGCAGCTTCTTGTCCGGACTCTGTCGGATGGCATCCAGAACTTGCTTGTCAACATCCACTTGATCTTTCTTACGTTCTTCACTGACAGCATACACCTAAAAACCAAGAGGCAGTTGTAAATCCAAAGACTTGCAGATAGTTAGATTACCCCCCCCCTTCCCTGGTTTCATAATATAATCATCGAGGGTGGTGGATATGTACACTTCAAATTGGACAAAATGGATTAAACCGAGGAAAGTACAAACTGAAATAATTGCCCTCTTATTAAGAAAAAACTAGCAAAGAACAAAAAAATCTTTATTATATTTAGAGGAGCAAGAGGATGGGTTAAAATGGTAAAATCTAAATTTTGTTCTTTCATCCTTATTTTAAATTCAGATATCCTATTTTATATCACTATCAAAGTAGTAATAGAAAAAAAAATGAACATTTACCTCTTTTTGTGTGTCAAAGATCTCTCCCTCTGTGTGTTTAGGCTTTTTCAGCTTCTTCCTTCTGAAGTATTCGTCATTGACGTTGTCCGGGATTTTGACCTTGCTGATGTCAATCTTGGTCTTGGTGGCAATGACGTACACCTGGTTGATGCGCCTCAGAGGGCAGCCATTTATATGGTATGGTCCTGTTAAATAGGAGTCAACATAAGATTTTAAACACATGCAAAACTTTGTGGGCTGAAAGTCTACTAAATTTGGTAAATACATCCTGTAAGTGTTTTTCACAGTTACACATATTCTAACCTTGAAAAGTAAATTCTATTGTAAGTAATTTCATGTAAAATAAGTTTGTAGATCTAAAATCAAGCATTACATAAAGGTGCACTGGGCTTCTTAGGCATGTTCATTTATCGACATCCAAATAATTACCTGTAACAAGAAGCAGACCAGAACCAAGCTGCTTGAGGAAAACCACTCTCTGCAAATATATAAACTTAAAATTACAAAAAAAATATCTTCAGAATAATTAATTTGCCTTATTCAAAAAGATTACAAACCTTGGGATAGAAGACGCACCATAAAGATTGCCCAAATACATTTAAACAGTTGAAGCAAAGTAAAATTAAGCTCTATGATACATTTAATGATTATCACGTTACAGAAGAAAGCTTCATAGATTAGTGAGTTCTGTATATGGCCTAAAGATTTCACACCTTTCCCTTTTGCCTGCCTGCAAGCAGAATTAAGACTGTGCCAGGAGTAATGGAAGATCTCAACTTTCTCTTGTGCTGGCTGAAGGCATTCTTCCTGGTCTTCAGCTTGCGTGGTCTATCCTCAGTTGGGTAGAAACGGGGCTGGAAAAAAAGAAGATGCAGTACTGTACTGAAAGATTTACCAATCCATAAAAGTGAAACCCCAAGTGTTAAGAGAGAAACATACTGTTGTTCTGGTATGTGACTTAGCAATTACACTCATCCTTACAAACAGAAAGTTTTCTAATAATGACTGAGATATGTCTGAAATCACAAAAAGCTTACCTTGACTTTATTGATTGTCAAAAAATAGTACAAAATAGTAAAACATTTTGGTACAACTCACCATTCTTGTCACACGGACAGTTCTAGTGCCTCCATTTTTGTCACCCCCAATCTGTTTCTTGACCATACGAGTTTCACTCTTTGCTTTATCAGTTCTCTTCTGGCCTGGCTTGGCAAACTTATACACGGCCTTCTTCTTGTACATTCTGGCGCTGGAGAAGCGCATGATGCCACTCCCGCCCAATTCATAATTGCGGGGCTTACGGGGTTTCTTGTCAGTTCCCATCTATGAAAATGTAATAACAATGCAAAACATCAACTGAAAGATGAAATAAAATATGAAATAAAATACGATGATAAAATATCTACTAATTACGATACTTTGACTGCGATCATATTTAGTATTCACTTTAATGTTTACGGGGACTAAAGTCTTGTTATAGTTGATCCAGCTTCACCCCATGGGCGCAGACATGTTGACCGAACATATCATTTGTATACCAACACTGTAAATTATACCCAAAACCAGTGAACTTGGACTTAGATTCATATAATAACCAAGTAGCTGTATAAAATATAGATATATGTTTTTTATTTATCTATTTGAAAAAACGATGGTCATTGCAACAGTGAGATTTTCATGGATTTACATCAGCTAACTTCATCGTATTGCCATACTCACATTGGCCCACAAGTAAAAAGGATAGACCATACGGGCACTTGTTGGAACAACAACTATGATGACGTAAAAATGTACACATAAAAGTATGACGATTACACACTGGGACACAGAGCGTGGTAGGTTTGACGCTGTTGTCATAAGTATTTTGTTTAGCTAATGAAATTATGCCCAGTACCTTTGTTTTTTCATTTTATAATTGCAGCTTATAGAGGTGCGTTTCCTTAAAAATGAAAAATAAGATAAAGAGATGCATACTATTAACAAAAAGAATGGCATGCCAAATGATTGCCTCTTAACCAGACAAATGCCACCACATATTTTCAAATACAGTAGTATAACTTCAAGAAACACCGCAGGGTTTTGTTTTATTATTTCCGAAAAAAATGATATTTGAACAGACACAATTTGATATAACCTAGCACGAAATTCATGCTATAAACAATTCTGATATGTACTGGCTGTGCTAACACATGAAAGCAAAGGCCTCAAAAAGTGTGTAATAAAAGCCAGTTGCAGAACCAGCCATGGTGCCAGAGCTCTCAAATTATTATCTTACCCTTCATCTTCTCAACTCGCATACTCCTGTAAAGTCAACCAGTTTTCCCATCAACAGAGCTGTGAGTGAGATAATATACATCTACTTGTTCCTTTTAACCTCTTTTTTTTTTTTTTTTTTACATTTGAAAGAAGCTGGTAGTAGTGATTTATACAGGGAGTCTATAGGCTTGCTTTGTATGTAAGCTACCTCTTCATTTGAGAGGTTTCATGTACCAGAGTAATTCCTCACTGCTCAGTGGAAAGTACTGCGTGAGAAACTATCATCATGAGTTATATTTTTGTGTGTTTTAATTTGAGATATTTTTCCAGATTTGGTGATTATAACATGATGCCTGTTGCACAAGATGGTCAAGGTAAATAGAATGAAATTAGGAATTAATATAAATTTTCTTGTGGTAAAATGTCATATTTAATCAAAAACGGACAGTAACTGAGCAAAGGCACAAAATTTTGCCTGGCTGTCTTCAATTCCACTAGCATGTGGCATGGGACTACCGTAGTTCTTATAGCCATAGACTGGTAAACTATGTTAATTTGTGTCTAAAAACATGTCATACTTTTTATAATGAAGTTGATACCATTGTTCAAAAAATGTGTTTCAAATTAAAGAAGTAGATTTGGAGGTCTTTTACCAAGTTGGTATGTCTGAAGTTCTATATGTAAGCTTAACTTGATATTGTACTTGTTGGTATAAGTGTTTTGCAACCCATTAATTTAGATGCATTTAAGCTTATATCAGATCAACTTGAGGATACTGTAAACATTTGCCAAATGCTCCTTATTTACTGCCTTACGTGTACATTCTTTTGGATAACATATAAATGACTAAATTAATTAATATTTACAGGCATGTCATCTTACAGGTGACATCATAATTCAATTTTGGGGTGAAAATTGAAAAATCGGGTTCTCAAATTTCTCCTTTACTCGAGTTTTTTTATAACGTCATCATTAATTCTTTTCTTGTCATCATAACGATAGTCTATTGCATAAGTCTAAAACATCATGAATTAAAATCATTATAAATTTATGAGAAATTTTTTAAAGAAATTTCAATAGCCATGACGTAATTTCAGATCCTAATTCAACACCTGAAGTAGACTACAAGCAGAAATACAGGGTTCTGAAGAGGAAACTTAAGTATCTGATTTTTGTAAGTACTCAAATTAGTTGAAAATAGCTGTGATGATAGACAATAATGTGCTTGGAATAAAAATCACTTTCTTTTTTTTCTTTTTTCTTTTAGTATGTTCCTTTTTCAGGAACAGGAGTGTTTTACAGAAGAATTAAGAAAAGCACAAAGGAAACTACTGAAAGTTTCAAGAGATAAAAGGTATATGTATTGCCTGTTAGTTTTCTTTTTACAGTATTTTTTTTCTTTTTTGAAAGACCTGTAAGTTGTATGTTTTGATAGATTGAATGAGATTTACATGCTGTTGTGTTATTCAAATTCTGTTTGAAATATGTTTATGTATTATACCACCAGTGTCTAAATTAAAAGGGAACAATCGCAGCCAAAATAGGTGGCCAGCAGGTTTTCCCCTTAATCCATGGGTGCATATTATATTTCATTAATGTGCACAGATATATGTACCCTGGGGGTGGTTGATTCTAAATTCTTATGACATTGTAATTTTCACTATCTCCTCTTAGACCATTGCAGATAGGAAACTGAAACTTTTGGAATTGGTAGACCCATCATCAGGGATGTGCATGGGTACTTTGGAATTTTAGTGCCACAGGGTGATGGACTTTCCCCGGGGGATGGTTGATTCTAAATTCTTTTCACACTGTAATTTCTGCTATCTGCTCCTAGAACATTGTAGGGAGGAAGTTGAAACTTTGGTGATTAGTATACCCATCATCAGGGATGTTCATGGGCACTTTGGAATTTTAGTGCCACAGGGGGTTGGGCTGTCCCTGGGGGGTAGTTGATTCAAAATTCTTATGACATTGTTATTTCTGCTATCTCCTCCTAGGCTCTGTTCCCATAGATTTTAGATCGATCTATCCCCGCAGGGAGTCTCACTAGATTACTTTCAGATAATCCGACTTAAATGTCCGTCCTGCCTACTACAAGCTGTTAGGGGGTAATTAACTTTCGTGTCCGCCCGGCTGACAGCTATTTAGCGTGAACCCCCAGGGAGTTAGGTCGATCTAAAGTAGGTCGTTCTAATCTATGGAAATGGGGTGTAAGACCATTGGAGATAGGAAATTGAAACTATGGGATTTGGAAGATCCATCATCAGGGATGTGCATGGGCACTTTGGAATTTTAGTGTCACAGGGGGTTGGGCTGTACCCTGGGGGTGGTTGATTCTAAATTCTTAAGACATTGTAATTTTCACTATCTCCTCTTAGACCATTGCAGATAGGAAACTGAAACTTTTGGAATTGGTAGACCCATCATCAGGGATGTGCATGGGTACTTTGGAATTTTAGTGCCACAGGGTGTTGGACTTTCCCCGGGGGGTGGTTGATTCTAAATTCTTTTCACACTGTAATTTCTGCTATCTGCTCCTAGACCATTGTAGGGAGGAAGTTGAAACTTTGGTGATTAGTATACCCATCATCAGGGATGGGCACTTTGGAATTTTAGTGCCACAGGGGGTTGGGCTGTCCCTGGGGGGTAGTTGATTCAAAATTCTTATGACATTGTTATTTCTGCTATCTCCTCCTAGGCTCTATTCCCATAGATTTTAGATCGATCTATCCCCGCAGGGAGTCTCACTAGATTACTTTCAGATAATCCGACTTAAATGTCCGTCCTGCCTACTACAAGCTGTAAGGGGGTAATTAACTTTCGTGTCCGCCCGGCTGACAGCTATTTAGCGTGAACCCCCAGGGAGTTAGGTCGATCTTAAGTAGGTCGATCTAATCTATGGAAATGGGGTGTAAGACCATTAGAGATAGGAAATTAAAACTATGGGATTTGGAAGACCCATCATCAGGGATGTGCATGGGCACTTTGGAATTTTAGTGTCACAGGGGGTTGGGCTGTACCCTGGGGGTGGTTGATTCTAAATTCTTATGACATTGTAATTTTCACTATCTCCTCTTAGACCATTGCAGATAGGAAACTGAAACTTTTGGAATTGGTAGATTCTTATCACATTGTAATTTCTGCCATCTGCCCTAGACCATTAGAGTCAGGAAGTTGAAACTTTAGTGATTTGTATACCCATCATCAGAGAGGTGCATGGGCACTTAAGAATTTTAGTGCAACAGAGGGTTGGGCTGTACCCTGGGAGGTGGTTGATTCTAAATTCTTATGACATTGTAATTTCTGCTATCTGCTCCTAGACCATCGCAGGTAGGAAGTTGAAACTTTGGGAATTGGTAGACCCATCTTCAGGGATGTGCATGGACACTTTGGAATTTTAGTGCAACCGGGGGTTGGGCTGTCCCCAGGGGTTGGTTGATTCTGAATTCTTTTCACATTGTAGTTTCTGCTATTTTCTCCTAGACCATTGCAGGTAGGAAGTTGAAACTTGATTAGTATACCCATCATCAGAGATGTGCATGGGCACTTTTGAATTTTAGTGCAACAGGGGGTTGGGCTGTCCCTGGGGGTTGGTTGATTCTAAATTCTTTTCACATTGTATATATATATATATATATATATATATATATATATATATATATATATATATATATATATATATATATATATTTTTAAATACCTTTGGATGAAGCAGTGATGTGTGTGTATATGTGTGTGTACGTGTGTGTATACGTGCCTGTGGTAAGTGGTCCCTAGGGGTGAGGTGCTCTTGATAATATGGGGAAGTGTGGGGATATGCAATGGCTACCCATCAACACCATCTAGTTATGTATGTGTCATGATCGGCCATTATATACCAAATTTGAAATTTTTTTTATCTCAGTGTGTTATTATTTGATGTGTCTAACCCAATCTGTAGTAAATGCCAAGATTTGATCCTAAAGTTGTTTCTTGCTTTCAGTTTTCTTTTGGACAGACTTCTACAGTATGAAAAGCTTGAAGACTCCTCTAGTGAGTCAGAAGTAGTGTCCACTGATGATGAAGGTGGAGGGAAGGAGGGCAGCAGTAAAAAGTAAATAAAAACTAAAAAAAATTCAGTATGCACCTAGATAGAGAATAGCATGGTAAAACTAGAATTACCACTATACATTAAATGACAACTATTTATGACTTATAATTGAATTAGTTGCATGATTTAATGTACAGACCCTGCGTCTGTTCATGTAGCCTTCACCTTTGTCTGTCTCCATTGGTGTTACCGTCACTGTGCACTTGTCACTGTTTAACAAAATAAATGGAAAATCTTGTGACTTATTTTCCTCAAACTTATCTGAGTGATTAATAGAATTGACATACAAAGGTAGCGTTGATGAGCAAAAAAAAGTTTTTTTTTTTTTTTTTTTGAGTACTGGTTTTGTGAATTCTTTTTTTCACACATAAGCATGTTTAAGGTAACTTTGAACTCCCAAAGGCCTGAAGGCCTGTGCTGGTAACATTTTGTGAATGTCCACATTGTCGGTAACACAGAAAAGAAATAAGTGGTGATGATGCTGTCAAGTACTGTATAATATTTATTAAAAAATTGACAAAAACCTTTTTTGTGGTCTGTCATCATTGATGCATTAAATGGATAACTGTGTGACATATTATTTGCTGTTTGGTGTCTGTATATTTGCCATCTTTGCTGTATACTTATTCCTGTCTGTGGTTTGTGGATTGAACGAATTGAATGTCAAATCTGACATCAAGACATTATTACAGGAAAAAGTCCAACTCCTCTCTTGGAACAGAGGCCAGTGCTATGTTAAGTGGTATGGCAAGTTTGAGTGGTATAGTGCCCCAGACCTCTCTCATGGTAAATATGTCGCACTATGTATATAATGTATATTTCTAAGTATTATATTTAGGCAATAATTGTTTAAGATTTTTATTGATAAGAAGATTCTTTTTTCCTAATTTCTTAGATGATTTTCCTCTTTTATCTAAATGAATTGTTATAGTGTATAAAGCATACTATTAACTACTCTGTATGATATCATTTTTTTTTATTTGATGTTACTTTAAGGCATCATCATCTTATTCTGAACCACCAAAGAAAAAAGCAAAAACAGCAAAGAAAGTAGCCAGGCCAGGTAAGTTCCTTCATTTTAGCTAATTATGACATCATGTAATGTTGAGATAACTAAACAGATAACTAGTCACTGTTTTGACATTCTGAAGTTAGTGATGCATGGGGATTAAATGGAGGTAAGTGATTAAAATGGTCCAGGTTATGTTTTTAAATTTACCTCGCTTAGGTACTAGGTGGTTTTTGCTTTCTTTAAAATGTATTACTCGGATGATTTTGGGCATCTGAAAAACAAACATTACTTTTCTTTGAAACTAGTTGGATTTATCTCAACTACTAAAATGCACTTTAATATTGACAGAATACTGACAGAATACTTATTTAAAAGTAATGCCTTTTTTTGTGATTTTTAACTTGATTTTACCTCATGTAGGTTCTAGTTTCGTTTGTCAGCTTCAGGTTGCTTGTACTTGCACGTTTACATTTAAAAAGAAAGGTACTTTGGCCAGTCATATTTTTCCTCATCAATCATAATTTGTATAGAATGAGCAATTTCCTACATGAAGTACCCAAAAGCAGTTTCAGTTTGGGTAATTTGTTCTATATAGTTATTACAGGGGCGGATTTAGGCCGTCTTCTGGGTCTTCCGGAAGACGGTGAGATTTTCAAGTTTACATAGACGGGTATCTAACTTTTTTTCTGTCGGAAGATGGTCAAAAATGAGGATGGATCAACAAAGATAATTTGGAAGACTGTCAGAAAATATCTCTGGATCTGCCCCTGTTATTATAGTCTCAGAACCAGAAAAATGAGCCAAATTGAGATTTCGTAGTTCTGTTATGTCCATTTATAGCTCAGACTGGTAAAGGATCAAAGCCCAGGCAGACGCAAGCACAAAAAGATAGCACAGCTGCAAAAAAAGATGATCAAAATTTATCTGGTTCCATGAGTCGAGAAGAGATAGAACGGCATCTTGATTCCAGACCTGCAAAGCCGTCATTCATGGTCATTGAAAAGCCATCCTTGAATATGCCTTTGGACATATTTAGCAATGAAAATTCAAATCCAGACAGGCAAGTTTTTGAAAGAAGTTTCTTTTTAGATTTCTTTAAAAGCTTCTAACATATTAAAGCAACATAATCCTCAGCTTCATTAGTACCACCAGCGTGTACGCTGGCGGTACTCATGGTTTTAGTCCCGACCCGTATCGTACGGCTCCGCCGGCTCTGCAGGGTGGCGTGGGATACAAGTCACCGTTACCGCTTCTCCTCCTAGACCACACGGACCTGTGTCCCCATCTCTTGGATTTAGGTCACATATAATCTCAACTTGAACCCCCTGGTTTTTTTGTCTCAGTCGGTGCATTCCCTTGGGCGTGGCACTCGATGAAATGCACCCTTGTCAAATTTTTTGAAAATTCAATGCTATATATCTCCTAAACAGAAGGAATTATGGGAAAAATTAGTATAGATGTCTGACCGAAAGTCATATATGAGGATTTCAAATATGCTTTCGGATTTGACCTTTGCAAACAGGCCAAAATTTTCTAAAAATGGGAATTTTTTGCAAAAAAACTTTTATTTGTGCCGAATTTCAGAAACTACACAGAGTTTAGCACTCATATTATAGTGAGGGGATGCAATTAGGGACTCCTTTCATCTTTGGGAGTTTGGGTTCAATCGGTGCATTTTCATGGGAGAAACGGCCATAAGATGCCAAAACTGAAAACTCTCCCTAATTCTGGAACCGTAAATGCTAGAGACCTCTTGTTTTTTGCATTATGTAGAGCTTGTCAAGTGCAATACTGAAGGTGGTGTCCATTTTTTTGTTTGCGATACGTTCAAGGAGTTGCGCTATATCAAAAAGCACAACTGAGCAATATTCAGTGGTGAAAATAAAATGTGAAATACTCCAAAAGTAGCTGAGATACACCCATAGTTACTATTGAACTTGAATAGGAAGTCATATACTGGCAATCTAACTGTGACCTTGAAATTGACCTTTGACCTACTTTTCACCATGAACTGAACTTTGCAATTTTTCCATCCCTTATATCACCAAAACTAGCAGAGATACGCCCATAGTTTCTATTGAACTTGAATAGGAAGTCATATACTGACAATCTAACTGTGACCTTGAAATTGACCTTTGACTTACTTTTCACCATGCACTGAACTTGAAAATTGGCTTGATCAGACGATTTTTATAAAAGTTGTGATTTTTTTTTTTTTTTTTCTTGGGGGGAAGGGGTATATTTCTTGTCTTGTTTATTGCATTTTGAAGAGCTTGTCAAACACAACACTGGTGGTTGTTCCTGTTTGTTTTTGGTTTTCCATACGAATGCGCTTACTCCAGCTGGTGGTACAATATCCGGAGGCGGTATCGCCTCTCTGATCCTCTAGTTACTTATGGATACCTGTATGTTGACTGCATTTTCCAATTTTTATTCAAATTTATTTTATTAAAATTATTTTTTACAGTGAGAGTATGGACACAGAAAATAGCCGTGACTTAGTTATTGACACAAATCCTTGAAGAAATTGATCCAAAACCGTTGTATAAAAGTTAAGGAGTGATATTGAGCGTGTAACTGGATTGAATTTTTACCAATGTCAGTTCTTTTGACTATGGCAATGACTGGACACTTTGGAGACTACATTAGCAGAGGTCATAATGTTAATTTAAGTAAAGAAAAGTACCAAGCGTTGACCATTTTATCAGAATTGTGGATAAGGTTGTGATGTTTCAGCTCCATATCCAATTCATCTCAGTCTTTAGTTTAAAGGTATCACAAATTGTATGATGCATTCAGGTCAAAATTATGGAAATATAAATTTTTTCATCATTTTCATTTATCATGGCTTTGTATTTGTTGATTTACATGCACTTGAATTTGCAGCTGAAAAATATAAACAACTAGAACTTGCTTTACTTATCCATCTTTCTACTATTAGAAACCATTAATCTGAGCTCATTAGCGCTCAGTCATGATTACCACTCAATTAGAAGTACATAGATGTAAAAAATTAAATACACATGTAAAAAACAATTTGGGTACTTTCACCTACATTTTTTATATTTAAATATGTACTGTTTTGTTAAGCATGTCACCAACAATTTCAAAAGAAATATACATGATGTATTGTTTTTGCTTGCATGAGAAAAGACGTTGGAAGCCTGACACAGCACAAGATGTCCTGATCATAAAAACTATGGTTATTCACTATTCCTTAATACTTGTATTTCATTAGCATCTACAAGCAAAACACTTAGTGTTTGGGACTGACCAAAAAACTTTTCATTCCCTTAATTTCATCTCAGATTATTCAATCCAGATTTGTAAGAAACATGTTCCATTCCTGTAATTGGGTCACACCATTGAAATAAAACATCAGTGATGGCACAAAAAGATATTAAACAAAGACATTTAAAGAAAGTTACTCTACAATTACTTTTAGGCAAAATGGAGGCCAAAAGTTTGATATAAATTAAAAATACACGCAAAAGAAAAAAAGATTTTCTACCTCCTTTCTAAAACGACACTAAAACGCATGCAGAGTAACTTTCTAAATATCGATCCCGCTGATTTTTTTAAACTGCTTGCATTTTTCGGAAAAAAAAAAGTGCAGAAGATTTAAAGTAAAACAAAAAATATAATTGGCATTTATGGGGTGATGAAAGGTGTTGGACAGCGACAGAGGTAATCAAAGTAACCTACTAGAGAGAAGGAATGACTAAGGAATGGAACACACGACTTTGATAATTAAACATGCCTGTGCTGCAGCTTTGATATTGGAGCTGTGCAAAAATGTCCTGTGCATGTCTATAAATCATGTACAAAAAAAAAAAAACATTAATTTGTTTACACATTTATATAGCTAATAAAACCAGTTTGATGTTAAAAAGGTCATTACAATTACAAATATACAACATTTACAAAAAGAAAAAAACACTATCATTCCCTGATACTTTTTTGCATGTTTCAACTAGTCTTTAATCGTTTTGATGTTCTTGGTGAAGTGTTCAGATTGCTGCTGTTCCTAGATTCGGTATTATTATTTTTTTGAGTTTCATCATGGCTACCCTGAACAGAATCGATGACAAAAAAAGTTGTATTATTGGAACTATTTTCGGATTCTGTAACTGTAATTTCATCCAGATTCCTTGTGTCAATATCATTGGATGCAGATATCATAAGTGTCCTTTGTCCATCTGACGTGGTGTCTTGATTGGCTTCTGATGCCCCAAATGTGACAGTCACAGTATTTTCTGATGCTGCATGCAGTTGTGAAGTGAACTCCCGTTTTACTTCTGCCAGTTGTTGGTGCAGTAACTCTTGATGCTGGTTCTGTAGGTTTGTGATCATATCTTGAATTTTATCATCTAAAGAAACACTCAACTGACCAAGAAGTTCTTGCTCACGTCGCTGGTACATTACGACTTCTTGAGACTGCATCTGAATCTGACACAAAGAAAAAGGCTTTTAAATGCAACTTAAAGATCAATTTATATTACATCAGAACACATTCAAAGATAAAATGTTACCAAGAATTAACATTCATTTCCAGAAAAAACAAGGCAGCAAAGCTGTCAAATGTACAGACAAAAAGCAGGAATTNCATTATGCTGATTTTCGAACTCAACCTGCGTTTTAGCAGGATTGATCACTCCTGTGAGTTTAATGACAATTGGCCAATCTGTTTTTCTTATATTGTGTTTACAGTGTTGCATATATGCTGAAAAGTGAAAAAAAAAAGCAGAACTACTAAAATGGTGGCCCCATTATGCTGATTTTAGAACTCAACCTGCGTTGTAGCAAGATTGATCACTCCTGTGAGTTTAATGACAATTGGCCAATCTGTTTTTCTTATATTGTGTTTACAGTGTTGCATATATGCTGAAAAGTGAAAAAACAGCATAACTTCTACAATAATGGCCTGATCATGCTGATTTTCGAACTTGATCTGCGTTTTATGAATATTTATCAGCTCTGTAAATATAAAGCCAAAAAGTAAAACTGCCTTCCACTTATCGTGTTTACAATGAAAGTGCACGGTGACGGCATCGGCGACGACGGCGATGACAGACGCAGGTGATGGCAATATGTACAGACACATCTGTGTCTGTACATAAAAATTGAATGTGCATAAACTTTCCTTCAAACGAACATTATAAGCAACCAAATGCAATTTTAATGCAATGTAGCTACAAATTTTCATTCAAATTATATAATTTACCTGCATCTTGAGCTGTTGTATCTCTGATCTCAATGCCTGCTCTATGTGTGTCTTTTCAAACTTCAGCTGCTCATTTTTTTGTTTAAGTTGTTCCACCTGTTGTTGTAAAAAGGACCCATCTCCCTGACTGCCATTCAACTGAAATTTTACAATAAAATATTAAGTACTACATAACACTTGATTAGGAATAATAAATTTCATTACAATGTTGTTTTCAAAATCTTTGCTTGACAATTCAACTGAAAAACAGTTTTGACTGATGTGACCTACCCCCACCTGATACTTTATAATTAATTATCACTGTCATGTTTGTTTAATTCTAGCTTTGTACCAGACTAGTGAAACAAAGTGAGCTGTATTTGTTTTCAATATTTAAAGACAGCATTATAACAAACCTGTGTCGCATATGAATTAGAATCTGCTTCTTGGTTTGTGTCCAGTGGTTCTTCTTGAATGATCACAATGTGTGGGTCAGAGGTCCCCACAGTTTCGTTTGCAGCTACTGCCACTTGGACCTCACCTTCATTTGAATTTTTTCCATTGGCAATGCTGACATTGGATGGGCTCAAGAGGCCTTAAATATGTAGGTTTACTATGTTTATTTTAAGGTAACATGACCTTAAAGCTTGCTTCTGCCAACAAATTTTATGAGAAATACAGGGTGCCCCCCCCCCCCTCCAAAAAAACAGAACCCGTAAAAATTTAATAAAATCCTAGAGAAGTCCATCAAATTTCAAGAAATTTGCAGGACTTCAACTTTAATAAACAAAATTACTGCTTTACAAAAGTGATAAAAAATAATCATCCAAGTTATGAATTTCACAAACAGTCCTCACCATTCCCTGGTGTATTTGTAATCACAGTCTCAGTAAACACTGGGTGAACAGCAAGTTCATCCCCTGCAGTCACAGTGGCATGGATTGTGTCTGCTGCCTGCTGGCTCTCTTGGTTCATGTTCATCATTTGGTTTACCTCCTAAAATAGATATGAAAGTGAGTCACCAAGCCGTGTCTTTGAAAGTGTTTCTATAGAAGTATACTTATAATAGCTCAAAAAGAAAAACAACAATAATTATCAATTGTATGCAAAAGTGATTATTCTGATCCCTATTTGACTCTTACTTACAATATATATATATATATATATATATATATATATATATATATATATATATATATATAAAATCCATTTCCAATATAGAGTATCTTGATGCTTTAAACTAGTTCTACAACAAAAATGGCTCAAATATTATATTGGGTTTCAGTCTGAAATTAAATTTTTGATGGACTAAAAAAAGAGAATTAGGATGGCGCAATTCTTCTTCTATCATTCTCAGTTTAAAACATGATTCAATGATTTTTCCATACCTGAGTAACTTGAATTTGGAAGGTTGTTTGTGGGTTGCGGAAATGAGTCTTGTAATGCTTCAGAGCTTCATCTCTCCGGTTGAATCCATTGCGACACTTGTAGCAATGCCAATGTGCTCCCTTAAATTTCTTCTCTCCTTTAATGGCACCCACAATATCACACTGGTCACAACATCGCAGGATTTTCAAACCTACAGTTATAAAGATTTATGCTTATTACACAATATATATTACTAATTAACCTCCTTAATTTGATAAAAAATATATTGTATTACATTCACAGATGGGTCTGTGAGAAAAAACTATGGATCAACGATTGCACATCAAATGAAGAACATTTTTTAAATATTTTATTTTGTTTTTAGAAAAGCATACCAATTCAACCATTCTCTTGTTATTAATCAAAAAGTAAAAAAAATCCATTTGGTATAATATGTTAACATTACCTGCAAAATCGAGTCCTTTGTCAACATGTTTTACTCTGTAATGTGCCTTTAGGATAACTGGATCCTGATAAGAGTCAGTCTTCACACAAAAAGGGCAGTGCATATGAAGCGGTTTGATTAAGCAGTTGGGGTCTATGCACTGGACTGGGTTGTAGTTGTTTTCTGTTCCCTTGATCCTTACACTTGGATGTGTCTGAGAATTTTGAAATTGAATATAAAGCTTAAGTACTTTGACCAGTAGTTTCTCACTATTATCTTTATATGTCGAAATTTGGCTTTTTTTAATTAATTGCTAAGTTGGCCCTAGATGGTCTTTACTAAATCCTTTAAAAAAGGATAGGGCATACTAGTAGGCAAGTAGTAGGCATGTAAAAGCACTCGCTGCCACAACAAATGTATTTTGCACTGGAAAATGCTTAAAAGCAACATTGTAATCGCATTTATTTCGAAACGGAACTGGACATAACGTTACAAGCTATGTGAAATTTTAATGACATCAACAAAAACAACATTACTTTCATACTATGTAGTCCACATGTTTTCAAGTACAACTACTTTAAAAACCTTATGCACTGATTTCATTATTTACATGGCGGTCGGCTTTGTGCGAAGGGCGCGATGGGTAATTCAACTTACAAAAGACCGTTAAAACCTCGCAGGAACCAAATATATACTTACTACAAACGTATTCATGATTTCTGGTTTCTAGATGCTCTTAAATTTGTTAATTTGGGATGCTATCCATCCAAATCCGTGTAAAACGGAGCGAATTCCCCTGTTAACTGCAGCTATATGCGTGCACGTCATCGATTCCTAAGGTTACAAATCGATGACGTCACGAGTTCCGTCGAAGAAGCATGTCGGTTCATGAGGTAAGCGAGCAGACGATGTTGTTTTGTATTTTTCTATATTTGCACAGGATTCGTGCAATCAGGATGCTTATCTATCTTTTAAGTAGCATGGTAATGATGCATTTCACAATGTAACTATCCAGATATTACCCAAATACCTATCCAACATCCATATTATGCTTTTTCTCTGGACACTTCGAGTGCCTTAATTGTTGCCTCAGTTTTCGGCCGTAATTACATGTATCGCAGTAAGTAGACAAAAAGCCGAAAACTGAGGCAAGCTACCTAGATAAGCCAGCTTTCACTAAATTCACCTTCTCAGTTGGAGTGTATTTGGGCTAAAACTGCTCTAGATCTACATAATTGCTATTCTAAGATAACATCCGTTAAATTGTTTTTTTTTTTTTTTTTGCCTTTTTACAGCCTTAAAAATCAGTGTTTAATGCCATGTCCAAAACCTCAGAATATTGGATGCAGTTTGCTTTACAACTAGCAGAAGAAGCTCTGACTCAAGGTGAAGTTCCAGTTGGGTGTATATTTGTCTACAAAGATCAGTGCATTGCTACAGGACGCAATGAAGTAAATGAAACTAAAAATGCAACACGACACGCAGAACTTGTTGCAGCAGACAGAGTGATTGCTTGGTGTCAGAAAAACAAAAAGACAGCAGCAGAGGTTTTTGAAAATTCCTCACTTTATGTTACTGTTGAACCTTGTGTTATGTGTGCTGGGGCTCTAAGAGTGCTGAAAGTTCCTCTTGTTGTTTTTGGATGTGCAAATGACAGGTTTGGAGGATGTGGTTCAGTATTAACAGTTTGTGAAGATGATTTACCCAACTTTGGATTGAAATTCCAATGCATCACTGGCCTGTTGAAGGAGAAGGCTATTGTACTTTTGAAAGAGTTTTATAGAAATGAAAATCCCACTGCACCAGAGGGCAAGAAAAAGATAAAGATCTGATTTAAAAGGGTGTCTGTGATATTAAATATTGCAAAACTGTAGGATTTTCAAGATCATGTGACGTGCAATGTATGTATGTATTTGTTTATTTGTTATTTATTTGTACTGTTTACTTGTTAAATATAAATTCAGCATCACTGTCAGATTTGTTTTGCCTGTCCATGCATTTGTTTATCATCTGTATTTAGCCCACATACACAGTAGCTGTAATATTGTACAGCAAAGTGTGCTTGTTTGGCAGACACCTGCCGCAATTAAATGCCATTTTATCAGAGCAAAATCATGACCCATTTTGCTTCACATAACCTTCTCAGGGCAAATAACATTTAACAAGAAAATTACTGGTGCAAAGGTATAAATTTTACACTCACTATGTCTTCCAAAAATGAAGCAAATTGCATTCTATGACATCATGACAGTGACAACATAGTAGATGGGATTGCTACATTTAGATCTATACATATACTTTTATTGTGAGAGACTACAGTATGTAGGTCATTCAAGGATAAGTGGGTTTGCATCCTTGTGCAAATGTGTTGGTCATGTTTTTGGCCCAAGTAATACTTCACTTCTGTTGCATTGATGTGACATGATGATGAAATGTGTCTAAGTCTATATAAATTGTGCTTTCAGCATAAGGTGATATCATATTTTTCAGTGCAGGGTATATGAAATAGCAGAGGAAACTACAGAGAATTAACTGGTGAGTAATATTTCCTATCTGTACTTTAAACATTTAAACAGCTCTAGATACATTGGGCAGTATTATTTGTTTTAAAGTATGTATGTTATATCTCATATAACAAAGTGTTGTTGTGATAAATTATTTTTATCCTTATTTAATAGTTTCACTTAAAATAAAATAAAGTGAATTACAATGTAGTTGGCTTGCACTTCACTTGTATACAGCTGTGTACATTTTCATCAGGGATCAAAAGGCATGGAACTTCTGTCTAGAGCACAGTTGCTAGTTCCAAGGTTCCTCATAACCAAGTCAGTCAAGACAAGCTTGAAAGATATCTCTGCCCAGGAATATCTGTCATCCAGGAAATATGTTACCTTTCCTATGAATTGTGACAATCCTGTCAGAAAACTTTATAAGCTACTATCAGGTGCATTCTCAAAGGATCCCCCAGAGGATGGAGACAGTTCTGGCAGTAAACCTTTGATATCTCCTATCCGAACACAAAATTCTGGGCGAAAACGCTTAGTTATTCTGGGAACAGGTTGGGGCGGATATAGTGTTTTGAAGAACATAGATAAAAAGCTGTATGATGTCATAGTGGTCAGTCCAAGGAACCATTTCTTGTTCACGCCATTGTTATGTAGTACCACTGTTGGAACTCTAGAATTCAGGTAAAAACAATTAGTCATGGTGAAACTTCACTTTTATTTAAAGAAAAGAAATTTGATTTTTGTTCAAACTACTTTGCAGAGTTTGATGGATACAAGGAACAATTGCTTACCAGCTTAAAGTGAGTGTATATCATATTATTGTATACCCCTGTCAATAGATTTAGATAGTTACGCGTATAGCCTGAAGGTATAGTGTGCAACCAAGTTTTGATACAGAACACATTGTATTTCAGGTCAATCATTGAGCCAGTCAGGAACAGTGGCTTTAGAAAATCGGACCATTTTCATTTGGCAAGAGCAATCAAACTAAATTTTGAAGAGAAAACTTTGGAATGTGAAAGTTCACTGAAACCTGGGTCTAAATATGTACTGGAATTTGACAAGCTAGTGATTGCTGTGGGTGCCAGAAGCAATGCATTTAATGTCCCAGGTGTTGAGGAACATGCTATTTTTCTGAAGGTAGGTAAACTGACACACACACACACACACACACACACACACACACACACACACACACACACACACACACACACACACACACACACACACACACACACACACACACACACACACACACACACACACACACACACACACACACACACACACACACACACTGGTTATCTGACCCCATTGCATGAATGAATTAATTGTAGTCAAAATATCTCTTGTGCATAGTTGTTCCTTCCCCATAGTGCACAAGGTTGTTGTTTCGTGTGTGAATAGTAACAATGAGACATTCTGAAATGATGAAAAATTCAAGTATGATTTGTATTGATATTATATATATCATGACACTGATTCCCTTTAACCCTTAACATACATTTTATATTTCTGTCATTTATTCAATGCCTGATATGGTGGGACTACAATGAACCATGTGAAATGGGAACTCATTAGATAAGACACCCACATAATACATGACTTGTTATCAGAATCTTAAGCATGTTATCCTTTATTTAGTATATATATATATATATTTTTTTTTTTGTTAATAAAAGCCTAGTTTATGCAGGTTCATTGTATCTGTAAATTCTTTTCTGTATTGAAATTTGTTATACAATTACTATGAAATTGCCAATATAATATGTTCACTTTCTGCTGTCAATCATTTCAGGAAATTGTACATGCTCAAAGAATCCGTAGAAGAATAATAAGTAACTTTGAACTTGCTCTGCAACCACACATTTCACCAGCTGAGAAACAAAGACTTCTGCATACAGTCATTGTTGGTGGTGGTCCAACAGGAATAGAATTTGGGGCAGAACTCTATGATTTCATTAAGACAGTATGACAGCTTTTCTTGTAAAAAAATAATGTATAAGTCACTAATATGCACAAATATTATTTTGTTTTTTCGATATATTATAAAATAAATGACAATAATTTACTCTTTGCCAATTTACTACTGATTGCAACTTCACTGAAGTAAAATTAATGCTAGAGAAACCCATGAGATAGAAATGCTTAGAAGCATATAAACCTTGGAGTGGTTTAGTTTAGTTTGTGTTGGTATCTTATCCTATTTTACCAAACAGTTCTGTAATTTCATTTTAATTAGCTAAAACTTACTTTTTCAGGATGTTTCTCGCCTTTACTTGAATACAAAAGCCGAAATTCAGACCACACTTGTTGAATCTCAGCAAATTTTGGCTTCTTTTGATAAAAGACTACAAGCATATGCAGAAAGGAAAATTAAGGAAAGGCCAAATTTTCACTTGATCAAATCAAATGTAACAGGTACTAGCAATATTTGCTGATATATAGAGAAAATATTCTCATGCATCATTTGACTTTTTCCTTAAATTTGTTATTTAATTTGAACTTTGTCTTTCTGTGTTAGATTAGTTACTTCTATAGTATCCTGCTGGGGATTTTGTCTAGTAGATAAATGTAGCATCAGGGGAGGTATTCACTCAATGATATAACATCACAGAGTGAGAGTTCGTCACTGAAAGCTCTGTTGTGGACAAGTCTAGATGACAACTAGACAGAACCATCAGCATGACACTAAAATGAATATATTTCTGTATTTTCTTTCTGTGTTGCTACATATGATAGTCCAGATCTCATCCATCCCAACTGGTATGACTCTATGAGAATTATTAAAGACAAAAATAACAAACATAATATGTAGGTTCGATATTTGGTCAGTTAAGACTGCTTTTAAATTTGCCAGTCTCAAGTGATATTTCACAACTTAAACTTACAAGGGGGATGAACTCCTAAGACAGAAGTATGTTGAGTACATTGACATTCCTGACATTTTGTCTCTTTTACACACAGAACACTTAAAATAACATGTGAACTGATGAACTGCATGTTTTGACATTCTTCATCCCAAATATTCCCATGAAATATAACATAATTGCTGAACTTACTGATGCCCAGATTTCAGTGTGCATCAAATGGCTCATCAAATTAGGGCATAAGTAAGCTCAGCACTTATGTTATATTTCATGGGAATATTTGGGAAAAAGAAAGCCAAGATATGTAGTTACTCTGTTGACATATTTTTTCAAACATACAGTGTGTCCAAAGAGACAAAATCCCAGAATTATCAATATACACAGCATACCTCCTTGGGAGTTTAACCCCCTTGACTAATGGGAAACCAGTTGGTAATCAAAATGTTAATCCCACTGATTGATAAGAATAACAAACAACGGAGTGACCAAGATTTTATGGAAATCAGGTGTAGTAGTTTTTTTTTTTTTTTTTAGAAGTGAAAGCAGATAGTGTAACTCTCCAAGATGGCACAGTTATTCCCTGTGGACTGGTTGTGTGGAGTGCAGGTCTGGCACCAAGACCTTTCACACAATTTTTAGACTCTCCAAAAAATAACAGAGGGCAGGTAATACAGTAGCATGATGCAGTCACTCCTGAAAGATTCAGACGTCTTCTCTCTCTCTTTTTTTTCCCTGGTGTTTATTTATTTATTATACTGTTGCATTATTTGATAAATTGAGATGATATTGTTTGTAAGCATCATATTTAGAAGATCCAAGTACCACTTATTATTATGGGTGTATGATATAAAGTGTTTTATATATGGCTTAAAAGAGTAACTAATTTCAAAATTGAATAACTTCAACAGTTTTGAACATATTGCAATGAAGTTTCAGGTATTGCAGGAAAATAAGTTTTGAACAGATGCTAAAAATTTCACGACTCAAAAAATGCCATGCTGGCCTATATGACTTCTTACAGGTGTCAAAACTGCCAGACATCATAACAAAAACTTGAATATCTACTTGTATTGTTATCTCATCTTTTTTTAAAAGACCTTCAGTTATCTTTTAAGGACTACTTGGTAAACATTTGTGATGAAAATCAGCTTATGTTGTTCTAGATAATGACAGACCAGTACCTTCGAGTGTTGGGAGACCCCACTGGCAATGTGTATGCTTTGGGAGATTGTGCTGAAGTAGAGCACATGCCTCTTCCGTGCACTGCACAGGTATGGTATTATTATCAATGAATGTTTTATGTTTAAGAATGCAATTTGTGTGTACAGTCTGAAGGGACAGAAAAGGGCAAAGTGTCAAATGCATATAGGCCTTTGTAAAGTATTGAACCCCTTTAACCCACCCTGAAGCATGGGTTTTTCAAATCCAGCCATTACTTTGAGCACTGATTCTTATTTGTGTGCTATTTAAAATTGTATGAAAATGGTTGACAGTACTAAGTAGATGAGGGGTGTCATGAGGTGATAAATTGGGTTTTAAGCAACATTAATTCATGTCATTTATCTTTTAAAATTATCTAAAAGTATCACTTCTCCTTACATAATTTCAACAAGAAGTGTTGTATGTACTCTTAGTTCAAAAAATGGAAACCTTTTTAAGACTTTTACATCCACTAAGGTAAAATTTTGCAATGTCCCTTTGAGGTAGTTGGGTGCAAATGATGTTAAAGGGATAACAACTGTTCATTTTGACCAAAAGATTTTTTCTGGGGTAAACGACAATTTCCCCATACTTACCAATGGTTAAGAAATCCATTTCTACATTCAAAGTTAGTCTCTGTTTTTCCAAAAAGTTTGATTTTTTGAAATAATCTCTTAAGAGATTATTACAGAGTATAGCCATCTGTGGAAGTCACATGGTCTGATGACAAGCAGAGATTTCAGATTAATTGCTAAAACTGCCGTTTTTGTGGTAAAATAGAATATATTATATTTCTATGAGTAGATTACAATGTATTTACGGTAATATGCCAAACAATTCGACCAAGATTAATTAATTAATTTCATGGAAATGTCAGTTAGGTCGAATTGATTAAAATACAGCAAATGGAAACCTTTGATATCGTCGGATTGTTAGGGGCATCTGCAAAAACGTCCATCTTTCCGGAGGTATTGCCTTTTACCGGAAGTGTTACGCAAGATAAGCCGCAATTTTCACCTAACACGTGTTTCAGGCATGTTTTATCCTCCTTCTGAAATCTTATTTTGCTGTGTACAAAATGTGCTAACATTAATCNTTTCACGTTTTTAGACTGTCTTGAGTCCATATCGGTCGATTCCGCTGATCAGCTGAAGCCTCAGCTTGTATATATCCTTTTCCCTTTGGTGTCCTTGATCGTGATATGAAGTTTACTTTATTTTATTTGGTTTACCTATATTTACGCTACTATTCCCCGTCGTTCATTCCCTCCAGCATGGCCGCGGGACTAGTGTTACGGAGCAAATATGACGTCACTGTAATCGGTTAATAGCCATCTGTGGAAGTCACATGGTCTGATGACAAGCAGAGATTTCAGATTAATTGCTAAAACTGCCGTTTTTGTGGTAAAATAGAATATATTATATTTCTATGAGTAGATTACAATGTATTTACGGTAATATGCCAAACAATTCGACCAAGATTAATTAATTAATTTCATGGAAATGTCAGTTAGGTCGAATTGATTAAAATACAGCAAATGGAAACCTTTGATATCGTCGGATTGTTAGGGGCATCTGCAAAAACGTCCATCTTTCCGGAAGTATTGCCTTTTACCGGAAGTGTTACACAAGATAAGCCGCAATTTTCACCTAACACGTGTTTCAGGCATGTTTTATCCTCCTTCTGAAATCTTATTTTGCTGTGTACAAAATGTGCTAACATTAATTAACATTAAAAAAGACGACAATTATAATTTCTAATTATATATTTCCCTCACCTACGATCATTTTCATGATGCGCTTCACAAGTGGGACGAGTATTTCCCCGGAGACAGGTGTTGTAAACAATGCCCGGTCACTTATATTAAACTTAAAACCGGAAGCTTTAGTGGACTTAAACTAGTTATGTGATCTACGTACGCCTTATTTGAATTTTAATATGAATTTTAATATGACTACTGAAATCAACCGAATTGAATTTTTTTTACCAGTCTGAGATCAGTTGTTTTCAACCCGCAAGGCTTGCTCAGCGTCGAGGCGTAGACGTACGTACCTCCGAAGAAAATTCAATCACCCGTATCAAAGAATACCAACTGGTATTCAAACGGAAATCAGTGTAACTTCAAATTACTTTTAAGTATTTCATTTAAAAAGCATGTCATATTAAAACATTGAGAAAAGGCAAAATACGGAGCCTACCTGTGTCGATAGACATACAGTATCTTGCTGGCACTCTTCCAATTTTCTTACTTATATACTCTCGCTGTGCACAAACCACGGTGCATATTGAAAACCCCACTGATACAACCCGAACGTAAAAAAAGCATTTAATTGCCATAATTTTCACAAAACAGGTGCATTTATAATTTGACGTGAGAATAGAACACATGCAGAAATGAGAGACTGGTGGTATCTTGTCTGCTCCAGCATAGCGCAAACCATATGTTATTGAAGACGGTCCCATTTTGGGGGCGGGGTTCACAGGAATGGAGTTCTTCGTGGATTACGCTAATTATTATCAACATTTCATGCATCTGGGGAAATAGAAAGTGACTCACAGGTAACGTAAATACCCAGTGGAACTCTCTATGAAGCTCTCATGGGTTAAGGAAGACGTCATTTTTATTGTTGACAAATCAGTTATCCATGTAGGTGAACAGCTACACGTGTTTGTCAGATTTTGACAGCGCGTGGTATTTGGCGCCAAGAAGTCTGGGCGGTCGATCCTGCTAATCTTTCGGTCGATTGTAGTAAATGTAAGATCTTGCGGTGTTACTTCAAGAACATTTCCCCATCTGCATATATATTTCAAGTGAACTTGAAAATAAATTGCTTATTCTTCCCAAACTTTTTATTGCTAGCAAACGCTATATATGGTCTATATGAAGGTGTTTACGACGTATTCTACCCACTGTCGATATTTGGTTTCATCCAGAATAGACCTTTTTTAACCCCCCCCCCCTCCCCAGTTACCGGCGTGATGAATCAGTCAGCGAGGGCAAGTCTGCTTAATTAGCACAATTTGTATGTCTATAAGCACTATTATTGTCATCGGGGACAAAGGAAATGACAGGTACGTCATGCTTCCAGATTAGATCTTCAATTAATTGTTTCTTCCTCATTGACGAGAGCTATTGAAAGGACAACAATTGACAAAGGGCCGAGGCATGCAGCATCTATTTCACTGGCTTGAAAATTTACCGAGTCTTGCCGACGATGTGGTCGAACAATCGGAACGAAAATAAAATTCTGTCGCAAGATTTTGACGTATGGACTAAATGTTTGAGCCCAGAAAAAATAATTTTATAAAATAATTTTTGTGGTCGGATTGACTAGGCCCGTCGAAATGCTTGGCACATTACCGTATTGTGAAATATAGATCTCATATGAAGAGTTGTTATCCCTTTAAGTTAATTTTTTTTTAAATCTACTTGCTGACTTATACCACATTTCTAAACCATTGCTTATTATTAGGTTGCAGAAAGACAGGGACGGTATATTTGTAAGGCTTTGTGTGAAAAAAACCCTGCAGATGTGAAGCCATTCGTGTTTAAGAGCCTTGGCATGCTGGCTTATATTGGAGACTACAAAGCCTTGACTGATATGCCTGAAGTGAAGCTAAGAGGTAACGTGCAATTTGCAAATTGTTTTTCTTACCCTGTTACAATCTGTGAGAACAAGTATGACAAGTGATGAAAAAATTTGGCTGCTGTTTAGTAAATTTGTACATTTCCTACTAAGATATACAAGGTTATAAATGTTTTTTCGTGTAATTGAAAAAAACGATTTTATCATTTGAATTTTTAATTTGGGTTTGATTTGTTTTCATCTTTTAGGTTTTCCCTCCTGGGTTTTGTGGAGATCTGCTTACCTTACCAGATTAGGGAGTTGGCGCCTCAGAATGCAAGTACCACTTGACTGGACCAAGACTCTTCTGTATGGCAGAGACACTTCAAGATTTTAATCTGCACAATAACTATGTTATAATGTATTACATGGACCATAGGAAGTGATACTGATGCTGGGATGCACGCATTTTCATTTTATGGTATCACTGGCTTTCAATTAAAGATTAATGCCATATGTGACAATTAAAACATTATTTATTTTAAGTGTATTAGTCATTTCAATCTAATTAAATTTTATGATTTATGCTTTTCAGAATAAGCTCAGGAAAAATAAATGGTATTTTGTAAAAATTGATGCAAGTGTATGTGTATTTATGTAAGTTACTAGTACTTTTTTCTGCTACAGCAATGCTCTGGGCTCACCTATTAGTAACCCTATTACACTATATTACTTTCTGTTTCAAGTATTATATATATATATATATATATATATATATATATATTAGGTGGTCTGCAGATAAAAACACTTATAAACATAATAAAAGCATTATGTGACTGCTTTCACATGGTTACAGTAAGATGATGAAGAATACCCACTAAACAGAAGAATTTATGAAAGATTGAACAGGTCATTCAATTGAATTGATAATTTCAAGAATGTGTGAGTTGTTCTACGTTGTACATGCACCTAAAACCACTTGTTTTGCAGTAGCTGTGTTAAGAGGTGTTTTAATATCAACTTATATGAATTTTCATGGATATATAAATTGTATGAACCCTTGCCAGCTGAAGATTTCTTCAAGAGTTTGGTCTTTGGCAGTACAAGTCACAAAGAGTTGATAGGCAAAAAGAATGGATGTATGTTCTTTAAAGTACTAAAGCCGTAACATTATTAAAAAGAAATGTAATTGAAACTTTGAAAGATACAATATAGGATCACAATGAAATAACTGTAGCTAAATATCAGAGACCAAATAATCAGATATTTAACTAATCATATAATTTGGGTTGTTGGTAATAACGAGAAATTTTAATTTGTTGAAAATTATTTTTGCGCACTTCGCCTAACATTATACACCCAAACCCAATTTCCCATGTATTTCTCATGTTGAAGTATCAAAAAGTAAAATTGAATGAATTCAAACTTGAATTTAATTTTTTAAAACGTGTATAGAACAAATATCAATGTCTCAATTTTACGTCTATACATTATGTGAGGAGCCTATTGGTAACACATTTTCCAGCCATATAATGTTAATTTTTATATTGCATTCCAATATATTTTGTAGTGATTCAGTCATGGTAAATTATATATGACATAAGGATGTTTTTATAAATATTTAAACTGTAACTCAACTTAGGCTAATACTACGTTACATATGAACTCCAGAAAAGTCAGAAAGTTTCATCTTGCCCAAGTACTTGGTACAGTAGAAAACAGGGTTTTCTGTTGTTGACTAAAATATTTATTTTGATTCCATGACAGTTTGACATTTCTGACATTTTGACCAAGACTGGAAAATAGTTTATTTAATGCTTATTTTACTGACAGTTGGGTGTATCCTTCCCCCCCCCCCCCCTTTTAATAATATTCAGTGACAAGCAAACTTAAGTAGCTCCAAAAAATAATAATAACTGCTCTATACAGAAGAATATTAATTTTTTACAACATTATACTTGCAGTAGATAAATTAAAAAAACAAAACCAGTAATTATTGAATTTTCAAAGTGAGTTTGGACGCTGGGTGATTTTGATTTGCATTTGTGATGGTAACGAATGTTCTTTTTGGGGGGTGTAGGAAATATTTTTTTATCATTCATGGTTTCAGGAGAGTGAAACTGATACAAGCTTCTTCATATGGGACCCTAAAATAATCAGACATAGTTTGTAATCAGTGCACTAAATATTTTAAGAGCATATCCGGGACTTCATTTGCACCTTGATATTGGGTTTTGGTGTAGGCCTATAATCATATGTTTATACATTATATAGATCTAACGCTTTATTCTATGCCTACGCGCACGTACGTGTTCTTTGAATAGATCTTAAAGCCTAGGACTTGTGGTCTAGTCTATTATACTCTCTAACGATTTTACAGTAAAGTGGGAAGATGATTGAATAAAACGAAATGCTGTTTATAAGATTAGACTAAATGTTGGGAATAAACCCGTTTTCGCGTCGGTGCTGCATTAGGAATGCGTTAGTTGAGAATGTTCAGCTGAGACGGACAACATGGCTCCGAAGAAGAAGGGCCTGTTACTTGGACATTTGGAATTCCCACCGTATGCCGTCAATGCGGTTGGTGATCGGCATTTTATTGTAGCAGGAGGGGGAGGGACAGCCAAAACCGGGGTTCCAAATGCATTTGTAAGTACAGGCTCTGGCAAATGTGTTTTGATGCCAGTCGGCTTTTGGTGCCAACTCAAATGCTACGTAGCACTAGTCATTGCAACGAGTCACCCTCAATGTGCCTTCACCCATTTACAGCCAATATAAACGTTTTTATTGTCCATATGAAGTAGGTGCTTCTAATAGTGCAGAAGCCAAGTCTCTCTCTCTCTCTCTCTCTCTCTCTCTCTCTCTCTCTCTCTCTCTCTCTCACACACACACACACACACACACAAATTGTGTTAACTCATTCTGTACTTTTAAAATGTAAATAGGAAACTTATTAATCTATAGGAGTGCTAGATCATAGCTGCTGATTAGTATGCATGTAATTTTACAGTAATAATTACTAGTAAGTACATGCAAAATATTTTAAGAAAGTTACTGGAGGGGTATATTCCAGTTTATTTTATTTTTATTATTATTATTTTTTTTTATAAGTAGAATGTAGTCCATATTCACAGATTTTGATTTGCCTCATCATTAGGCCTTAACCTGCCCATATTTTCTGCAGGTGTAATAATTTATGCCTTGGCCTAGGTAAGACCTCTGGTCATTCTAAGTAAGAAGCACAAGCGTCTTCTATAAAGGTCAATATCTGTGGATAAATTATACAGGTCAAATCTGGTACATTGTTGTACTTAACTGCCATTGTTTTTATCCACAGGGCCATACTCTACTCCAAAACACATGAAATTTTGTTCAGTTTTATTCTTGGGTGATTCCCTTGAGTTCCCTTAAATATTAGTTCCAATATACCCCGGTAGTATACAGGACATTTACCTGTTCTTAATTAAAAAAGTGACATGTTCTCATTTCCACGATGCAGTACAATGGATGTACGTAGATCTATGTAATGGAAAATATGTGAAAGAAAACAATGTCACTGTATGAAGGCTATTCTAATACACCTTTTTTGTATCTTTTCTGTTCTTATTTGTCAGAATTTAACTAATTTACTTTGTTTTATTTTTTCCAATTCAACAGGAGATCTTCCAATTGAGATGTGACAGAGCAGATGTAGAGGCTAGAAGCGTGCTGAAATTTTCAGATCTGGAATGTGCTATTATGAACACTGCTGTTCATGAGAATGAAAAAGGATTTATGCTAGCTGCTGGCATGGAAGAAAACTGTCGCTTTTACAACTTAAAGCATAAAGTGATTACTTTGGAAGACACTGAAGATAAACATAGTAGGTTAATAATCAATAATAGATTTAACTATTATATTAAAATAAATGCCTGCAATTGTACACAGTGATTAGTTCTTGGTTTTTGCCACTTGCAGTTATCTTTATTTCTGGTGTGCAATTATTTTTCATTGTGAAAAAAGGATGAAGAAAAATTTGGTGTTTTTGAACTACATACTAAATGAAGGCAACCTGTTCACATTATAGAAATGTTTACCACTTAATATACTTGCATTAGTTTTGCATTCCACATATTGATATACATAATATATGGATTATTGATATGAATAGCTGCCCTAATAAAACATTCATTCTCAAACAATACTTTATGTCAGCACAACTTGAATAGGTTTTTGATATTAAAAAACATAGCAGAAATAAGACTTATAACCTTCCATTAAATATTAGAAGCCCCATATTCAATTATAATTAATAACTGTAAAATGTTCCTATATTTCCAGAAGAAGACACTAAAGACAGTGCTGTCAGGCAAAGAAAAGGAAAACAGTCGCAGCCAGATTCCAAGAGCAAGGAAGTTGAAAAATTGGTGTCCTTTCAAGTTGACCCTTTTAAAACAATTCAAACAGACTTTCATGGTGATGGTGGTTTTCAAAAAGTGGTTCAGATCAGTTTAGATGGAAAAATCCTTGCAACAGGAGGAGCAGATGGATTTTTAAGGATATGGAAAGTAAGCCTCATCATTCTTCAGTTCTTAGTAGAGAAAAAGAAATTCAATAACATAAATGTACATAATGTACTTCCTTCCAAGTCCCTCATGTTTTTTTTGATTGTATATTTTTCTTCTTTTTTATTTATATTGTTTCAAGTATTACATTGGTCTTAGGTGAATTTGTGATTTCATTTTCAAAATTAATTTCTCCGGAAGCTTGTATGATATTAATAAGATAATATATTGATAAGTGGATTGAAAGTGGGGTAATTTCTTTCAGTTGACGTTAATTAACACAAAATGTATAAATACAATCTTAATCTAAAGCTCCCAGAACTGAAAAGACTCCAGGAAATTGAAGCACATGAAGGAGAGATTGAAGATCTATCTATTAGTCCAGATGGAAATCAGGTGAATGATTCATAATAAATAAACTGATTTAATTTGTATTATTTGTTCTGCCTCAAGTATGTATAATCATTGTTCAATTTTATAGCACATAAATTGAGTTAAAGTCAATTGAAGCTGATAAATGAGTAATGTTTTATGTTTAACAGATTTCTACAGATTATAAATACTTTTTCAGCATTTATGTTATTGAGTTTTGTCTTTTTTGAAACACATTTGATTGATACCATTAATTGTGAAAATATTCTTACCTTTACTGTCATATTATAGGCTGCGTGTTAAAGTACACAGACATGCTAAACCTGCAGATTGAAAGGTTCATTTTTCTTGAAAGTTATATTATTTTTTTATATTGATTGAAAGTCAGTGTGAGATTTTATTCAATATAATAAATTGTCTTTCAGTATACACTGACTATGAATTACCTCAGAAAGAGGCAACATATGAGCAGGTGTTTTCTTTGACTAATTAGATAAATAACTGTTTCAGATTGTCACAGTGTCTCATGACAAACATTCCAGTGTGTGGAATACCAAGGATGGAAGCAAACACCAGGAACTCAACTGGAAAGGGAAATCTAACTCTGCATACAGATTTAGATCATGCAGGTAAATACAACCATATAGAAATCTGATGGAAACTGCATAATTTTTTTAAAGAGAATTTGACAAAATATCGTTTATAGTCTATTTTTCATATTACAGGGTCTTCTTATACTGCCTACTTGTAATCATATATAATGCTAGAGATAGACCATGGTTTGAATCTTTGCAAATTACATGTTCAAATCAATAGTTGTTAAATAGTTTGGTTGTAAGCGGGATAATAACGACAACTGGGGTTTTCAGATAAGTTTATTTTTGGTAATCAAAATAAGAATTAAAATAAGACTAAAATTAAGGCTTCCAGAGAATCCTGTGCTTTCATAAAAGAATAAGCCCGCTTACGGCACATCAAAGTCCAACATCAAACAGAACAAAACTACACATCAAAAACGCCGAGCGCGTCACGGCCTCCACGAGTGTGCTGCGTCGTGTGCGGCCGATGACGTGGCTCACGACGTTCTGCGTCGTCAGTGGCAACGACGACATTGCATCAAAAATGTACAAGACAAAGAACAAAACAGGGTACAGTCTCCCCTGGAAAAAATATTAGACGACCACGTCTAATGAAAGTTTTGGTTTAATACGGAACGAGGCTCATTATACGGATTCGAATGAAAACCTGCACGGCGCCGAGTTGTGCGTCGTACAGATTGTGAGGGGGGTTCTACTTCATCTGTATGAGCCGAGTGTTCCGAGTCGGAACTACTTTCACATCGCATTTCCATTTGAACGTCAAAACCCAGTTCATTGTCACTGTCAGATTCAGAAGAACTAGAAACAGTTCCATGTTCATTATCATTGTCTGATTCCGAAGAAATCGAAATATCTCCTCTTCTTTGGTTGACTGCATTTCTTCGCGATTTGCGATTTTCAATAGCTTTTGTTACAGTCTTCAAGTCCTTGCGATTAACACAGGAGGTTTTTCGCCCGACCATAGCAACCACCATGTAGGTATTGTCTTTCCTTTCTTTAATAATATAGACTTCAGGTGACCATGCATCCCCAATCTTATTTCTGCCCTGAATGCGGTTGCGGAGATGCACGTGATCCCCGACTTGCAGCACGCTCTCTTCTGCACTTCTATCATAAACCCTTTTCCTCTTTTCAATGTCAGCTTCTAGTTGCTTGGTGGTCTTTCTATAAGCCTCCTTAAGTCTCTCTCTATGACGACATATCCATTCTGTCCTGTTGTCTGGAACTGCAGTTGAAGTATCGAGCATTAAATCAATGGGCAGCTTCGGTACTCGACCAAAGATCAAATAAAATGGACTAAATCCAGTGGCTGAATGTGGAGTGACATTGTAAGCATACACTAGTTCAGGCAAGAAGTCCGGCCACTTGGTCTTCTGAGCTGGTGTTAGTGTACGTAAGAGATCATGCATTGTACGATTGAATCTCTCGCACTGTCCATTCCCTCTCGGGTGGTATGGTGTTGTGCGGGATTTATCAATTCCATAAATTTTGTACAACTCACTCACTATCTTGGCATCGAATGATTTTCCTTGATCTGAGTGAATTCTTTGAGGCACTCCATAATGTAGGAACCATTCCCGCACAAGGGCTTTCGCAACTGTCTGAGCTGTCTGGTTCTTCGTAGGTACGGCAATTGTAAATTTGCTGTATACGTCAGTCATGACTAGAACATTTTCAATTCCGTTTCCGGCTGGTTCCAAAACTGTGAAATCAATGGCGACGATTTCCATTGGCTCATGAGCTATGATGCTTTGCATAGGTGTACGAATATTTCGTGATGGCATTTTGGCCAGATTACACCTTTCACAGTTTGATATCCAGTCCTTAACGTCGACAGACATATGAGGCCAATAGTATCTTGATCGGATCAATTTTTCTGTACGTTCAGCCCCCTGATGTCCCATTCGATCATGTAGAGCATTCAATACTGTTTCCTTCAGATTTTCTGGCAGCAAGAGTTGATTTATCTCTCCACCATTGCCTGGATCTCTGCATTTTCTGTATAGGATTCCGTCGTGCTCATGAAATCGCTCCATCTGTCTTAAAAGTCTCTTCACATCTGGGACTTCTTTTCGCCTCTCCCTTGCTGACGGACTGTTACCTGTCTGAAGGAAATAGCGTAATCTGTTTATCACGGGATCAGCTCTCTGTTTCTGTTGAATGTCGATGCTTCCTCCATTTGGTGTGACTGGCACAAGTGATTCAAATACGTGATTTACACTGGCGTCGGTGGTACATAATGTCGCTTTCAGTAGCTTCTGGCGAATCTCTGCAGGTATTGTAGTGACCTGTAGTATTTCTGCAATGTCATCTTCATCAAGTACAGTGACGTCATCAACTGGAGGTCTTCGACTTAACCCATCGGCCGATCCATTCAATTTACCTGGTCGGTACTGGATTGTAAAATTAAATCTGGCCAATTCTGCCTGCCAGCGATGTTCTGTAGCACTTAGCTTAGCAGATGACTGCACATAACACAGAGGATTGTTGTCTGTTAATACCAGGAATGGAGCGGCTAGCAGGAAATCTCGGAACTTTTCTGTTACGGCCCACTTTAGAGCGAGAAGTTCTAACTTCATTGAACTGTAAAATTTCTTCTCAGCACCGCGGAGTCCACGACTAGCATAAGCAATCACAACTCTTTTTCCTTCCTGTTCCTGGAATAAAACGGCACCTAAACCAGACTGACTCGCATCAGTCTCTAAAACAAATGGTTTCGAAAAGTCGGCAAATCCCAATACAGGAGCAGAGATCAAATCACTCTTTAGTGTGTCGAATGCGTTCTGATGGTCGGCGTCCCACATGAATGGCACACGTGATTTCTCCAGCTTATGACCAAACTTCCTTTTCTTCCCCTTGTTTGGATCTTGGTTCACCAAACTGAACAAGGGTGCGGCTTTCTGTGAAAAATGACGGATGTACCGTCGGTGGTATCCAGCTGTGCCTAAAAATGCTCGTAGTTCCGCAGCATTCTGGGGTACTGGCCAATCTGACACAACTTTTACTTTGTCTGGATCTGGTGAAATCCCTTGTTCTGAAATGATTTGCCCTAAGTACGTCACTGACCTCTTAAATAAATGGCACTTACTCGGCTCGATTTTCAACCCATGTTTTCCCAGGCGCTGAAAAACCATTTCAAGTCGCTGAAAGTGCTCTTCAATGGTGGACGAGAAAACGATGATATCATCTAAGAAAACAATCATCTTTTCATTCATTTCGTCACGGAAGATGAGTTGCATCAACCGCTGAAATGTCGCGGGTGAGTTACAAAGCCCATACGGCATTTTAACATATTCATACAGTCCCATTGGGGTCGTGAAAGCTGTCTTATGCTGATCAGGCTCTGCTACCTCAACTTGATTATAGGCTGCCTTCAAATCAATTGTTGAAAAGTACTTAGCTCCACTCATGTGATCAAACGTTTCTTCCACGCGTGGAAGAGGGTAAGCATCTTTTCTGGTCTTGGAATTCAGCTTCCGGTAATCTACACACATTCGAATCTTCCCATTCTTTTTCCTGCATACAACTATGGGACTGGCATACTCAGACGTACTAGGTCGTATCACTCCCTTCTTGACTAGATCGTGTATATGTTCTTTCACTTCCTGGAAATGCGGCGGCGGTATACGTCGGTAAGGGCATTTTACAGGAGCGTCATCCGATGTGTGAATAGGATGAGTTATTGTATGAGTGAGGCCCACGTCTTCGTCACAGAAAGCAAACACATGTTTGTTACGACTAAATACTTCAGTGAGTCGTTTGGAATCACAAGTGGAAATGTCTCCCACGGCTATGTCTTTCAACCAATCTAGACTCTCAGGGGGTGCTTGGCTGGTTGCGTACTGCGCTGTACACACTGATGCTGTGGATTTATTAGGGTGTAGGCTAACCTGTATACAGTCACCACAGTCCTTCAATTCAACTTGATGAGTTGTATCCACAATATCAGCCGCAGAAACTCTTCCCAGTGGAGAGCGAGGTCGAAGCCAAACTTCATTTTCCGTCGGATTAAACACTTCCACGTCAAAATGTCCACTTTCGGATACGACTAGCCCTGGGTTCAAAAGCAACCCACCACACACTGGATTATCGAGGGCTTCAGTGATCAACATCCCTGGATAACGTGGTCCATATGCAGAAACAATGCGCGTGGACCAGGCTGGAATATTCACCATATCCTGGCCAGCAACTTTAAAAACATGCCCATCAACACAAGGAAAGGAAGATGACTTTTGGGGGGAAACCTTTTTAAGCAATTCTTGGATATCTGGGAGGTGACGGAGGACATTCATACCCAGGATACCTGCAATGTGTGATTTCTTGGGAGAGGATGCACCCTTACTTACTAGGATGCCACAATTTTCTACAGTTTTACCCAAAACAGTGGTGTGTGTAATAAAATAACCTAAATATGGAATCTCCAATCCATTCGCTGCAGTTAATCTCAGCCAGGTTGAGGCATTTGCAAGGTCACTAAACTGAGACTTAAGATTTTCTTCAAACCACCATTCCTCGAGGATCGTAACCTGACTGCCGAGATCCAAAAATAATTCTGTTTCAACTCCGGAAATACTGCAACGTATGGTTGGACATTTTCCCATTAATGAGGCTTTAATCATTTTTTCCATTCTCTTTGCCCCGTCTGCTTGCCTCGCGTCAGCAGGGCCTTTTAGTTTCCCTCGTCCCTTGAGTAATTATCAGCTGTTCTGTGAACTTCGCTGAAAGTGGATGTCGTCTGCGGCGTACCCTGGCCCGTCATATCCTTCCGACGCTTACGGCAGTCACGCTGAATGTGTCCCATCTTCTTGCAATAGTGACAACGGTAGTTGGTGTATGGCGCTGACTTACCGTCTGAGATCGCACTGTACTGTACTGTACCGTGTGGTGGTTGGAACCGGTGTTGTCGGGGCTGTTGTTGATCTCTCATCCATGAAATCATTTCTTGTTGCGTTGTAGATATTTCTTCTAATCTTGTTGCCAAGCTGTCAATACGCTTTTCTAACTCACCTTGGTCACTCTGAAGGGATTGGACATGGGCAGACTGGGATGTCGGCTTTCCATCCCTCTCCATCCTAATGGCTTCCTCTCTGAGCTCACTGAAGGAAATTCTGGGGTTGCATCTGAAGATTCTTTTTACCTCTCTTTTTACTTGAGTATCATAGAGATTTTCACTAAAAACTTCACAAACAATGTTGTTTTTACTTTCTGAATCTTCCAATTTTGCAGTTAATTCTAGTAACTTACGCGAAAATTCTCTGATACTCTCTCTTGGGGTCTGAAAACGATCATACAACTCACGTTTTATCTGCACTGGGGTTCTGGTGTCTCCGAACGCCGACTTGAGGATGTTGAAAATTTTATCAGCGGAGTTCTTCTCATCGTCAGAAATCAGTCTAACTTCTTCTCTGGCTATACCCTCCAAATGACTGGTCAGAAATTTTGTGCGCTCAGGGTCCGGAATGCTTGGTAAAAGGCTCTGGGCATCTTCTATCCATGTCGAGAGTTCATGGGCGGATCCTCCATACTTTCTCAGTTTACGAACGGGAGGCGCAGTCACAGTCACATTGATCAGTTGGGTGTCCCTTATTTTACTCAGTTCCTCTTCGAGTTGGCGCAACTTCTCTTCCATCTCTGGAAGCCTTATTACCCCACTTCTGGTACCAAATGTAAGCGGGATAATAACGACAACTGGGGTTTTCAGATAAGTTTATTCTTGGTAATCAAAATAAGAATTAAAATAAGACTAAAATTAAGGCTTCCAGAGAATCCTGTGCTTTCATAAAAGAATAAGCCCGCTTACGGCACATCAAAGTCCAACATCAAACAGAACAAAACTACACATCAAAAACGCCGAGCGCGTTACGGCCTCCACGAGTGTGCTGCGTCGTGTGCGGCCGATGACGTGGCTCACGACGTTCTGCGTCGTCAGTGGCAACGACGACATTGCATCAAAAATGTACAAGACAAAGAACAAAACAGGGTACATGGTCCATCTGTTTCGGACAACTGAATTATCTTTTGTCACTGATGAATTTAAGAGTTTGTGTGAGCTCATGAAGACTGAAAATCATATATATATTTTACATAAAAGATACAGCAGTTAATCCGTTCCTTTTAATCCAGATATGGTGTAACTAAAGGCCCAAAGCCTGAGGTCACTTTGTACACAACACACATTCCAGTAACAAGAGCAGGGAAGCATCCACTGCCCTGCTATATCACACTATGGGACAGTGCAAAATTAGTAGCAAAGAAAAGTGCAAATGTTGGCGGAGAAGTTGTGTCAGCTTTTGAAGTTAGGTGGGTACATGACACTTGTTACTTGTAAAAGGAAACCCTATCATATTATATATCATATACTAAACATGTCATATTAATACTGTTAAAATATTTGTGACATTGAGAAGGTTCTCACTGAGTGAGTTTTCTTTTTTTTTTTTTTTTTTT